TAGAGTTCCCCAGCGTGCCAGCCCCGATTGCCTAATATTTAACCATGGTTGTCCAATATCCCGTGCAGCTGTGATGCTATTGATGCTTGAAGAACTGGCCTGTTGCCTGCTTAGCACAACTACCTTTTTCTTCTTTTTATTAAAAAAATTACCGTACTTCTTTAAACAACTGCTGCCTTGTTAAAAGTTACAAAAATGCATTTTTAAAAAGCTGACTTATTGCTTCACAACAGCAAGTGTCCACGACACCATGCTCACGAGAGGTAGGGGAACATTTGCCGTGGGGAGTGTGGTGAAGGGTAAACTCCTTTCTCCCACCCTTGGAACTGGAGAAGGTGCAGGGTCTCATCCCCACACTTCAACTACGCTTGAGATACTCTGTGTGCCTTAGAAATGCCTGGGGTGCAGGTGGCCTTGCAAATGCACTGTGCATGTGTGTTCCTTGGAAGCCCCACTGCTGCCACAGTCCCCACTCTCAATAGGGGGGCTGGGGCTTGTTGCTTTCGTCCTGCACTTGGGCATGAAACACAACTCTAAGTGATCCCTGAACTCTTCTCCAGCATCAACCTTGGAATTAAAGGTGCTGCGACAAGACCTTGCCCCCTTGCCACAGCCCATGCAGTGTGCATTCCAGTGCACAAAGACTTAAGAACAGCTCTCATGTATACATCAGAAAAGATCTGATCAGCAAACAAATGCCCCGTCAAAATAACAAACAAAACAAAGAGGGGACGCACACTTATCCATAATGCGCATTTGAGCAATCCATGCCAACCTGTCTTCCTGAGATTCCTTATTAGCACAATACTTTTTTTGCAAGGTAGGGGCAAATCTGTGCCAATATTTCTTGAGCTAAATTTAATAGACTTTCAGTGGAAATCCTCAGAAGCAAGTTTCACTGAGTTCAATGTGACTTTTAGCAGTGTGCCACTGCAAATTTTGTCCCTAACACAAGCCACGAACATTAAAGGATATTTGACTATTGCTACTAGTAGTTTAAGGGACGCGGATGGCACTGTGAGCCTAGGACTTGCTGATCAGAAGGTCAGCGGTTCGAATCCCTGCAACGGGGTGAGCTCCCATTGCTCGGTCCCTGCTCCTGACAACCTAGCATTTCGAAAGCACGTCAAAGTGCAAGTAGATAAATAGGCACCACTCCGGCGGGAAGGTAAATGGCATTTCCGTGTGCTACTCTGGTTTGCCAGAAGCGGCTTAGTCATGCTGGCCACATGACCCGGAAGCTGTACGCTGGTTCCCTTGGCCAGTAAAGCGAGATGAGCGCCGCAACCCAAGTCGTCTGCGACTGGACCTAATGGTCAGGGGTCCCATTACCTTTACTAGTAGTTTACTAACAATGTTTTACTACTGTAAATGTACATAACCTCACTACTAAGTTAACATATGAGTTACAGGACTTGCAGTGAATGCTACCAGTTTATACACCACTTCTAAGCCATGTTCTGTTAACAGAGCAGTCAGCTCCTGAATGTTTCAGACACTGTCTGGTCATCTTAATATCCATGCAAAATATTACCGTTACAGCTGCTTGCTTGTTCAGATACACCATGAAGCTGGATGATTCTGGACATTCCTGGTAACAACTTTTGTGAAAAGTTTTCTCTGGATGCTATAAGCTAGCCCTACCATTAGGCAAGCAGAGATAAATTGTGAGTCAATATTAAAGGGCAGCAGTTCATTTATTTAGCTTTCTATGGATTGGATCCAAGCTCCCTTCCTCTGAGAGAAGAAACCTCCTTGGATCCAATACTTTAATTGTATCACCACTTAGATTTTCTGCTCAGGCACCAAAATCTTGTACCATCTCAGTTGGGTGCTTCTGTTTATGCTTCTTGGCTTTCCTCAACTGATTACGATGAATATTATTCATTATAAACAGGATTGCCATGCTATTCTGCAAGACAATTTTAAATTAATCTGAAACAAGTTTAGGGTCCTTATGACTTCAGACATCTCAGCTATATTTCTGTAACATGAAATTATACATTACTGGGAAATATGTTTGTTTAATGTAGAAAGGTTGTTCTTTAATATTGCAAATCACTTGGCTTTCTTGGCCAGATTAGGTTACGCTTGAACTAAAATAGAAAAGACAACTGCCATCTACATGTTAAAACAACTGCTATGTTGGAACTAATACAATAAGAGAGCAAAGCCCCCATGTGGGAGGGCAACCGGTTTTTCTGGGTATTATGTGCAGATAACTTCAGGGGGAAAGTTATTCTGTGTGAGAAAACTCTGGAGAAATGTTCCCAAAATCAAGGAGCTAGTTAACATCACAAGGTTTTTAAGGTGCTTATGGATGCAAAAAGAGAGTGCATGTGATTGCCTCAGTCCAGGGCTCCATCTGCACTCTGAAACTGCATGCTGAGTTTTTGCTCAAGCATTAATTTCAGTACAGGTGGCAGCTCAGCCCAGTGTTCCCGGTGTCCATATGTGCCGAGCCTTCCTTTGATTTGGCGTGAATGAGTAAGTTCTAGCATGCGTGTGATGGGAGATCTCGTAGATTACCAAAAGTGGCTGAACTCTCAACATAATCACTGTTTCTGGCACAGGCACCAGAAATGTTAGCCTTGTCCTAAGAATGCTTATCCTGTGCTTTTATTCTAAGTAAACAACCGCTTGATATGTCAGCACAGCTCCAGGCTTTCCAAGCCACGTTTCTCAGAACAGGCACCATCGTAATCATCCAGATTTCTAATTATTGTGGCAAATGAGCAGCAGCAACAACACCACCAGTAAGAGAAACCACACCATTTTCTAGAAATGTGTTGCGCCTCTGTTGATCATGGCTGCTATTGAAGGGAAATATCCATGCTTTTCACAAGGCAGGGACTGATGGCAACATTGAACACGCGAAGCTGTAACGTGTTCAAAGTCAGACCACCGATGCATGTAGCTCAGTGCTATCTGTTTTGACTGGTGGTACTCTCCAGGGTCTCAGGAAAGGTTTCAACCCTAACCCTAACCGAAAAACAGGTTGCCACTGTAGCATAACCCAGAAATACAACCCAGAGCTATGCAAATAGGATCCCCAATGGGTTAAGATACAGGGAGCAAGCCACTTGTGTCCCTAGGGCTGCAGGCACCGCCTTCCTATATCCCAAAGAAGTAAATGGTTGCCATTCCTACAAGGAAAAGGAAAAGCATTGGGGATGCTAGTAAGCAAGGGACGAGGAGGTGTCTCTATGTGCATTAGAACAAAGATGCATTATAAGAACTCCACCCCCAACAACAGCCAAGCCCTCCCTTCTTCAGACCCCCCTCATCTTTAGGATGAGCATCTCACTGTTGTTATATATCATATACACATTTTTGTAAAACGGAGTTGGGAAATGTAGGGCTACTTTTTAAAAAAATCTGCTTAGCTACAGCCACACAACTCCCAACACTACTTCATTATTAGATAACTTTTTTAAAAAAAAGATTATTCAAATCATATTGTTTTCATGAGCAGTTTTATTTTACTTATAAACCTAGCAGTGGGGAATCTTGAAACATATTCCATATACTTTAATGGCTAAATGATGGCTATGACAGGTATACTGTTGCACTTTTTAGAAATATATCTAAAGTAATGAAAAATGACAAATCAGAAAGGTTTTATCATTTTAGTGTACCATTAAATACTGATTTGAATTACTATTTTTTTTAAAAAAATCAAGTCTCACTTAAAAGCTATTCCATAAACCCTAAGCCCACAAATTTACTTCAGATAAATTCTATTTATTTACTTTTATAAAAAATGTTTACTGTTGGAGTTCTTGTATGTACAAGATTACAGGGTTTCTCATTCCTATACCCCACCCACAGCCACCCTGGTACTACATAAACTACAAAGGTTTGTGAGAAACCAGCATTTGAGATCAAAATGTGTCCTAGCAGATTTTAAAACATTCCAGTTGAAGTAAAGAATCCTTTTGCATGAAAAACAAAATGCATGAAATGCTTCTCTTTCACCTCTCCACAGAAAAACAAACAAACAACAATTTCATTCTCCCATTCAAATGCTTTTAATGTAAAACTGCATGTATGAGAAATCCAGCTTGTTAAAAAGATAAGACAAAAATGAGATAGGAAGCTTCATAGCCCACCTTTCTTCTTGACTGGCATTCTCGCTGTTATTTCTGGCACTGGACGCAAACACTTATTTACCGGTATCAACAGAGTCCCGCGGGGATTGACTTGTAAGGTCAGAAGTCTGCCATCCAATTCAAAACACACAGTTTCAGCTTTGGAACAGAGCTCTACATCTTCATCTCCCACAATGGCACTCACAGTTTTTGTCCAGTTAAAAACTTCCAACACAACCCATGGAAACAGCAAGGAAGAAAAAAGTTTAAGAGAATTTTTGCCAGAGCACTTGTCAAAATCTGTAAAATATTTCCCAATCTATAAAAATATACAAGAGAAAACACTCGTCAGCCTACAAAATTGTATAAGATTCTCTCTTATGACAGAATAGGGGCTTTTTTTTTTTTTTAAAGAAGTTAAGTGAATGTAGGAAATACAATTAAGGCACAGTCCAAGTCTTGGCAGTCCAAATGATCCACTTCAACACATTCCAGCATCACCCAAGTTTAAAACCAGTTCTCAAATAATCCAAATAAACGTCCGAGGAAGACAGAAGAGCTTGAAAGGGACCTTTTTTTTGCTGCAATCACAGGTGACTTTTGCCAGTTAGCTACAGCACTGGATGCACACAATGGTCTTCTGCGTATTAGGAGAGGAAAAAACCTCCCAGGTTTCATTCGGTTACCAAACAGCAGTCACTTTCATTTTTATTTTCTCCACCCAGCCTTCTGGCCTTTAATGTCCCTCTGATCTTTGCTTGTATTAAGCCCAAGAGGATTGAAAGCAATCCCTCAGCATGGAATTATTAAAGTGACAGTGCTATTCACAGGGCAGGCTGGTGGAGCAGACTGTTGTGCACAGGAGTCATTGACTGCTTGCCATTTCACTCTTTGCTCAGCAGCAGCTGCCTAATGAGAGAGGAGCAAGGTTGTGGCAGAGCTTCTCCAAATGTTATGCAGAGATGTTGGAATATTAACAGAGCAGGCCATGAAGTCAGTCGGAGGTTCTCCCGTTTGCTGGTGCAGCTGGCTGGCCTCACCATAACCTCCTATTTTCCTTCTTTTTCCCCCTGCAAATGGAAAAAAAATGCAATTGACAGTTTTTCCCTTCCAAAACACTGAAAATAAAGGATTAAGGGGGGAATTAGTCTCTAAATATTACACTTTATACATGTGAAGCACAATGGTACATCTTACACGTAACCCTGCACTGCATCTTCAAAGGGTGAAAATGGTGCAATGGGGTTCTTTTCCACTGCTTTTGAATTGCTTTCAAGCAGACTCACATCTTCCTATCATTCTCCTATCACTTAACAGATATTTGTTTCCCAATAATAAGACCTATTCTCATATTCTAATAGTTTGGCTCTTTATAATTGAAATGAAAGGTTGGCTTAAGAGGAAGAGGAAGAGAACTTCAAACGGCACAAAAAATGTTTGTGGGAAGAACACTGGGGTGAACATTAAGAGGAACAAAGGAGGAGAAAAGTGTGAATTTAGAATAAAGTTTTAGAGGCATCTGCTAAATGGGGTAGTGGTAAAGAGCATCCATCAAATATGGATTCTGAGGGAGTAGTGCTCAAGAAAGATCTTTAAAGTTAGTGGGAGAGGGGCAAATCCTAGTGTACAGTGCAGCAAAGGAAGGATTAGAGTAATAAAGTAAGTGCAGACATTTAAAGTAGCCTTGTATTTAAACACTTGCCTGGTAGGTGACCAGGAATTCCATGCAGGTGAGTTAGCTGGCTGCTAGAAGAGGGACTGACTGTTTCATCCCTCCACCACCAGCCCATTTCCACCCCAACCCCCTGCCTAAGAGACTAACAGCACATAACATATTTCCATGATGGCTGTGAAGGAGGGGGCACAGGCAGTACTACAAGCTAGTAAAACATGTTTCAGGCCAGTAACATTTGGGGGGCTTGTTTACAAGGCTGACTTTAGGAAGCAAAGTAAAATAAATTAAGGTTTGAGGAAGGCTGTTTAGAAGAGGTGGACAGCATGGTTTCAAGTGAAATTCTGTGCAAGCTGGGAAGAGGTGACTGATGGGGTGTGACAAGAGTGGAGTCAATGTCCATATGATAGCTTAACTTGAGAAGGAAAACATAAAGGAGATAGGAATTGAGAACACTGTCCATTAAAACAGCAGGGAAGTAATCAGAGTTTTGGAAGCAGAAAATGTTAAGAGGGGAATATAAAGGTAGCAGAAGGGAGAATCAGAGCTAGCAGAAGAGGGTGAATGAGAGTGACTGGGACAAGTTACTAGTTGATGGCATTCAGAAAATTAGGATTCAGAGTTGTGGAGAACGGGGTAGAGATGCATGTGAAGAAGAGTGTGCAAGGAGCTGAGTCACTGAAGGACCAAAGACCAAGAAGCAAGCTCAACAGAGTGCTACTTGTGAAACAGGGTAGTATAGGAAGTTAACTGTAGCAACAGAACAGAGTCACACAATGAAGTTGCGTTGCAGCTGTGGCTGTAAAATAGCAGCAAATGTGCATGCAGGTGGGTCAGTGTTTATCTATGAGAACACCTAGGCAGATATTAAACCATTGGGGTTTTCAGCATAGGAGCAGGGTTGAGGAACTGGACCAGCATTAAGAAAGTAGTTAGATAATTGTGTGAAAAAGCACAAGGGTGTAGTAAAGATGCATTATGTATTTGATGTGGAACAGCTGTGCAGATAATTGTGTAGTGAAGGAATACAAAAATAGGATCAGAAGGGTACACTGCATTCAGGCAGAGAGGGCAATGCTGGATTTGATGACTACATGGAGACCTGGGTCCTTAAGTGAGGAGTAGAATCATCAGATATGCAAGCTTGAGGGGGACTGTCACCGTTGTAGAAACATGGAAGGTTTGAGAATGTGGGAAAGGGGATCAGTGGCCAAGGAGATGGAATGCAGGAGCAGAGGGCTACATGAAGCAGTACTCTGTGTTTCCACGGAGCGAAGGGACATGAAAGGATTAGATAAGTGGGTCATGTACAAGGATCTGAAGGGATATTGGATAAACAGAGTATAAAGGCAAGATGTGCCCAATGGTGTGAGGTTGCAAAATAAAAAAAATAAAAAAGGGTTACGTAGGAAATATGGCCGCTACAAGCGTTGTGGGAAGAAGCTAAGTGGTTGTGAAGGACAACATGAAACAGTATCAAATGTACACAAGTGGCCAAAGTGGATTTTGGGGGGGAAATTTTTTAAGGGTCAGAAACGCAGGTGAGGGACAGAGGTAGGTGTTGCATGAAGTGATAGTTAACTGTATGCATAGAAAAGGAATTTAAATTGATATAGTATAAAGGTCTGCAGATGCCAGACCCCTGAATGTTGCCATCTGCCTCTTCCCTTCAGCTACAAAAGCAGAGTGGGGAGAGAATGGCTGCTGTTAGCAGCAAGGTATGAGCCAGCAAGGTGGACTGCGAAAAGAGCTAGTGACAGGGCAGAAAACCCATAAGAAGATGGGATGGGACCAGTGCAGCGTTCGAAACTCCCCCTGTTCTAAGCGCGTTTTGCAACAGGAAATTTCATTAATGCGAGCAGTTTCTGAACTCTGGGCGCAGTACTGCACCTAAGATTTCAGATTAAAACTGCCACTGCTGGAAGAAAAGGAGGTCCTTTTTCTGCCTCCCCCACTTCCAGCCACTCTCTGAAGACTGGAGAAGGGACCCTCATAAGAATATTAGAGGACCAGGCAGGGGAAGTATGGCTTTGTTTGTTTTTTGCAGTCATCAGATGAGGACTAGACGATGTGAAAAATGAATATAAGATTTTAGGTGCAGTTCATTCATTTTCAGCTTTGTATTTTTATATAAAAAGTGTGCCTACACACTCTGTTGCGGCACCCATAACCTGGGTTTAGGGTGTTTAAGATGTCATTTAGCTTCCATATCTCTGTTTCTAACACTGGACCAGTGGCTAGGCAAGATTCACCATGCGTGGGGTGGTTCTAGGAGATAAATGATGTGAGCAGGCTCAGTAACTGCTGCTGGGGCTGGTGATCACTTTACAAAGCAGACTAGTTAGTGTACTAATGGTTGCAGAGCAAGCAGAAAACAGAGGCAGGGCCTGATGCAAGTTTTTTGGGGGTGGGGGAAGAGACCAATGTGAAGTGGCCAGAAACTGAGGAGAAGAGAAGACAATTCCACAGGGGCAGTTAGTTAACCTTTGACTCTAGACTTAATAGCCTCAACCAACCATATTTACATAGTGGTATGTACTACTTACAAGATGCATTAGTTAAGCCAGCCCTGCTGTGTTTGCTCCCCTCATTCACTAAGGGGAAGGGGCTGGACATCTGTCCTGAAGTCCTCCTCTGACAGCACCAGCAGGAAAGACCCCAATGAGGCAGAGAAAATTTGTGGGGAAGGGAATAAATAAATAAAAAGGGAGATGATTTTGTTGTAAGGTGGGCTAATGGGGTGGAGGCAACCAGAGGATGTTACGTGATGGTGGGAAATATTGGGTTGCTTTTTTAATGCAGTGCTTGGGATAGGAGTGACGGGAAAAGGGCCAGCAAGGGAGGGAGGCTTGTGATGTGGTGGGGAGAGCTGACAGGAGCAAGTATGGGGCTGCTGGAATGTGGGAAGCCCCACCTCCTCCACACACACCCCAATTCACAGAAATCTGTCCAGCAAGGGCTGCCCTGTGTGACCAAGACACCCACTTGCAATCATAGAATTTGTAGAGTTGGAAAGGGACCCCAAGGGTCATCCAGTCCAACCCCGTGCCACGCAGGAATCTCAACACACCATCCTTCATCCAACCATCCCAGGCCCTGCTTAGCTTTGCAAATGAGAGCCATACTGGGCAGTCATTGTCCCCCATACTGTGTGGGGGACGAAGACACTCAGGTGTGTAGGGGTGTGTGTGTGTGTGTGTGTGTGTGTGTATTCGGACTCCAGAGACTCATGTGAAAGGTTGTGATGGGGGTAATCTTCTATACATATTCAGACACACACTCCTGTCTGGCATGGGGTGCTCTGAGTGACCCCATAAGAGCCACAATGGGGATCCTGAGTTAAAAAAAACCCCTACATGTTGCTGGACTCCAGGGCCTCGTGGGGTGGCTTGTGATGATTTTTTTGGGGGGGTCAACACATGCAGGAACACACACACACACACACACACTCCTGTCTGTGACCCTCCCCACACACCCCTCATAAGAGCCAGTGAGGAACCTGTGTGCCCACCCCTACCCTCGTCGCCGTCGCGGCTCCCGCCTCCCATCAGCCCTCGCGGCGGGCGGCCAACCCCCTCAGGTAACTGGCGCGAGCTACCTGGCCGGGCGGCCACAGGTTCCCACCCGGACCCCGCCGAGGCCGCCTTCGCCCCACCTGCTGCCCCTCCTCGCCGCCGCCGCCGCCGCCTTCGCCTGGGTCGCCTTATGGCCGCGCGGGCTGCTGCGCCCCCATTGAGGGCTCCTCTGTGAGGGAGGCGGCCTGCTCGCTGCTCCTCTTCCGCCGCGGCCGCCGCCTCAGCCGCGTTTCCATGGAGCGGCCGTTACCGCGCCCGCCGCCGCCGCCGCCGCTCCTCCTCCATCTCCCGCCCTCCCTCCGTCCCTTAGCAACGCGGGCGGGCAGCCCCTCCCTGACCAGCGTGAGGAACGACGGGCCGCTCGGCCAATCCGGAGGCAGACCCCTCCCCCAGCTCCGCGAGCAGGCGAGGGGCCAATCGGAGCCCAGCCGAGGGTCGTTGGGGGGACGTCACGTGATCGTCCAAGATGGCGGCCCCCAGGGGAAGGGCGTGCGCCTGGCCAGTGCTGTAGCCGAGTCGCCTTTTTTTTTTTTTTTTTTAACCAGAGGCGGACGCCGCGGCAGCGGAATAAGTTTTTTAACGGCTTGCAGAGCTCTAGGGCTCGAGGTGAGTTTTACCCGGCGAGTATGTTTGCATGGGGGAAGCGGCGCTCAAGGTCACGATGGACGTCAAATGTGGGGAGACTATGGAGTATGGTGGGTTTGAGGTTACGGGGTGGGGGTAGGGGCAGGGGCAGGGGCGAAACTAGGCTCTGTTTCACCCGAGTCAATAACTTGGCACACACACACACCATGCATTTGCGTACAAACACGCACAGGCTGGGAGCCTCAGTGGCGCCCCACTGGAGGCTTTCCCCGGGGCAACGTCACCCGCCCCCGGTAGCTGCGGCTCTCGGTGTGGCCTCCCTGGTGAGACTGTTTGCCTTTATTTAAAATTAGAGTCTTATTCCCGTGGAGCTTATGTCCCTGCAGGCGTGTATAGAATTGCAATCATTTATGGGTGCGGCTTTCCCGCTGCTTTGTGGTAAGTGAAAATTAGTATATAGTGAGCATAGTATGTTACTTTTTATTATTTTTAAAGTAGTGTTGTTGGCATCTGTCAGGCTTGGAAGACAATGGAGGAGTGCACCTTCAGGGGTGAAGTCAAAAGGTTGGAGAGTTACAGCGCCTGTTGTGGCTGAAGAGATTGATAAGGGGGAGACATGATGCATTACTGCAGCAGCGCAACTGGACACCTTAATCTGCCCCAGGGGCAACAAAACATGTCTCTCCCATATCGGTCTCTACAGCCACAGCAGGTGCTGCAACCTTCCAACAGCTTGACTACACCCCCAAAGGCTCATCCCTGAGACAGATGGATGACAGCAACAAATATGTATAGCAGTTAACAGCAGTGACTGTTAATGAAATACGAAGAAAATATCCAAATGTAATTGAGGGCAGGAGGGTTGATTACGTCTCTTAGAAATGTGAATTTAGGAATTTTTCTTAGCAGCACAATGACACAATGCATGAGCATGTAAAGGGAAGGAATAAAGAAGTATGAAGACTGGCTCAATTCTTAACTGTTCCCATTGCCTGGAAAATGTGGCTCTCAGGGTGTAAATAGTGTTAGAAACTGGGTTGGAAAATTTTGGAGTTACTCGCTTGTCCAGGCAACAACATATTTATGTGCATGCAGGTGATATGCAAAGATTGTAGTGACCCGGAAGGAGGTGGAAGGTGTAGTGGGGTTATGTGCACTACACTGTCATGCTCAGTGACTTGGAACATAACCCCAGTGCGAATCAGGGATTGCCTGTATAGCTGGAAGCAACAGGATACAATTGAGGACTTCATACATGCCCTCTAGCAACTCTATTGTGTGGGTCAGATTTAACCCTGAACTGTGTGCCAGATTTACTGTATCCCATCAAACTAAACTGGAACAACCTTACTAACCAAGCCAATGTCAAATATGTTAGATCAATGGACTTCTCCCATTTTTAATCTGATATAAGGAGTGGGGACATGCATGCATACACAGACTAAGGGAATTTATGCTTGGTGTCTTTGGGGAGTTTTTGTGTGTGTTAAGCAGCAGCGGCAGCTTGCTCCATGCGCAATAAATGGACCGTCCACTTCCTCCCCACCAGCTGTAGAAGAAGAGAAGAGTTTGGATTTGATATCCCGCCTTTCACTCCCTTTAAGGAGTCTCAAAGCGGCTAACATTCTCCTTTCCCTTCCTCCCCCACAACAAACACTCTGTGAGGTGAGTGGGGCTGAAAGACTTCAAAGAAGTGTGACTGGCCCAAGGTCACCCAGCAGATGCATGTGGAGGAGTGGGGAATCAAACCCGGTTCCCCAGATTACGAGTCCACCACTCTTAACCACTACACCACACTGGCTCAAAGGCGGTGTAAGGCGGGCTGAGTGGGAGGAGGCAGACAGGCTAGACGCCCAGCGGTGGACCCCGCCCCTATGGTTACAGTATTTTTTTCTATATTTAATTGCTACATTCCATTTATAAGACGACCCATGGTTTTACACTTAAAAAAATTGGGGGGGGGGGGGGCTCGTCTTATACATGGAAAAATACGGTATTCTGTTTCTTGGACTATACTGTGCAGTAGAATCCAAGAGTTGACATAATGTCGGCATCTGCTGGCTTCTCGGCTGTAAATTTCACAAACTATTATGCCTGGGTCATTAAATATGTTTTTCTTTCAATCATATTGCTGGTGTGTCTGATGTACATACATACATACTCATTTTTGTAATCAGCACCATTTCGTTTTCTTTCCCAGTGCTCCAGGAACTAAGATGGCAGGAGAATTGATCGAACCTACTTCAGAAAAAAAAGTTCATATTGCAAGTAGAGACATATCTGAAATCCTGAAAGAAAGGTTTGAGCGGCTTTCAGAAGCAGATCAGTGAGTGGTCTTCGCAAATTTAAAAATATTTTAAACTGGGGTTGTTTTTTTCTGTTCCCATTTTCAAAGCATTGAAAAATTTACCTTGTTGTACATGGTGCAAGTAGTTTGTGAAGAATGGAGCCCACGTGATACCATACAAAATACCACATGGAAGCCTATGCCAAGTCTCTGCTTTCCTCTATTCACAAAAATAGGGAATGCTATTTTACCTGACTAGCAGGATTAGCAAGATAAACATTAAAGACAATGTTGGATGTTGAAACCAATGTGACTTGAAATAACACTTTCAGTGTTTTATTTAGTTTAACTTTTAATTGCATCCTTCAACTTAAAAGACAGGTCCCAGGACTTCAGAAAATGTATTTAGTATTGTCAGTTGAAATAACTGAAGACCACACGTTGCTTTTTATATATGACCCCATCATGTATAAAACATAAAACCCTCTGCTATTTAGAAATGTAAAAACATTTGTAAAACATTTCTTCAAGAGAACAGCAAAATCTTCAAACCAGTTTTAAGGATCTGCTAGGGTTCTTGCCAGTGACTATGGTTGTCCTTAGAAGCTGAAGTGATGTATTTACTATTGTCCCTCCTGCTGCTCCTTCTATAGCTGCTCATATGCTTGCATCCTCTATCGGAGCCTCAGAGTATTGGACAGCTGTTCACTCTAAGCGTAGATCTGGCAATCCTATGGACACTTGGAATAGTTCTCCAATTAACAAGAGGGCTTATAGCTCAATAGGTAGAATTGCAATCCTAAGTATTTTGTTGCAGCTGTGAAAATCACTGTCCCTTTTTAATACTGCAAGTGGTTGTATCTGTCAGCTCTAATAGGACACAGCAACATACTGGTAGCACTGGGGGATATACCCAAAGAATACAGTATTTGTCTGGTTTCACAAATGTGCTTCTTTGCACAGCACACAAGGATACAACTCTCCTAATGCACCATGTTTGTACATGCACAGCTATTAGCAATTCTTGAAATGTTTTTTCCTTTTCTTCCACAGGAGTTTTTTTCAAAGTGGATCCATGTTCCTTGCCTTAAATGGAAGTCTCTGCGGCTTAGTAGCAAATAGCTTGTTTAGACGTGTCCTGAATATAACCCAAGCTCGTATTGTATCTGCTCTGCCCATGGCTGTTTTACCGTTCATTACAACTGTGGTCACTTATGAGTGTTTGATTAATCGGCCTTTAATGGAAGGTACGTTATCTGCATTCAAAGCGAACTGTAACCTTTGAAATGTCTGTGCTGGGAAGGATGTATTAGCCACACTGGGACAAGGTTACCTACTCACAAGACAAGAGGCTATTTGCAATACTCCCCAGATATATAGGGCTATGGAAACTTGTTCCTTTAGCTCTTTGTAGTACTCTCTTCTTGAGAAAATAAAATGAGCTTAAGGTGCAGGTGAGGTGGGGGGTGCCCCACCCACTGATGGTATGCAAGACCTCACAGCTGGAAGAGTACCAGTTCTTTAAAACAGTAATAATACAGTGTGGTGTTTCAGCGCCTTACCTGCAATTTGGTGTTACTGTTGTTTCTATACTTTTCCGAAGCGTCCCAAAAGAAACTCAGTATATAGATGTAGATAATTGTTTTTGGCATCCAACATGGAGAGCCTTCTTGCATTCAAAAAGATTATCTTAGTCCCCTTTGAGTGTAAACTGCAGGATAATGCTGTTAAAATTACTTCCAAATACTCAACCTTCCATCTTGCCCAGTTAGCAAGTGATGATTCTGGATCATGTCACTGTACATATTTTGGTGGAGTAGTCTATAGTGCTAGAACGCCCAATGCATTGGCTTCTCTCTTCAAGGCACACCTTGGTCCCTCTTGTGGCATATATTTAGGGAATCTCAGGAATATTTTGCAGCAATACTTTTATGACAGGTGCTATTGAAATCTGAGCAGCTTATCAGCCTAACAAAGTCTAATCAAAATTAGGAAAGCAGATTTTAAGATGCAGTGATGTAAGCCTGCAATAGGGATGCTGTCACTACATCACTTAATTCACATGTTATTTGTCTGCAAATTTAAGTCAGACTTAGGGTTTTACAGCTTATCTGTCTATTTCGTTCTCCAGGTGATCTAAATTGTGCAACTTGCGCCTGGATCAGAGGTGGTGCAATTGGAGGAGTAATAGGTTGGTTCTACCCCATTTTCCTAGCTCTACCTTTGAATGCCGCTCTTGCAACAAGGTACGATTTTAATCTTCTATGTAAACTCAGCTTTTACATGTGCAGTTTTGGAAAATCCATTGCACTGATTGCAAGGGATGGAGGGGGGTGCTACCAGTGTTGGGACCATGAGCTGTTCACCCTTACATGGGAAATCCCTAAAATGGAATTTCAGTTAAAAATGCACATTGTTTTTCCACACCTAACTTCAGTTTTCTAGGATTACCTAAACTGATTTCCAAGTATAGCTTCCCCTCCATCACTCTCTTCAGACATCCATTGTCTGGGTTAATCTGCTTGAATCACAAGCACTTGCTATTGCTCTTTCATTCCTGAACACCACCTGAAAGGGAAATCTGAATAATGGACCAACAATTGGTTGTAAAATAAATAGGTGTAACAAAGTCTGCATCATTAGCTTGTGCCTAATGAAGTGTTTTCTGGCAACAATATAGAGCCATTAGTTTGTAGAACACCTTTCTGCACCTTTTCTGGCATCATGTAAATTGGTCCCCTTTCACATGTTGTGGCTGCATTTAATTAACACATGTTTTGTCCATATATAGAATTTGCTCAGTTTTTGCTTCACTTTTAGTATAATTATGAGGTAGTACACAGAGATGCAGCGTCTAGTATACAATTTGGTAAAAGTGGGCTAGCACCTATTTTGAAAGCCTAATCTTAAGACAACTGACAAAGAGACTAAAGAGAGCTTGTAAACTGCTGCTCCATCAGAAAACTTTCTTAATAAAGGCTGAATTTAACAGTAGCCTAGTGTTTGCAATTGTCAAGCTAATTCTTATTTCCACCCCACCCCAGGTATTTAACAACTCCCATGCCAGGCCAAGAAAACATGCTGCGCTACTGGTTGATGGTTTGCAAACCCGTTTACAAAAAGATGAAATATGCTGCAATCCTTCAAATTGCATTTGGAGCATACCTGACCTCAAAAAGTCATGAAATATACATTAAAATGCTGCAGTTGCCCCAGCCTGGAGAAGACCCTGAAGAAATAAAAGATAAAATTTGAATTTATGCAATCATTACTTATTTGGTTTTTCTTTATGTAAATCATCCTGCTAGTGTTTTTGTTTTTTAAAGTAGCTCTTAGCATATTGAGCAAGCCTTGGGACCTAATGGTGAAGGGCCAGTACTTTTGCCTGTGCTTTTTCCCCTCCCTCTTTCTTTTTGGTACGGGGGATAGGTGGAAAGTGATGAAGGAGACCAGTATACTTAGAAGAAACCTTTGTGGTGACGCTGGACAGGTTTCCCTCTTGCTCACAGAATTGTGGAGTTGGAAGGGACCATGAGGATCATCTAGTCCAATCTCCTGCAATGCAGGGAATCCTACCGTACGTAATACCATGGATGTGAGCAGCTGGTGTGTCTTACTTTTTTAAGAAAGAGTAGCTTCCATTAACGGGTGGGAGAACATTGCATCAAGGCTACCTTCCAGGAAGGTTTTCCAAGGAGTGGCTGACAAAGCAGCAGCCTACAGAGCATTGAAAAGCTCTGGGGTTTCATTTTTGAGATTGTAAGTTGCTTTAAATACTGTATCGTGTTTTATTGTTGTAACCAGCTTGGGCGGCGCTTAAGTAAATAAAGAAGAACATTCCCTAGAGCTCTTCAATGCCCTGCAGGTTGCTTACCTGACCATATTCCTCTGGAAGGGAAGGAAGAGATCTTGATTGTGCATCATTTAACACCTAGTGTACAACAAGCTCCTGCTCACCTCCCTGTTGTACTGTCTTAAGGAATAGCAGATCTGGACAATTTCCATGATGGATGCCACCAGAATAAAAGGAAAACTGCTTGGCCTGTGGCAAGTGGTATTTATGACCTACTTGCAGTGGCCCATGTTTCTCTTGCTGCCAGTTAAATGTTTTAATCTATGTTGCTAAAATATTTTTTATTCAAGACAGTTCTCAACATAATAAAATGTGTAAGGTAAATATTTCTATTTCTACATTTTTCTCAATTCTCATCACAGCATGGGTTATGTGAATTAAATATCATTTTCTAGAACACAGAACACACCAATCTGAACACATTACTCAAGGCAGAAGGACCACCCCTCTGTTTAAACAAACACATTTTCCATTCTTATAGACCATGCTACTACAAAATTGCTATATATTATATTCAAATGGTTTATAATCAACTTTGAGAATGTGCTCCAGAGAGACAGAGAATGTGTATATGTATGGAAGCAGCATCTAAGCTATAAAATGATGTGTCAGTCCTCACCCTGGTTCCAGATGAGTTGCAAACTCGTCTTAATATGCTGGTAACTCTGGCTGGGCAGGGATTTTTCCCTGCTCAATTAATCCAAGAATCCAGCCCCCCAAACAAGTGGGAATTAAACTTTGCATCATCAGATATAAGAATTTGAACTTCACACCCTTGCGTAAACCACCTCGGGTTGAAGAAGCAAACCTGAACATTCCTTCTCCTAATTTATGTCTAAATGGACAAATGTTCAGTAGTGTATAGGTGTTTGCTTTTGTTTTTTAACTGACATGGAGTATGTCCCCAACAAACCTTTTAGCAATTTTGGGAACAAGACGGATACATCCTATCTACTGTTTTTCAAATTGGATACTAAAAACCAGATAAACCTTACCTAACATTTTGCAAGTAAATGTTTTGATGCAGTCCAAAAATGTCAAACAAAAGATTTCTATTTTGGGTTAAATGGTAGCAGATGGAAACAGTATTCGTTTTGTTGGATGCCAATGTGAGACATGGCTCTCCACAATTACTTTGATGCCATCTGTCCAGGAAGTTATAGGGTGCAGAATAATGATTTCCCCCCACGATACTACTAAGCTGTTTAAAAGAAAAAATAAACAAGAAAGGTTAATTTGCGGTATTAAGATGCACACACATTTACATCACATTTTCTAAGTGAGATACTAAAAAAAGGCCTTATTTTCCCAACGGTGGTATAGTGCAGGTCAAAAAAGAATGACAATGTTCAAAAGCTGGTGTATTTGAAGTCTTATTTCCTATCAGCTTCTACCTGATACTAAGACAAGTCAACCACTGGTAATACAGTGGTACCTCTGGTTACGAACTTAATTCATTCTGGAGGTCCATTCTTTAGCTGAAACCGTTCTTATCCTGAGGCGCGCATTCGCTAATGGGGCCTCCTGCTCCATTCACATCCTGGGGCAAAGTTCACAACCAGGAGCAGCTACTTCCGGGGTAGCAGAGCTCGTAACCATAGGTACCACTTTACTAGATAAAGTTTGAGCTACACTGGTATCTCTGATTGCACACAGAACAGCAAAAACCAGAAAAATACAGGTTTGCCGCGTGCGTAACCCAAAGGGTACACAACCAGAGGTGTGCATATCCAGAGGTACCACTGTACAATGGTACCTCCGGTTACGAACGGGATCGGTTCCAGAGGCCCGGCTGTATTCCAAAAATTTCATAACAGAAGACCACGTCTGTGCACGTGTGAGCAGCAAACCCACTTCCAGGTCTGCTGCGTTTGCAACCCGAAGTTTACGTTACCCAAAGGTAACATAACCCGAGGGTCCACTGTATTTCCTTCTTGGAAAATCAGCTTTGCATGCAGGAATTCCTAGCTTCACTTTTCAGCATCTCAATGAAGGAATGTGAACAATCCAGGTCTGAAACCCTGTCTGGCAATGTTGACAATCCTTAGCTAGATGGACCAAAGGCCTCAGTCAGTGTAAGTCACCTTCCTGTGTCCCATAAACTGATTCAGCACAACATTAGGCTGAATTGTAATTTATCATTTAAGCAATACCTAGTAGTTTAAGTGCTTTATTCATTCAACATTCCAAACAAGGTGACGACATTTTCTGACTCAGGTGCATGTAACATCTGTGCAACTCACTAGGACACAACTATCTGGCCAGAAGGCTCTAACTGAAGGCACCACTAGTGGTGAAATTATTACTTTTTATAGTAAGAGTCATGCCAGATAATCCATTGCTGTCTGGAAAGTTAATTCATAGATAGGAGCCACTGATATCTAGGAGGGAGATGGCTGGAGCAAAGTCTGTTCAGGCCCTCACCAGTCTACATTAAAGAACATACTCTAAACAGAAAACTTGAGGACGTTTTGCTTATGCCACCAATAGCTCCTTGGAGAAAAGGTGGATGAGTAGATGAGCCTATTGAACTTTATGGCAGAGCACCAAGTGGGCCTTACACTAGTCTTGTTGCAAACAAAATTATTTTATCACCGACTTGCTCTCAATAATTTATTCTTGGAAAGAGGACAGCCAGCAAAAGTTGGTTAACCAGCTCCCAGTGCAATCGTAACATGTTCCCAGCACAGCAATGCATAATTTTTTAACAGCCAACATTAACATAAAAATAGCCTTAAGTGCTCAATAGCAAACAGTAAGCAATCTAAAGCAGCTTACTTTTTCCTGTTCAAATGTTACTAATGCTTTCCTAATCTATTATTGTTCGCACACACATAACGGTAAAACAGGTGGTTTTGACTGTATTTTACTATACATTATTATACTTATTTGTTTATGAAAGTACATAACACCCTACTGCGAAACATCAGGATCGTCACAACATTAAAATATTTTAAAGCAATCATGAAAGTGTCTGGCTACTCAAGGGATATTTTAAAGAACTGCGTAGGTTTGCTGACATAAGTATTTAAAAGACTCTTGGAAAGCACAAAGTGAGGGTGCTTTTTGGACACAATTATCTTATATGTGCAGAGCTAAATGTAATATGACCTCTTAATGACCTGAGCAAGAGGATGTGAATAAAATACATGGTAAGTGATTTTCTACATTACTGCAAACTCTGGTTAATAACCCTAAATCAGCAACTCTTAACATAGCCAGTGTATCACTGGTCATATACAGAAAATGCTCTGAACAGCAGCATTAATCCAACCCCAACTACAGCAAGAAATGAGCTGCATAAACCACAATGCTGCTTTGATATCACACCAACTATTTTCCAACTGTGTCACACCAGTCAACATTTAAAAAGCCATTCAATGAAATTAAAATTTTATAACATAAGATTAAAAAAAATCCTTTGAGCCTGTAACTGGAAGATCAACACATTTTTTTTATTAGGACACTGTGTTCTCATAGGTATGACACAACTAGTTGCACAGAAACATTCACACATATTTCAAGTACTATTATTCAAGGCTTCAATTTCAAAAAAATATTCAACAATACTCAACCGATTGACAAGAAAAAAAGGTTTGCAATTTTATTTGGCTTCAACATGCTTCAATAGGCACTAAAATCCCTGCAGTCATATTTTTGAGATTTTTGCTAAGCAAGTGTGTCATTTGCCTTGTTGAAAAACAAGCAGCCACTCCCTTTGTATACAGATGCAACAGCTTATTCTTCAAGGGGCAATGACACACAAGGTGGATCAACTACCCAGAATGTTTTTTATCTAACAAAGTATTTCAATAATACAAAATTAAAAGAGAGAATGTCTGCTTTCACAGAAATACCACATTAACAAAAATGTCTATTGTGAAAAGCAATTGTAAAAATGCATCAACTTCAGAAACTACGCAGCACAGTGACAGCCAATTGTGGCCTGTCAACTGGAAAGGTACTAGCAACAAAAAGGAGGGGATGTTGACCCTAGCTTTTGAAAAACAACAGCACTAGGTCATAAGGAGCATTAATGGGACTGTATATAATGTACTGCTTCCATTATAAACACAGAATGCTGAATAAGAGTATAATTTTAAATTGATTAGTATACAATTTCAGGTGTTATGCTCCCATGCCATCAAGCATGGGTTATGAATAGCTAGAGGACTTTCCAAGATTGCACTCATTTACAGCAACTGGTATATGGGGACTAACCCAAGATATGTACCAGTATATAGATTTGTCCTGTGTTGGGCTGCAATTTCCCCCAGAAAAGGGATGCCAGCCACTCTGTATAGTTCAGAGATAGGCAGATAAGAAATACACCTGTACTACAAATATAACCCAAAACATGAACAGCCATATAAATGAATTTATAGTTCAGGCGAGGCTCATGGTCTCTGCTATGCCGAAAGGATGTACTTCAAATAATTTAGACAATTGACTGAGAATAAGGAGGAAATTGATGTAGGAGAACAAGTGCTTTTTCACACCGTTACTTTTCACATTAGTATTATACTCATTTTCTTGATAGACTGTATTATTCAAAACATTCACATAATTTTGCAGTGTTGTTTTAAAGTAAAATGCTGCAAAAGCCCTGTTACCTTTCCCCCTTTTTAATCATACTACCTTTTAAAATAAAGCAGGAAGTGTGCCAGCAGCTGGTCCCGTCTCTTCTGCCCCATGACAGCTGTATCCACTTCAGCATAAAGAAAAACAAGGATGCTAAATACACATATACTTTATTAATCAGTGAGGTTTCACAAAGAATCGTATCTCCTTGTACTCAAATTAACTCCTGATTCTGATAACTGATTATGTGTTTAACAGGAAGTATTCCACACAAATAGCAAGAGAACAAAAATAATATGGAGAAGCCTCCTTTAGGAGGCATACCTTTTCCAAATTTAACATTCTTTGTGGAACCCCACTTTACATTTTCACACCCCTTATTTCCCCAATTTACAGAAATTAAAGTATTAACCATTTTAATACAACAGAAAAAGTTGAAGGTGTTTGACAACAAAAACTTTTCCTCAACCCTAGACATGGACAGTTGCAGGAACACTATGAAGATGAACATTTGTTCACCTATTTTTTCTCTCCTTAGGAACACATCAGATTGATATGCCAATTCCATTTTGCTACAACAATTTAAGAGACCTGTATGTGCCTTAATCATGAAAACTAATTCCACTGGGCTGTGATAGAAGACTTAATTTTTTGGAATAAATAAGTGTTTAGTAATATTCATGCAGTGCAGTCTTCAAACTGTACGTAACAGTGCAAAGGGTCAGTATGGTTGAGCACTCCTGCTTGCAAAATTACTGTTCTCATTTACATTCTTAATTAGTAAGCTAGAAAGTACCCAACTATGTCAGGATCTTGGTACTTTTATTTGGACATGTCCTACCCCTAGCCAACATGGGAAGATAATAGTGAGGAGTTTGGGAGTTTAAGCATAGATGCAATAGTAAGAAGCAGCCTTTCTCAACCTTGAGTTCCCAGATGTTGGACTACCACTCCCATCATCCCTATCTGCTGCCCCTGCTGGCTATGGATGATGGGAGTTGCAGTCCAACAACAAGTGGGAACCCAAGGTTGGGAAAAGCTGAGTTAGAGCCTTATTTCGCTGGTGAAATGCAACATCAAATATGAATATATGGGGCTTATTTGTACCTTAAAAAGTTCATCTTCACCATCTTAATTAGTAGACTGGTTTTCATCCCCCTTTCTCCACATTCAAATGTATGGCCAAACATACATTTAAGCAGCACCTGTTTTTGAAAACTTCAGCTACTCTGTAAAAACTCTGCATAAAATAACATCTGTCCTGATAAAGCCTTTCCAAAAATAATGAATGACTGGAAAAGGCAATGCAGCTTGACTAACCATTAAATTGCAAGTTGCTCAATCAGGATCAACTGATTCTACAAAATGTCTCCAGGGCTTCTGAACTCTTCTAAAGACTGGTCCAGACCAAGTAATAAGAAACCCCAGAGTAAGCATCAATGCAAAGTTGTCTGATACCACATTATGGGAATATAGGGATCCTTACCAGGTTGCGAGGTGGAAAGCGACTGTTCTTTTAACCCCTACACAACGGAGCCTGGCAGGGCAACCACCTAAAAGAGAAACTGTCAGAGAAGTTTAATAGTAATGTATAACAGATGCGATATAATTTCACATGCATGTTTTAAACTACCTGCTGCACGGTATTACTATTCTGCTCTTAAGTCTGTCCAGTGAGGAGGTCAACGTTTACAATTCCCAGAAACGCAGACTAGATTTTTATCTGCCAGACAGAGCATTATTTTTACTGGCAACCAACACCAGGTGCCGCCATTTCAGGCAATCATTTTTTGTCTTTTTTTTTTTTTTAACAAAACCACCTGGCAGTCTCGAATTGTGCCATCTGCGTGCCATTGTGAGAGATGTCCTGACCATTGTGTGCCTTAAAAACGGGTCCTCTGTTTACAACACGGCCAAACAGGCACCCCAGCATCGATCCGTCCTGTTCACACGCACGCGAAGGTCTGCGTTTTTTTTTTTTAACTCTCTGCTACGGAAGGGAAGGAAGGAACATGCCAGTTTTCTGACTAAACCCCCCGTTTGTGCGCTGCGCGTTTATGTCTGCTTGCTGCGGCTTGCTTTCCTCCCTCTCTCTTCCGCTCTGTCCTCTGACTGCCTCCTCCACTATACAGCACACACCCCCTGGGCGATCGCGGGAAGGCACCCCGAGACAAAAAAATGTTATGTTCTGCGTAGTTAGGAGCGAAGAAGAAGCGGAATACTTGACCCTACATTTTGGAGGCGAGGGCAGAGTAGGAGTCGGCGGTGGAGGGAGGCGAGGCGGCCGCCGCCCCCAAAGCAGAGCCCACCGCCGCCCGCCGGGCGCAAGCCGAGCAGAACTCCACCGAAACCTGGTCGCGATCCACGTGCAGGCAGATGCCGCCGGCGCTGGGGGAAGCCGCCCTCTTGCGCTCGCCTCCCTCGGGCACCACCGGCAGGGCGTAGTCGTGGTCGCCGCTGGCCTCGTAGGCCGGCCTGGCCTCCAGCACGGCCGCCGCCGCCCCGTCGTCGACCAGGCCGCTGCTGCTGATGCGGAGCCCCACTCTGCCGTCGCCGGCCAAGCGGCTGAGGAGCCTCCCCAGGGCGCTCTGGTTGGCCAGCACGGCGCGCAGGTAGCTGGTCTCCCGCTCCAGGTCGCGCAGGCGGCGGCACAGGCCGCGGTTGCGGTCACGGAGGCCGCGGTTCTCGGCCGCCAGGCCTTGCAGGCGGCTCTCCAAGCCCATCACGTACTGCTTCTTCCGCTGGCGGTTCAGGCGGGCCGCGGCCGCGGCCTTCAGGCGGCTGCTCCCCGCTGGCCGCGCGGGGCGACGGCCCTGCGGCTGCGGCCTCTGCTGCTGCTTCGGTTGCTGCTCCTCCTCCTCAGTCTCCGCGCAGGCCCGCTCCGGACTCGCCAACCAGCCCGGCCGGTTCTCGGTCGCCACCACCGCCGCCTCCAGCCAGTCGTCCAACTCCAGCTCCAGGCCCGCCGGGAAGAGCAGCTCGACGCCACCCGCCTCCTCGAGGGAAGAAGAATCGTCGCTGTCCTCTCGGCGCGGCGGCGCGGCTTCGTCGCCCGCCTCGGCCCGGCTGCCGCTCCTGCCGGGAGGAGGCCCTTTGCTCGGGGATGGGCAGGCCGACGAACTGGCCAGCAGCTGGGCCAGGCTGTGGCGCATAATGGCGGCGGCGGGCAGGCCCCAGCTACCGCCGCAACCGCCGCCGCCGCCTCAGTCCCAGCCCTCCCCGACGCCTGAATCAGATCCGCCTGGGCTGCTGCGTCTCCGCCTCAGCGGGAAAGCGCGGCTGTTTCTTCCCCCGCTCGCCTTCCGCGCCTCCGAGGGAAGATGAGGAAGCGACCCCGCCTCGCGCCTCCGCCGGGCCGTTAATGGCGGAGAAGGCGGGCCCGGGCGGTTGGCGCCTGCGCACTGGCTCGAAGGCGCTCCCTCGAGGGGCAGAAAATGGCGGAGGCGGCACCTACCTCCTCGCCCTCCCGTTTACCTCAGAGCGGGAGCTTTAAAGGCGAGGGGATTCTGCACAGGGCTGGGTCTTGTAAATGACGGGCCTTGTTTATGCTCGCTTGTATTTAGCCATTATTATTATTATTATTATTATTTTATTTTATGTTATACCTCGCGGTATAGGGCGGTGTATAAAGTCAATAAATAATAATAATAATAATAATAATAATAATAATAATAATAATAATAAATTTATTTTATTTTGTATCCCTCCTTGCCCCCCCCCCACGGAACTCAGTTTTTTCATTTATTTATTGCATTTCTACATGCAACATTTCCTTTCAAGGAGCTGTAGGTGGGTGCAGATACCCTTTCACATTTCTCCCATGGAAAAAAAGAGACATCCTATTCTTATATTACTACTACTATTTATAGGGCTGTCAAATGTCCAGAATTTTCCAGGCATTGCCGGAAAACAGTGTCCAGATTGGGGGGGGGGGATAATAACCACTGAATATCAGGTACAATCCAGATGTATGGCAACCCATATCGGAAGTCTAGATTTTGGCGAATTTCCTTAAAAATATCTGAAAAACTTCATTTTCTTTTTTAGATTTTGCAGAAAAGAAAAGAAACCTCAACTACAACTTTGGCAAAAAAAAAACACCTCAACAACAACAAAAAAGCTCAATTACCGATTTATATTTATATACCTGTTGCTTGTAATCATTTGCTTCTTAGTCCTTACCGGTTCCATCCAGTAGTAAGCCCAATTGATGCCACTGCAATTATTATTTCTATTAATTATTATATTTATTAGTCGCTTTTTGCCATGGCGACTGGAAAAAAATACATCCAAAAAATACATATCTCAATCTCAGCAACCTAAGAATGGTCGCCTTCCTACTCTAAACAAAATTATCTTAAAACTGGTATCTAAAATAGGGGGGGAAATGATCTGGTAAAAGATTATTTTATTTTCTCAAAGGCTGTAGGGCTGTTAGGAGCAAAGCTGACAGCAAAGGCTTACGCTATGAAATGTCGGAGTTTGGTATTTAATTCTTTCTCTTTCGTAAGCAACTCTGTGCTGTGCTTCTTGTACGCTTCAAAATGCATCCGGAGCTCAGTGTAGGCTTGCTGGGTGCCATCCAGCCGCCTCCGCAGGTCTCGCACCCGGAGGTTGCAGTCCACTGCTACAGCCTCCATCTCAAAGCGCAGCTCCGCCGCCTGCTTGGCTTTCTCCATCTCTTCCGCCTTCTTCTCCAACTCCGCAATCTCCCTTTGCTTGTCCTGCAGCACCTTGCCTCTGTCCATCGCCAGGCTTAGCAGCTCCTCCTTCTCCTTGGTCAGCTTCTCCACCTTGGCTTGCAAGGTGCAGTCCACCTCTCTTAGCTTCTTTTCCGCTTGCTGCAGTTCCTCTGTGACGTGGCTGTGTTTCTCCTCCAGGATACCCAGCCGGCTTCTCAGCGACTTGATTTCCTCGGCCTTAGATTTGGCTTCCTGCTGGTGGACTTCCAAAAGTTCCTTCTCTCGCTCTTGGGCTCGGCGGCTGTCCTGTTCGTAACGTTCCTTTAAGGACTTCGTTTCATCCAAGAGTTTCTTAAGCTCAGAAGTGAGCTGGGCCACCTCGGCCTCTTTCTCTTCTAAAGCCTGGCAGAAGAGGTTCTGGTTCTCCACGCGCAATCGGTGGTTCTCTTCCCTCAGCTGCAGGTTCTGCCTCTTGTGCTCGTCCTTGAAGTGGATCATGTCCTCGTGGTTGGCAGCCAGATCCATGAAGCGCTCTTCCAGCTGCTGCACGCGCCGCGTCTGGTTCTCCAGCCGCATAGCATCCGCCATCCTCTGTTCCTCCAGGTCCATGTTGATCCCCTCCAGGGCCTTGCAGCGCAAGAGCTGCTCATCCGCTCGCTTCTTGAGGATGCAGATCAGCTGGGACTGCTCATGGAGCCGTGAGCGGAGCATGGCCTTCTCCCCCTTCTCCCCGTCGGAGAGACCTTGGAGTTTCTCCAAGGCCTCAAAGGGGTCGCCCATGCTCCAGTCTACATCATCATCATCTTCTTCTACCTCCTTTGGTACCTTGGGAAAGGCCATTCCTGGACTCTTCCCATCCTGAGGCATGTTGAGGAACTGCTGCCTCTTCTCAATGCTGCAGAGTTGTGCAGCGCTTCCCCCTCAAGTAGCATTCAAAACTTCTGCTGCTGGCCCAAAAGGCAGTTGGTCCAAACGTTCCAAGAATCCCGTGAGGTCATAAGCCAAGAACTGCTGGGCTTTGCAGGGGCCTCCTGACCTTGTTGCATTCCTTCTGCGCTGCAGGTGGGAAACGCAGATCTGCAAGGGAGCAGGGAATTGATGCAACACACCAACCCGGCCAGGAACGAAAGCCACCACACTAAATCGGTGCTTAGTTTCCTAATCAAAGATAAACAGTATGAGAGCTTCACCTCTTATTTAATCCCCCTCCCCCGCGCCAAAAAAAAGATGTATTCCCTGTTAATCCTAATTGACTCTTAGCTTCATTCTCCCCTTTTCCTGAGTTAGGCTTAGATAGGGCCATTGAAGTCAATGGTCTTCCTGGTAGCAGCAACACAGCTACGGAATTCTCCTTCCCTTGGGAAGCCCAACTGGATCCTTATGTCTGGGCGTTAAGATGAGCAATGAAGGCATTCCTGTTTCACCATTCAGTGCTCATCACTGGCTGCATGCACACCATATATTTAAAGAATGTGGTTTACTCCAAATAATGTTGGGAACTGTAGTTTTTATAAATGGTGCTGGGAATTGTAACTCTGTGAAAAGTAAACAAAAATTCCCAGGTTTCTTTGGGGGGAGCCATGTATGGTGTGTGTACACTGCCTTGATTATTCTTCTACCGGAACAGTTTCTGGTGCTGATGGCACCTGTTTCTTTCGGTTCTCTGTTACGTGTGTTGTTGCTGAGATTTTATTGGAAAATGTATTTTAGAGTTGTTGTAAGATGCCCTAAACCCTTGTTGTTGAAAGATGAGATAGAATTATTATTTTTTTAAAAAAATATGCATATGATTGGGCTATAAATGCATTATGCTGATACTTTGCCATATACACTGATAAAACGATACTACAGTTCTATACATTGTTCCATATAACCCTGTACTAAAGTTACTATAGAAGTATTTCAGCAGCAGCCTAGTGATTAACTCATAGAGCCCCAGCTACAACAACACATGACCCACTATTTTCAGCTGAATATTTTATTTAAGGATAATGAACGCTAGCTATCTAAGAAAAGGGGGGGAAGCCTAGTTCAGCAATCCACAATAATATTGTTGCTAGATTGCCACCTGATTACTGTATAGGTGGCTCTTTTAAAAGCAAAGCCTGATTTCCATTTGGGTGGGGTTTGACAAAAGAATGTTAATAGCCCTTAATGATGCAGTGGATGTCTTTTTACAGGAGTTCATTGTTAAAAGATGGGTTTGTTGATGCAGATCTCTTTTGAATGTGTTTGGAAAGAAAAAATAACCACCACCCAGAATTTGGAGAGGTGCCTGTGAGAGAGAGGCCATAACAAAATAAAAATTTTTGATGTGAGGCAGAAGGTTTTTAAAAAAACAAGAAGCAGAGAGTGGGAATAAATGGTTCCCCCAATGGGAGGGATGTTGAAAGTGGAGTCCTCCCAAGGATTGGTATTAAGACCTGTTCATAAATGATCGAGTTATGTGAGAGTGCTGGTGTGCTCAAGTCCTACTTGACCTTTGTGAAAATAGGATGCTGGATATATGGGCCTTTGGCTCAATCTAGCAGGCTGTATCTTGTGGAGCAGTGTGCCTCTTTTCTGAGAGCTCCCTGGTAGCAATGTGTGTACAGTGGCACCTCGGGTTACATACGCTTCAGGTTACAGACTCTGCTAACCCAGAAATAGTACCTTGGGTTAAGAACTTTGCTTCAGGATGAGAACAGAAATCGTGCTCCGGCGGCACAGTGGCAGCAGGAGGCCCCATTAGCTAAAGTGGTGCTTCAGGTTAAGAACAGTGTCAGGTTAAGAACGGACCTCTGGAACGAATTAAGTACTTAACCCGAGGTACCACTGTACTAGATTCAGGTAGGTAACCATGTTGGTTTGACGCAGTCAAAATAAATAAAATGTCCAGTAGCACCTTAGATACCAACTAAGTTTGTTCTGGGTATAAGCTTTCGTGTGCATGCACACTTTTTCAGATTCTTCAATTCAGAATTTGTATCTGAAGAAGTGTGCACACGAAAGCTTATACCCAGAACAAACTTAGTTGGTCTCTAAGGTGCTACTGAAAGGAATTTTTTTAATGTGTATACTGTTTGCCTTCATCACAAGAACATAGGAAAGCTGCCTTATTCCAAGTCATACCATTGGTCCCCCTAGCTCAGTATTGTCTACACCAGGGGTTGTCAACCTGGTCCCTACTGCCCAGTTTCAGGATTCTAGATGGGCAGTAGGAGGTTCTACGGCACAAGCTGAATCCTCCTTCCATCGAGTACTGGTGGGTGGGAAGAAAATTTTACCATCAAGAAAGATGCATTAGTGGGTGGTAGGCATAAAAAGGTTGACTACCCCTGGTCTACACTCTTCCACTTATGCTCTACTTGTGTATATCTTCAAGTAAACCAAATACTACAATATGGCATTCGCTTCCAGTTATCTCTTCCCCAAAGGAAGATAAGCCCTGATAATGCCGTTCCTACTAGTTCTCACTGCTTGGGCAAGTGGGGAATGCCTCAGATTATCATTTATTATAAAGGCATTCATATATGTGACTCTTTATACTTGCATAAGCAGAAGAGCAGAATTCCCCCTGACCTGAGAAATTTACCATATTAAGCTTAGAGTCAATGGACAGCTTTAGGATGGGTACTGGGAGCTAGCACAATTGAATGTACTTGTTTTTAATTTTAGCTATGTTGATGGTTAAAGCGTTAAGACCAAAAACACTTTATGGGAGGGATATGGTTTGAACTGGGAATTAAAAGAATAGAGAGAGAAGGGAGGTACTACATAAAAATTGAATTATGTGGCTCTTTTTCTCTCCCAATAACAATTATTTAACCTACACTGTAGTCTCATGACAAATCCCAAAGCTTGCTAGAATTCCAATTTTTAATCACATGCATTCTGGGAGCAGATATGTATGCTGTCCAATTAGCACAATTCATAAATATTATATTGGATGGGGGAGTGTGTTGTTCTTATCACAGCTCTGTCTATGCTTGTTTGTTAATCAGCAGAGCCTCTGAGTAAGTATTGAATAATGTTTCAAGGCTAAACAATGTAATGGTTAAAAGGCAAAGCATGACTAATGAACATTACTACTCTTTCCTAAAAATGGTCAAAGGGACTCTGTTTTGGGAACATACTCCCACAACACCAGAGTGGTATCAGATCCCTGAAGCTGGAATGGGTTGAATTGAGGGATTAAAGAAGGATCTAGCCTGAGAGAAAATAAAGATCTGACTATGAAGGTTTTCTTACTCTCTTAACTGCACAATTCTGTACATATCTACTCAGAAGTAAGCCCCATTGAGTTCAGTGGAGCTTACTCCTAGGTAAACAGGAGTGCACAAGATTACAACCTATAAAATAAATTGCAGTAAGTTCAGTGCTCTTATAATAAAAACAAATTTGTACATCAGAATACTTCCAGTTGCTGTTCCAACATTCAGAAAAGGTCATCCAATTTCATTTCAACAGATATTGGCGTCATCCTGTTTCTTTTATACTCGTACATAATTGTCTGGTTTTGCCATTTTAAAATAGCGTTTATAAATATTTATTTTTTTAAAAGAAGTTAATCAAAGAGCCATAAAATGTTTCCTTACCAGGCCTTTATTCTTTTACTATCTTGGTCTGACAGCCTTGTTGAGTTTGCATCTCCATGGCAATTAAGATTGAAGCGGACTCCTTGCCAAGTGTAGAGCCAGGCCAAACAAGAAAGAATGCATCCTGGAAGCTCTGGAAAGCACGTTCCTTGACTGTGACCCTCTGTGATAGATGTCTCTTTCCTTTCCCTCCCAAAGGAAGCCTGAAAATGACCAGCAGCTCACCACTATTACTGCCAACTCTGAAATAATATTGTGTCCCTGAGAATCAAATGAGGAAGAAATAAAAGGTACCTATGTTCTTAAAAACCAGGCTGGTTGTTTTTTTTTAAGTAACTTGCTAATGAGGAAAAGAATCAGAATACAGTATAGGCAAGACAAGCTTGCATAATGGGGCTATCAGTACTTTCCTAGCTATGTTTACTCAAAGTTCTCTTGCAGTTTCTGACATTAAGTTATTTGGCTTTTTCTTCATAATTAGGCCAGATAACTTCCCACCAGCAGCTGCACAACAGACCAGTATCCATGGTAAGGTAGTACAAACTGATGCTTAGATGTTCTGGGTTAACCAGAAAGTAAGTTCAGGTACGCTCAGGTGTTTAGCGAACCTCTATCAGGCTGAACCAGATATACCTAAGCATAACTGAAAGTGCAAGGGGGGGGGAATTTGTATTTGACTTTTTTTTCAGAACAGAACGCAACTGGAAAGTGAATGCACCACCAAAAAAAAAAAAAGCACAAAGAGCGAATGCAGCACGCTTTGTCTCTCTCGCAATTTCAACATTTGCTCATCTGAGCATATACATAGTTTCTAACAGACTTTTTGAGTTTAGAAAGCGTGAACAAATAAAGTTCCAAATCTTGCAACATTCAATTACAATGCATAAAAGTGTTTGCTCCTGTTTTAAGTATCGCTTCCTGCTTTGCCCAAATGGTGGCACTAGAGAACATTTTAAAAGCCCTGACGCATTGAAAAAGCCAGCAGCACATTTTGCAATGGAGGTGTTTGTTTGTTTGTTTGTAGTCTCACTTTAGCTTCACCAATAGTAAAAGCTAGTAAAAAGGTAAGAGTGATGATGAGCCATGTTTGACGATGTGAACAGGGTCTTGCTTACAGAAAAGGATGAGGGGGAAGAGGAGAATCTGCAGTTTCAAGGTCGTTAGTAAGTTGAACAACCTGTAAAAGTCTTCCATCTTTGCAGGTACCCTATTTTGAGTTCTCCAGTTCTAATGACTTGTGCAACATGGAAATAACAGAAGCTGGAACTACACTTTTATAGCAGAGGTAGGGCTGCCCCACCCCACCTCTCAGCCCTAAGCTTTTTCCTGTCATGTTTAGGAATGCTCAATGTTTGATAACATTCAGCTGTGAAGTTGCCCCAATCCTCACTAGCAGAGGCTAATAGATCAGGCATGGCCAAACTTGGGTCTCCAGCTGTTTTTTGGGACTACAACTCCCATCATCCCTAGCTAACAGGACCAGTGGTCAGGGATGATGGGAATTGTAGTCCCAAAACAGCTGGAGGGCCACGTTTGGCCACCACTGGTGTAGATGCTTCTTTCTGTCATGTCACACACTGAGTAATCATTAGGCCTTAGAAGAGGGAGGGAAGCAAGACACAGGGGTGGCTGTTCTTCAGTGAAACACTGATGCAATGTCTAGTTCCAGCCTAATACACAAGAGATTGAATCCCACACCAATGCTTACCATTAACATCCACGTTTTCAACCGCTAATTACAGATTTTCCCAATTCGAACAATAAAAGGCCGTTTTTGAAAGGAAGATGGGATACATGCATCAATTAGATTCAGCTTTACGCACTATCACAGCTACAAAATAGCACCACGTTGGCAGGTGCATTCACATGTTCACTTTGGGGAATGTGGGCCAGTGGAAGACAGTAAATGCATGCTGAAATTTAGTGAAATCGGCAACTTTCCCCCTCCCCCCCATATGCTATTCAAGGTGGCCACAGAAGGCAACAGTACACAATATTTTAAATATATATATTTTACAGTTTTAATTCATCTTTAAGAAAGTTTAATTTTTAATAACAGTACCTGAGGGCAGGAAGGAGTTGACATGCATTATCAAAGCAGCATTTAGTAAAATAGTTTAAAATTGTATTGCAGGCACATATGCCCTCTGATGAAATTACAAATGAATATATCAGCCAATGTGCAGCCCCCCACCCCAAGTTCCTCTCTATTTTTGCCTGGCTCTTCTTTCCACCCAAATGCCAGCAAGCCATACAAACAGGAAGCGTCCAAAAGGTGCATCATCTATTTCGGCGTTTTTGCCATCATCAGCATCCTGAGTGGCAGCGTATCTTCAACCCAGGTGTTTGGAGAATCAATCATTCGTTCCCATAAGTTGCTTTCATCTGTTGTAGAGTCCATCCAGTCTACTGGAGTACCGTAGCTTTTACCTAAAGAAGTGGGTTTTTTAAAAAAACATTGAATTAGCATTGCCTTTTATCTGTCATGTACACAACAGTAACTGCAAAGTGCTATAAGCTATCTCCCTTAAGCAGTACGCACTGGGTTACAACCAGGAGAAACCTTGGACTAATCTATACTGGTGAGTTATAATGTTATAAAGGTAAAGGGATCCCTGACCATTAGGTCCAGTCGTGGCCGACTCTGGGGTTGCGGTGCTCATCTCGCTTTATTGGCCAAGGGAGCTGGCGTACAGCTTCCGGGTCATGTGGCCAGAATGACTAAGCCGCTTCTGGCGAACCAGAGCAACGCATGGAAACACCATTTACCTTTCCGCCGGAGCGGTACTTATTTATCTACTTGCACTTTGACGTGGTTTTGAACTGCTAGGTTGGCAGGAGCAGGGACTGAGCAACGAGAGCTCACCCTGTCGCGGGGATTCGAATCACCAACCTTCTGATCGGCAAGTCCTAGGCTCTGTGGTTTAACCCACAGCACCACCCGCATCCCTTATAATGTTATAAATGTGTTATAAAAATGTGACACCAGGGGGCTATGTACAGAGGTCAATGGAAAATTGCATTGAGAGCTACATAATGTTTTGGTTTGTTTTTTTAAAAAAAGATAAGTGCAGATCCAGCACTTGTTGCACAAGCAGAAATCCTTACATGGGGCTCATGAAGTGAATCCTGTCCAATATTTCAAGAGCACTTTGTTTCAAAGCCATTGGGTCATAGAATCATAGACATAGCTGTCAACGTTTCCCTTTTTTTAAGGGAAATTCCCTTATTCCGAATAGGATTCCTCACAAGAAAAGGGAAACGTTGACAGCTATGATCATAGAATTGTAGAGTTGGAAGGGACCCCAAGGGTCATCTAGTCCAATCCCCTTCAATGCAGGGGTCTCAGCTAAAGCATCTATGGCAGATAGCCATCCAACCTCTGGAGAGTCCACAACCTCCCAAGTGAGACCGTTCTACTGTCGAAGAGCTCTTACTATCAGAGCTGTTCCTGTGTTTAGCCGGAATCTCCTTTCTTGTAACTTGAAGCCACTGGTTAGAGTCCTACCCTCCAGAGCAGGAGAAAACAAGCTTGTTCCCTCTACCATGTGACAGCCCTTGAAATATTTGAAGATGACTATTGTATCTCTGTAGTCCCCCTCCCCAAAATAATAATTTTGAAATTTCACCCACTTACTATCTCTAGGGTGGTGGGGAGAACTTCCACTTATCTGAAATTACCTGTTCCAAGTCCTATCCTGAGGCCTCCAAGGAAGTGATTGGCTAGTTTGTTGTGATCCCAGACAGTGAGCTCCACACAGGCTTCTTTCAAATCTTGAGGTCTGAAGCCATCATAGACCATTGTATGATTGAACACTGGGTTTGTTGTCTTCGCTACAGCTCTTGTTTTCTGACGGCTTTTCCTGCTTGTGTCTGGAAGGATGGTACTTTGGATAAAAGTGGGAAGAGGGAGAAAAATGACCATGAGAATAAACTTAGACACTTGAGACTTGGTTCGTACCACACAAGAAGCTGTTGTTGTCCCAGTAATCTGGGGTGGGCGGATGACTTTTGGTGGAAGTAAAGAGAGAAACTAGTTCTGCAACCAAGAAAGAAGGGATTCGATAAAACAGAGAGGGAACGCTGATAGAGGTGACCCAGCCATCTTGTGGAACAACTACCGTATTGGCCCGAATATAAGCCACACTTTCCCCCCAAATTCCGACCGTGAAAAATTCAAGTGTGGCTTAAATTCGCAACTTTACAAAAATTGGCTTTTACGATATTGCTGCTGAAACAGACAAATGGTAAAACGGAACAAAAAAATGTTTTATTGCCGATTTGCGAGCTTGCGGGTATTCTCTGTTACCCGTAGTATTTTCTTCTACATTTGCCATTTATGGGTGTGAGTGCCTGCAGAATGGTAGCAATTGAATAGTGATTTGTGATTTTAGCAATTGTAACTTTTCAGGTATTGTCTTTTTTTCTTTTTCCCCCTTGAATTTTAAAGGTGCGGCTTACTTGTGGGTACGGGATATATTCAGGCCAATATCGTATATAATTGTATAACTCTATCACCAGCTTTATATTATTTTTAAGTTTAGTGGGTTTGTAATCTTTTGCATTATATATTTTATCTTAACTTTTTTTTGGTACTTTGGCTACTTTTGTCATGAAGCACTTTATAAATCGGCAAAAAATAAACAGGAAACCTCCTCCCCTTGCATCTCAGGCAACAAGAGGCGGTACACTGATGTTCAGTTTGCAGGTGTGCTATTGCCACATGTGCATTAAACAGAGAGAGGCATGCAGGCTCATGCCTGAACTCATTTTTTCAATATCTTGTTGATTCGCATCTTCACAGATTTCCCAGCTGCAGCCCATGTGGGGCTATGATGTTGTGACAGAAATTGCCACAAACATGTTGGGAGCTGATTTGGATAATAAAGAGCTTCTGGGCCATGGGCTGGACACAGAGGAATGGTGGAAGAAACCAGATGGGGAACTACCAAGGAAAGAAGGCTCAGAGCCCGAGGAGTGATAGTGGGACAATAATGAGTGGTCAGAAGAAGACTGGGAGGAAGAGGTGTTAGAAGCTGAGGAAGTAACAGGGCTTAGTGAGCTGGGAGAATCTGTGGCAGAGGCAAGTCCAGAATCAGAGGCAGAAGCTGAAGCAAGAGGGTGGGAGGAGGGAGGCCAAGAGGCAAAGATGAGTCAGGCTGCTGAAGTTGGTTTCTTCCCCTCTTGCTGTGACATGCTCCCCTCCCCCTGGTTTCCCAGAACCAAGAGAGGCATGAAAAGGGCGGAGGAGAAGTTCACTTCATGCAGGCACAGTCTCAGATTGCTTGGGGAAAACTCTGGAGAGGAAGGGAATTAGGCAGCTATGGGGAGGCAAGAACCTACAGTCTCAGCATCTGTTTCATGGGGGCAAGACCTACCAGAGATGAGTTGCTGGGCTCATTAGGCCTGACACTCCTGTGTCAATTTTGGTTTTGCTAATAAAGAGTGAACTCCAACTTGGATGGTGTGATTCACTGCTGTCTCACTCCTGGCATTCTGGTTGTGCCCAGGACCTGCTCCAAGTGTCAGTCACCCAACCTTGCCAAATTACACCTTCATTTGGTTGAATCCCTGTTCTTACCACTTAACAAAAGAGTTGAGTCTATTGCCCCTGAGGACAGGGAGGTCACTGCATTCCTTCACCCAAATGTGGACTTCTCCAGTGACTGGAGGTTTTTTACCTTTGAAATAGACAAAAAAGGGAGAAAGAAAACAGAGCACAACATGGTTGGTTGATCTGTTCAAAGCATCACTCTTTGTGTTTCCTTTTGTTAACAACAAATAAGATACGCAGCAAAACTTTAAAGTCTTGCGAAGATATTGAATGCAGCATGGGTCAGGCATCTCAGGCCTCTCTGTCCTACAAGACAACACACACATACACACACACACACACACACACACCCCGCTCCAGACCAAACCTCTTCCCAAGGTCACCCTCACCCCAACCATCTCTGTGATTCATTTTGCAACGGCCACTGACTACGTACAATCTGTCTAACTGATTGGAACAATGGCACATCTTCATGCATATGAGTGCTCCACTAATCACAGGCAAACGATGATTTGATTCTCTGCACCGTCTATGTGTAGGGCCTCAGGTGCCATCTTCAAAGGTCACACTCACATGATACAGTAAAGGTTCAGATGATGGTGTGCAGGATTAGCTGCCTCCAGCCTGAGGCTGACCCATTGTAAGCTAACCATTCAGTCACCGAACAGAAGGTTACTGCACCAGCTACACAGAGGGAGAACTTAGCAAGCAACACAGAATTCCAGCAACATCTAGGAGTCTCTCCATACTACTTCATAGCCAAGTAAACTTAGAGGAAGGTCAAATACAACCTTAAGGTAAACGGACCCCTGACCATTAGGTCCAGTCGTGACCGACTCTGCGGTTGCGGCGCTCATCTCGCTTTATTGGCCGAGGGAGCCGGCGTACAGCTTCCGGGTCATGTGGCCAGCATGACTAAGCCGCTTCTGGCGAACCAGAGCAGCGCACGGAAACGCCGCTTACCTTCCCGCTGGAGCGGTACCTATTTATCTACTTGCACTTTGACGTGCTTTCGAACTGCTAGGTTGGCAGGAGCAGGGACCGAGCAATGGGAGCTCACCCTGTCGCGGGGATTCGAACCACCAACCTTCTGATTGGCAAGTCCTAGGCTCTGTGGTTTAACCCACAGCGCCAACCTTAGTTTACTGTTAGAAGAGTGAGGGGCCTCAGGCTGTCTCAAACACTTCCCTCATGGGAGTGAGGCCTCCATCCCTGGTTTGCAACAAGCCGTGGTTTATGCGATTTCATTTGAATATGGAAACCAATGGTTTGCCCAAACAACCGTTTAATAATAATAATAAGATTATTTATATCCTGCCCTCCCCAGCTGAAGCCGGGCTCAGAGTGGCTAACAACAGTAAAAATAACACAGTTTACATAAAATCACAATCAATTAATTGAAATACATTCTAAAATCAATTCATTCTAAAATCAATTCAGAGTCAAATTAATGGCAACCATTGGGCTAGAGTTCTATGAGGATTACAGAAGGAGGGGGTCAGACTGTGCCTTGGCCAAAGGCCTGGTGGAACAGCTCTGTCTTGCAGGCCCTGCGGAAAGATGTCAAGTCCCGCAGGGCCCTAGTCTCTTGTGACAGAGCGTTCCACCAGATCGGGGCCAAGGCTGAAAAAGCCCTGGCTCTGGTTGAGGCCAGCCTAACCTCTCTGTGGCCCGGGATCTCCAAGATGTTTTTATTTGAAGACCGTGAGGTCCTCCATGGGACATATTAGGAGAGGCGGTCCCATAGGTACGAGGATCCTAGGCCGTATAGGGCTTTAAAGGTTGAAACTAGCACCTTAAACCTGATCCTGTATCCCACCGGGAGCCAGTGCAGCTGGTACAGCACCGGGTGAATGTGATCCCGCGGCGAGGACCCCGTAACACAACCAGAAGCCATGGTTTCATCCTGGTTGCTTTGCAATCAAGGCATAGTTTGAGCGAACCATAGTTTGCCAGGTTTGAATGACATGCCATTAAATTAGGGAGGCAAAACACCCCATGAAGCAAACTTGGAAAGTGGGTAACTGAAAGATTCTTACCCCCAACAGGCTGTGGAACATATTGGAGAGCTATTTTCATGTCCCCTCTGTTCTCCAGATCAAGACCAGCTAGTGGAGTCTGACCAAACAAAAACAAGAAACCAATGACTATGTAATATAAGCAACATCTTGAAACATGTGGTCCAATTAGACCCCAAAATAGATTTACTAACGTATCTCAAAGACACAGTTCCAGAAGACAGAAAGAAATCATTATGTCATGATTTAGCTGCAAGGATTTGAAAATACTGGGGTGAGAGTGGAGTAGGGAATGCCCCCATTTAAAGGAATGGCTTATTTAATTACGGGAACAGGCAACCTCCTACTCAAGATGCTTTGAGGTCTTCAAAGGGAAAAAGAAAATTACACAAGAAAGGGCAATGTTTACGGAACTCTGGAACAGTAAGACAGAGAGGGATTCGTTTTTGTAAATTTTGTGAGAAGATATGAATACAGTGGTGCCTCGCAAGACGAAATTAATCCGTTCCGTGAGTCTCTTCGTCTTGCAGTTTTTTCGTCTTGCGAAGCACGGCTATTAGCGGCTTTAAGAAAAAGGAAACAAACTCGCAAGAACTCGCAAGACGTTTCGTCTTGCAAAGCAAGCCCATAGGGAAATTCGTCTTGCGGAACGACTCAAAAAACGGAAAACTCTTTCGTCTAGCGAGTTTTTCGTCTTGCGAGGCATTCGTCTTGCGGGGCACCACTGTATGAGTCTTCTCAAACTGAATAAATAAATGGGACATTAAAAACACAGCTCCTATTAACTATGGGTGGTATTCAATGCTAGTCATACTCGAGAGTAGCCCCACTGAAGTTAATGAATAACTCATTAATTTCAATGGGTGGCATTCAAGTAAGTTTTACTGAGAGTAGACACACTGAAATTACTGAACGTGACTAACTTAGATCCACTAACCTCAGTGGATATATTCTTCAGTATGACTAGCATTGAATAAAACCCTTAGACTATGTCGGTTCATTTCTTTTTCTTCTTTTTGGTTAAATTATTAATTACTGCTATTTAATTTCTAACTCGTTCTAAGAACATGATGGTGCTAATGTTAATTGCCCAGTTTTTGGTTTTTTTAATTGCCATTATTGATACTCAGTTGCTTTCCACATTGCTATTACGCATTTTGAATACTGTATTGATATACAAAGGTAAAAGGTAAAGGACCCCTGGATGGTTAAGTCCAGTCAAAGGCGACCATGGGGTGTGGCGCTCATCTCGCTTCAAGCTGAGGGACTGGCGTTTGTCCACAGACAGCTTTCCAGGTCATTTGGCCAGCATAAGTAAACCAATTCTGGCACAACGGGACACTGTGACGAGTGCCAGAGCACATGGAAAGGCTGTTTATTTTCCCGCCGCAGCGGTACCTATTTATCTACTTGCACTATTTATCTACCTGCTTTTGAACTGCTAGATTGGCAGAAGCTGGGACAGAACAACAGGAGCTCACCCTGTCATGGGGATTCGAACCACCAACCTTCTGATCTGCAAGCCCAAGAGGCTCAGTGGTTTAGACCACAGCGCCACCCACTCCCTCTGTATTGACATATATTTCCTAATAAACTATCTTTAAAAAAATCAACCCACTGTCTACGAAACCTAATATTGTAGCATCTCTTATTTGTGTGTTTTCACAAATACTGTGTGCAAAATGGGTGCAAACTGAGCTTATCAGCTGATAAAAGAAACATTTAATTAGCCACCTACTGGGGGCCATGCAAACTGCAACATGACAACAACCTTAGGAAAATATGTATTGGGAAAGATTTACATCTGCTTCCAGGTTAAATCTCAGAAATATTTTTAATCAGCTACACCGGGGGTAGCCAATGTGGTGCCCTGCAGATGTTGTTGGGACTACAAACCCCATCATCCCTTATTGCTGGCCATGTTGGTTTGGTTGGGGCTGATGGGAGCCAGAGTCCTACTGCATCTGAAGGGCACCACATTGCCTACCTGTGGATTACATGTCGCAGCACTGGTGAAAATTATAAAGAAGCCAAAGTAGAAATTCATCACACTGGGCAAGGTTATTAATTTCAGTGATAATTGTTGGTATGAAAACAATACTTCCTATGAATATAAATGATAGTACAGGAATTATAAACTGGTAGCCGTATGATTCAGAATTATGGCTGTTGCTATTTACTCATTTATTAAATCATTGAGGGGTAGAAGAGAGTTTGGCTCAACGACGCTCATTACGGACCAAAAACCATTAACTCACTCTTGGCTTAAGCGGGTACCAAATCATCTGCTTGTTCTGCCTGTCATCCCAGTCCCATTCTCCCAAGTCCAGCTCCACTTCACCCAGGAAACTGTTACGTCCAAACGTGTCATTGTGCCACACGGAGACATTCAACCTCTGGGACGCCAGGAGAGCCCTGTCAACTTTATACTGCAAAGGAGACAAAACAGACACTTTAAGTATGCATTTATCTACAGAATTAGAATTGTGCGTTAGAACTGTGAGCTGCAGATGAAGCATGCTATTCCAACGGAGAGGTGGGGGTAGATTGGATTTACCGTATTTTTCGCTCTATAGGACTCACCCGACCATAGGACACACCTTGTTTTAGAGGGGGAGAACAAGAAAAAAAATTCTCCCCCTCTCTGCTCAGCGCCCCTTCAGCGAAGCGGCAGGAGAAACGGAGCCCCTTCCATTTCTCCTTCCGCTTGGCTGAAGGGGCGCTGCACAGCTCTCCCTCTCTGCTGAAGCCAGGAAAGTCTTGCTCTCCTGGCTTTAGCGCAAGGAACCCGAAGCCTCCAGAGTGCAGCAGGAACTTGCGCTGCGCTCCGAAGCCTTCAGGCGGCTATCCCTGAAGCCTGGAGAGCGAGAGGGGTCGGTGCGCACCAACCCTTCTCGCTCTCCAGGCTTCAGCGAAAGCAACGCGAAGCCTCCGGAGTGCGGAGGGAGCGCTCCCTCTGCGCTTCGGAGGCTTCGCGTTGCTATCGCTGGAGCCAAAGAGCCTGCATTTGCTCCATAGGATGGACACACATTTCCCCTTAATTTTTGGAGGGGGAAAAGTGTGTCCTATAGAGCAAAAAATACGGTATTTTGCCAACATCTACCTTTACTGGAACAACAGAGCGCCAGCAGGACCAACCTGGCACTCACTCCTGCCAGTGTGTTTGCACCATGCCCACCTCCCCATTATCCTCAGTGACTCGGCTGTAAGGAGGTCAGATAAGCCCCACTGCCCCACTGTGCTGTCCTCTACTGGTTAAACCAAGCTATCATTCAGAAAATGAATTAGTTTACTAAAACTAGGCTCGCACATTCAAACAAACCAAGCTTAGGCTAAACAAACCATGACTATGTGCTGCATTCATTCTGGTACTATAAATTATACAAGTTACCCTTAATATCTCATTGAAGACAGGGTTCAATGTTTTCTTCTTCACCGACGTTTTTCTTTTGCCCAGTTTGTACTTCTCTGGTAGCAAGTAACTCTTCACATACCTAAGGAGATTTAACCACCAGTCTGGTTAACGTAACATTTGAACCTGGAAGAAGGCTTTCAGGGAAACCCAAGAGCAAAACGTGCATCTTTTGTCTGTAGCTCTCCAAGCCTTAAAACTGAACAGGCCAATCTTACACTGGGAATTTCAAAAGGGTATCTATAATTACGAAGCACTCAAGTTTGTTCCCAGGTCTGAAACGTCAGAAACGGGATATCCGCTTGCGCAGGAAATAATTTTTAAATTATTATTAAAAACTGTTCTGTGCAAGATCATTTCAGTCTTGCTTGGTTTCACCTATTTATTTATATCATGCTTTACCTTCAAGCAGCTCAAGGTGGCAAACACACTTCTCCTTAGGAAGAAGATGGTCAAATGATTTCAACACTGCTGGCTTCCACTAAATTTGTCAGCTTTCAAATGCTGGAGAGTGGGACTCTCCCCCACCCCTGTCTGATTGGTTTTAGAGAGTACAATACCCTGTAAATATGCTACTGAATGCTACAATCAAGTAAGAGGAAACAAAAGATCTGAAAATAACTTTACTGGCAAAATGGGCCAATTCTACTGCCCTTTGGAATGAAAAATTTGGAGGAGATCTCTGAAGAAGTGTCCATGCACGCGAAAATTCATACCAATAACAAACTTAGTTGGTCTCTAAGGTGCTACTGGAAGGAATTTTTAAATTTTGTTTAGACCACATTTGTAACTTTTGCTGGTTTAAAGTAATTTGTTTCAAAGATGCATCTTGGCAATTTTGTATTATATACGTTAAGTTTTGCATAATTGTGCTTTGATAAAGGTAAAGGTAAAGGGACCCCTGACCATTAGGTCCAGTCGTGACCGACTCTAGGGTTGCGGCGCTCATCTCGCTTTATTGGCCGAGGGAGCTGGTGTACAGCTTCTGGGTCATGTGGCCAGCATGACTAAGCCGCTTCTGGTGAACCAGAGCAGCACACGGAAATGCCGTTTACCTTCCCACCAGAGTGGTACCTATTTATTTACTTGCACTTTGACATGCTTTCGAACTGCTAGGTTTGAATACACACACACACACACAGCACCCTCCACCTACACTTACGGATCTGAACGCTGCTTCTTAACATCTGCAATTGCCAAGTCCTTGCCCTGGGCGACGAAAATATGAAGTTCCTTCAGCTGCTCCACGTAATCAATAGCAAACTGAAGGTTTCCTTTCACATCCACGTTCCCAAAGTCTCCGCTGTAGATGCTCATCACGCTGGTGCTGACCTGTAGAAGTCACCGAGCAGAGAACAAGCCCTTAAAAAAAGAAATCCTTATCCCTTCCTGCAGACTCTTTTAAGGTGGGAAATAAATCTAAGTTCATGGCTGAACTTCATCTACGCATAGCTGAAGGCAGCAAAGAACAATTCAGAGTCCCTCTGCAGATGTCATCCCAGGGAGAGAGAACAGCTTATATTCAAATAATGCACGCTCATTTTCAAACCAGATGGGAAATCATCAAACACTACACATGCAAAGAGTGATTTTGTTGGATGGAACCCAGAAAAAAATATACATATTGCTCTCTGCTCTCAGATATGCTAGCAGTTTTCCTCCATCTGCCTTCCTGCCTGTACTCACAAGCCACTTAGAAATTTGTGCTCAGACCTGATAAATTATAAAGTGATTGGCAGCTTGGTTATCCACTATTATGTTATAGCACTTTTGGCATAACAATTGCTTTACAACCCTCATATTGCTTTTTCGCAAATGATGTTATGCTAGAGGTCACTGTTATTCCCATTTTACAGATTTATTTATTAAAAAACTAAGAATCGCAAGAGGAGCTCACTTGAGTCTGCCCAGCAAATTCAGGGCTGAGATAGGACTTTGGTCTACTTTGAACTCTCATGGACTATAGGAAGCCAGAACAGGATCAGAATTCTGTATCAGCATATAGAATTTCACAAGGTTCATATAATGACTCCTGTTTTCTCCAGGAACAATAGGAATGTGCCTACCTATGGTTTGTCTATTCAGACATCCTGCCAGCCAAAAACCATCGTTTCCAATTCTGGTTTGGTGGTTAATCACTAAACATGATCTCCCAGTTCCAACCTAACACCAAACCATGGATTCCTTAGCCATGGTTTGGCTGCATAACTATTAAGACACCAGGGTTGGCTACAGCTCCCTGCCAAGAATATCTTCAATGGCAAACTCAGGCTTATCATTTCACTGAAATAAATGCTTAGGAGCAGAAGGGCCCCAAAAGGTTATGCTGAACAGAAAATGGGAAATGAGAAGTTAATTCAGATAGCGGAAAGAATCTGAATGTTACAACTAGTTAACAGTCAACTGCAATAGCATCAAGCATCACACATCACAATATTAAACAGAGGCTCTGCTGCTACTGCAGAGTTAAAGAAAACAAAGTATTAGCAAAAGCAGTGTTATTAACTAAAGCTTTTGTCTACATACAGAAGACAAGGACGCCAAGCCAGAAGAGCCACTAAGATTGGTTAGCGAACTGGGGCTCTTCTTGATTCTGCCAAGTGGGTAACTGCTGTCTGAAGCTGTATCTGTTTCTCTGTCATCGCTCTACAAGATATTACACAAAGAGAAAAAAAGAAGTCTGTGCAGGTGTTCAAAAAGTGGTGAAATATATTGCCATGCGGCACACAATTTTAACAAAGTAGGTCTGCCAAAGTAGGCTTGCCATTCTGCGATGCAAAACTGTAGGGGACAACCATTAATGAATAGGCATGCAAGAACTTTGCTGTCTCAGATACATAAATCACAGAGAAATTAAGAAAGAGACAAATGTGTGTTCAGTATATCAGCTGCCATCACTGTTCCTGGACCAGTAAGACACCAAGTCCAAACTCCTATCTCAAAGACAATACATTAATAATAATGATAATAATAAATTTTATTTATATCCCGCCCTCCCCAGCCGAAGCCAGGCTCAGGGCGACTAAAAACAATAAAATAATACAACGTTCTAAAATCATTTCATTATAAAATTAATTCAAATCAAATTGATGACAACCATTGGGCTAGAGTTCTGTGAAGATTGCCAAAGGAGGGAGTCAGGCTGTGCCCTGGCCAAAGGCCTGGTGGAACAGCTCTGTCTTGCAGGCCCTGCGGAAAGATGTCAAGTCCCGCAGGGCCCTAGTCTCTTGTGACAGAGCGTTCCACCAGATCGGAGCCACAGCCGAAAAACCCCTGGCTCTAGTTGAGGCCAGCCTAACCTCTCTGTGGCCTGGGACCTTCAAGATGTTTTTGTATGAAGACCGTAAGTTCCTCTGTGGGACATACCAGGAGAGGCGGTCCAGTAGGTACGAGGGTCCAGGGCCGTATAGGGCTTTAAAGGTTAAAACCAGCACCTTAAACCTGATCCTGTACTCCACCGGGAGCCAGTGCAGCTGGTATAGCACCGGATGAATGTGATCTCGCAGCGAGGACCCCATAAGAAGTCTCACCGCGGCATTCTGCACCCGCTGGAGTTTCTGGGTCAGTCTCAAGGGCAGCCCCACGTAGAGCGAGTTACAATAATCCAGTCTGGAGGTGACCGTCGCGTGGATCACAGTGGCTAGGTCAGGGCGAGAGAGGTAAGGAGCCAACTGCTTAGCTTGGCAGAGATGAAAAAATGCCGCCTTTGTTACAGCTGTAATCTGTGCCTCCATGGAAAGGGAGGTGTCGAAGATTACACCCAAACTCTTAACGGATGGTGCTGGCATTAATTGCGCCCCCGCAAGAGATGGGAGTTGCCCCCCCCCCATCCCATATCGTCCCAACCCAGCCAAAGGACCTCTGTCTTCGAAGGATTTAACTTCAACAGGCTCCCACGTAACCATCCAGCCACAGCTTCCAAACATCTGGTCAGTGTGTCTGGGGCTGAGTCAGGATGGCCATCTATCAACAGATAGAGTTGGGTGTCATCAGCATACTGATGGCAGCCCAGCCCAAAACTCCGGACAAGCTGGGCGAGGGGGCGCATGAAGATGTTGAAAAGCACTACTCATTGTGGATGCCCTGCTTAGCTTTACAGTTTAGCCTTTATGATTCAGATCAGGGCAAGCAGAAGTACCAGTCTTGGACTCCATTTCCCATCAGCAGAAAGAGCCGTAGCCTCTGCTTTGATTGCCAAAGGTCCCTGGGTTCAATCCAGGTGAGGCTGGAGAAGAGAGCCACTGCCAGCCAGTGTAGACCAGGGGGTAACCAATGTGGTGTCCTCCAGATATTTGCTGGACTACAACTCCCATCATCCCTGGCCATTGGTCATGTTGGCTGGGGCTGATGGGAACTGTAGTCCAAGAAGATCTGGAAGGTGATGCATTGGCTATTCCTGAGCTAGATGGATCAACAGACTGATTCAGTATAAGGCACTTTCCTAGCTTCCCAGCCATTGCAACAATTTGTCAGGCATGATGGGAGTTCCAGCTGACAACATCTGGAGGGGTGCTGCGTTGCTTGATTCAGGACATTGCTTGATACACTGCCAGAAATCCCCAAGACTCACTCCTCCACCCTGACCTCTCAGGAACAAGCTAAGTAACAGTGTCAGAAGACTCAAGTCTCTGCAGTATTCCTCCTGAGCCAGTCAACACTCCCTGAAAGTAGGCAGTCAAGATTCTGCATTTCTCAAACGAGCAAAAGACAAGCAAGCAAACAAAAACCCTTACCTCCTCCTGCGTAAATGTTGGGACTGATTTGCTCATCCTTTTGATTTTCTCCGGATGTGAGAACTGGCTATCAGGGAAAGAAGGTGCTGTGGAAACTGGAAAAAAGCAGCAGTTCTTGTTTAGAAAGCTAATTAGATTCTAATACCACGGGGGACGGGGACGAGTCATATATTGCTTTTGGAGGGGGGGAAATGAAGAAGACATGCATGAGAAACTTCAACATGCAGGATGCACTTACTAGGAGTTGCAACACATATCACAAGGAAGCTGCAACGAAGGACACGGACGAGAGCTGTGCATGCCCTTCCAACATCTCCAGCCATCCTATACAGGGCACAATGGCCTCCAGATGTTGATTGACTACAACTCCCATTGGCCATGCTGGCTGGGATTGAATGGTGTATGCACTCTGCAACATCTGCAGGTTTTGCACATTATTTTTCCTGATGTGGGTATATTTTAAAAAGCCTCCCACACGATACCCGAAGACACTAAATGAAGGTGCAAGTATCTCCTGTTACTTCATGATGTCTGAAGCGACTCTTTCTCTAGCCAGGAACTGATATGACTCTATGGTAGAGCAGGGTTTCCCCTGCTTAACATATTAACTCCCCACCACCACCACCTAATTATTGATTTGATTCCTCTTGCACGTTGTCCACTACGTGGCACTGGCTCCCCAGATATTTGACTTCAGATAGTATTTCAAATGTCAGTACTTGGAAATCTACAGTCGTGGGTTCTCAGTATCGTTGTTGGCATCTGTCTGTCTGAAGAGGAAATGGAATGTGCCTCTGGGGGTGAAGCTAAACAGCTGTGTTAGCAGCACCAAAGTGACCTCCCTTGGGCGCAATCCTGGGCAGTGTGTATGGAGGTCCTAGACTGCCCAGACGACAAGACCCTTACTGATGTGGTCCAAAGGAAAGGAAAGCAAGATGTTTGGCAACAGCTTGGCTGCAGGAGTTGATGGAAGGAGGCATACAAAGGGCCATCCAACCATTCTTGATAGAGGGCTGAATTAAATGCACAAATTTTGCCTGCACCTAGCAAGATGTATGGGACTGTCCTTCTGCCCCCTGGTCCTATAGCTATGGATAGAGCATTGTGCTATTCAGGAATATAAAGAGCCTTTTTCATGATGCTGCCAGTTCTTCTTTACTGGGCCTTCCCTTTCCCATCCAGTATCACTATCAAGCTCTGATGCTGCAAGAATCCCAGGAGGTGGTTCTAAAAGGCTCAATGTTCAGGGATCTTCCCATTCCACAGCAAGTCCGTGAATTACAACTTTGGTTACAAACAGCAAATGGAACACACACATACCCAACGCTAAATATGCACGACCTGCTGCAGAAGTAGCTTTACAAGATACAAGCCATTAGTAAAACAACAACAAGAACAAGAACAAACTCCAAATGTATTATTAGTCAGCCAATATTAGCAGCAACAAAAGAGTGTGAAGCCACAAAAGGTTTTAGCTACTGTGTGCAGGAAGGGACATTATTACTCACTTCCTGGAGCGTTCTCATCAGGCTGATCTGCTTTTTGATCTGGTCAAAATTGCAACGTTAAATACTGTCACACTCCGATGCCGCTATTGGCTGTGCTATAATCACAGGTGAACTGGACACTTTGCATGCGACGTCTCAGCTATTTCCCCCCCCAATCATTGCTTCAAAATTCTATGCCTACTGCATTGCAGAATGCAGAAACTGCCTTCTTGACTGTTGGAGCCACGATTGGTCTTGTCCACTCAATCCGCCAGAGCCTGTCTTCGCAAGCAGGGGAAGTCCCTAACTCACCATGGGTTTGAGACCCATTGGCTGGCCTCACCTGTTTCAGCTGGCCAGTCAAAGCCATTTCCTGGGGTGTGGCCGCTGTCGCATGCTGACAGCATCTAGGAGCCACAGGTGAGAGCTGAGTGCAGGCTGGGGACCCAAGGTGAACAAACTGCCCCAGAAGGAGAACAGCATGTCCCCCAACAGAGGCACAACCCCTCCCATACACCCCAACAGCACTATAGACACACAGATGAACATTACGCAGGAGTCTAAATCATGCAATACTCTTATCTAAAAACCTGGCAGGCAGAAAAGTCTTTTGCTGCTAAGAACGAAGAAACACTACTGAAGCAGGTTACGTTCATGCAGGCACAAATAAAATAGTTACCATCTTCCGCACTAAGCATTAAATCTTCCTTTGGGAGGTTTCCTTTATCTGCACAAGAGGGGGGGAAACGTTGACATAGTTAGACATTCCTGCTGTTTAGGGAGGTCGCTGTGGGCTCTCAACATAGGCCTCTAGAGGTGGAAAAGAAAGATGCTAACTCGGGAGCAAACGCACAGAAGAAGCCTTTTTCTTATGAAATATTATAGGGTAAAGAAATGCACCTTAGAAAATGAGGCAGCCATGCCATCCTTTCTAGCACAGACTACATGGCAGTTATTTTGTGGGCACCTAGGAGCCCCAAAAGTTGCGTCTGAGGCCTTGCAGGGTTTCTCCCGAAGTTGTGTTGGAGGCCCCATGAGGCCTCGTATGCCACTTCCAAGGCCCTGAAAGGTCTTCAGCATGACTTCCGGGGCCTTGTGAAGCACCGGAATCACGTCACAGGCCGTTTGGTGTGGGTGCTGAGCAGGCTCTTGTGGGTGCCTGGAAGCCCAGGGTCCCTTATAGTTAGTGCCAGTGCTTGCACAATCTACGTTATGCTGGTGCGGCACATTTCCCCAGAGGAACACCATTAAGTGACTTTAACTTGGTGCTACATTGGATACAACCCTTAAAAAAAATAAAAGTAGCTTGGGATGCATAGACCTTCCAAAGGCAATTCTTAACAACGACGAGGCAGGTGGGAAAAAGAATTCTAAGAAAACCTTCAAGGAGTATGGAAGATGTCAGACAAGTTTTTTTGCTCACTTGATGTGGCTGATGGTATGTCCTCTAGACTTTTGGAAGGGATCTGCCTATTTGAACTTCTTTTCAAAGCCTCCTTTACAGGGTTTAGTTCCTCTTCCGAACCTGTTTCAAGACAAAAACACATGAACACTGCACAACGCACAGGCATGTACCTTAAACAAGCATAGCCCTTTAAAGAAAATAAATAAATAGCTTTGGTGGGTAGAAACCCACAGGTGTTTCAGCTAAAAGGCTAAGGCAACCTTGGGTCCTCAGATACAGGTGGACTACAACACCTATAATTCCTGATAGACGGCCATGACGGGAGGCAATGATGGGGGTTATAGTCCAACAATATCCAGGGAACCAAGAAGGCTGAGCTAAAGTGTGAACTGGAAAGATTAAGCCGTTATGTAGCACACATCATTTTATTTTTTTAAGTTGCTTCTGTGTGAAGCAACGAATAAATCAAATAAATAAATGCAGCCATCATGCTGCCTGACAGATGTTGCTGGACTACAACTCCCATTATCCCTGACCCCTGGGCCATGCTGACTGGGGCTGCTGGAAGCTGGAAAACAACATCTAGAGCAGTGTTTCCCAAACTTGGGTCCCCAGCTGCTTTTGGACTACAATCCCCATCATCCCTGACCACTGGTCTTGCTAGCTAGAGATGATGGGAGTTGTAGTCCAAAAACAGCTGTAGTCCAAGTTGAGATGATGGGAGTTGTAGTCCAAAAACAGCTGTAGTCCAAGTTGAGATGATGGGAGTTGTAGTCCAAAAACAGCTGTAGTCCAAGTTTGGGAAACGCTGATTTAGAGGGTACCATGTTTGCCATTGACTAGAGAGCACAGCCCCCTTTCTGAGCCCCAACTGACTGGTAAAGGGAAGGGCAGGATTCTAAGAGGCAAATGTTAGCAAGCCTATTGTGCAGCTGCAAGGAGGACATCTATCCATTGTTCTGGGAGATAATGGGAAAATACACAAATGTGCAAAGCATTATGTATGTCCTGCTTTTAATCCAAGGTGAAGGGTTGGAAAAGACTCTGAGTCCCAAGAAGGGGGGGAATAACTACCTTAGAGAAACGATGCAAAGGCAAATTGTTAGGATGTGCCCTTGGGTTTATTGCACTAGACCAGGTGTGGAAGAACCTTTGGCTCTCTAGGTGTGACTTAACTGCAGCTCTCATCCTCCCTGGCCATTGGTCACGGTTTCTGGAGGTGGAGCTGATGAGAGCTGGAACGTGTCCAGAGGAGGGCAACCAAAATGGTCAAAGGCCTGGAAACGATGCCTTATGAGGAACGGCTAAGGGAGCTGGGCATGTTTAGCCTGGAGAAGAGGAGGTTAAGGGGTGATATGATAGCCATGTTCAAAGATATAAAAGGATGTCACATAGAGGAGGGAGAAAGGTTGTTTTCTGCTGCTCCAGAGAAGCGGACACGGAGCAATGGATCCAAACTACAAGAAAGAAGATTCCACCTAAACATTAGAAAGAACTTCCTGACAGTCAGAGCTGTTCGACAGTGGAATTTGCTGCCAAGGAGTGTGGTGGAGTCTCCTTCTTTGGAGGTCTTTAAGCAGAGGCTTGACAACCATATGTCAGGAGTGCTCTGATGGTGTTTCCTGCTTGGCAGGGGGTTGGACTCGATGGCCCTTGTGGTCTCTTCCAACTCTACGATTCTATGATTCTATGATTCTATGATTCTATGATTCTATGAGAGCTGTAGCTCAGCAACATCTGGAAGGTCAAAGGTTCTCCAGACCTGCAAAGGGATCTGGTGCCCAAAACACACTTTTTAAACCATAGGACTCTGTTTACAGGGTGGCCGAGTGCACAGAAAAGCACTGTGCCAGCAGGATACCAGGCACCTGCCACCTCAATTTGCCAGAGGCATATTTGTGTCATGTGTCTCTGCATCTTCTAGGTACCTAGCAATACCCCCGATTGAACAAGGTACCCAATATTTGACACTGGGGGGCTAATTGTCTACTATTGATTTATTAATGTACTAAAAATATTTTCCCCTTGGGTTAATCTTCATAAAGCATACACACCACCCAGAGATAAGATCAAATAATTCAAAAACTGCTCACGAGTTGAACTTCTTTGGAAACCCACAAAAGAATTGCGGCTTTCATCTGAAAGGTTGGATTCAACGCTCCTGGCATCTTCATCCTTTTCGTTGTCATCAGTGTGACGGGTGGCAAGCAGCAGCTCAACCTGTCTTGTTTTAGGGGGGTTCCCCTCTTCCGTACCCTCTTTTTCACTTCCACCATCAAGATAGGCACTGGCAGTAGTAGAATCTTCTCCCCCTTTTTCATATTCCTCCTCCCTCTTACCTGCCTTGGCAAGAGTGAAAGAATCTTCCCTTCTTCCCAGGAGCAGGGCTTCAGGTGATGCTAGGTTAAGCTGAATAGTTTTTTGGAAAACAGCATTCCTTTCAGGGGTGCCAGAAAACTTTTCTCGGTCTGCAGTTTGGTTATCTTGCTTGAAAGTCTTGCCCTTGAGCGGTATTTTAACCTCGGTTCGAAAGTCGCTCGGCACGCTCTCAACAGACGTTTGCGTTTTTATGGCTAAACCTCCCTCTGCTACCTGAAATCCTGACTCATCAGTCACTTTCTTCTCTTCTTCACTGGACAGATGCAAAGCAGCACCAGAGATTTCTCCGAAAAGTTTTTCTAAGCTGGATTTGAATACAGAACCGTCTTTTTCTAGGGCAACAGATTTTGTTACAGTTTCATTTGCTTCTTGGGGAAGAAGGCCCGCCGTGCTTTCTGAGCCATGGGCAGCATGGAGGTTCTCCGTCATTCTGATATCCAACCATCCCATTTCAGAAGGTTGCATCTGGGCAGTTTTTTCAAGGAGTTTCCGGAAGCCTGAATTAAATTCTCTTTGCTTCAACTTGGATGGGGCAACTTCCTTGTTTACAGTTTCATTCATCTCTTGACCATAGCCAATTCCCTGCGGGCAAACTAAATCTACAGTCTGATTAGACTCACTCTCTGTTTGTGCCCCATGAACACTGCTTGAGTCTTTCTGGCTTTTTGGAAGAACTTCAGCATCTTCCTGGAGCAGATTTTGGAAGTTGGCTCTGAGTTCAGCTTGCCTGAAATTGGAGGGAGCAGTAGCTTTTCCAATCATCTCAATTATCTCTTTATCATAAATTGAACTTGTGTTCTGATGGGGCTGTAATGAGCCATGGGCTGGCTTAGGAACTGCAATGTCTTTGAGCAAAATTTCGGAGCTCTCCTTAAGCAGTTTGCTTAAACTGTCTCTAAATGCCACATGCTCGGCCGAATTTGGTTTAACAGTTTTCACGACCGTCTCTGCCACTTCCATAGGTTGCTCACCAACATTCCCTTGAGCTCTTATGTTTTCCTGGTTTGAAAATGACAACAGCACAGTGGACTCTCCTGCTGGCCCACCCTGCATTGTAGTCAATAACTTGCCACTGTCTTCGTCCATATCTAAACTTTGGTCAAGTGTCCCACCATCAGTCTCTTTAGGAGGATTGGCCATTTGGGGTGAAACAGGAATGATCTTTCTGGTCGCCTGCTCAGAAGACCTCTGCTGCAGTCCCCCAGGGACACTGTCAATTTGTGCTTTCAAAATACTCTCATTTGTGGGTGTTTTTGGCAATTCCTTCAAAAGAAAGGCTAGTTTGGCATTCAAATCGTTGCCTTGCCGTTTCGATGGAACATTAGCTTCTGCCGCTGTCTCGAAAACCTCTTTCGTGGGAGAGTTTGCTCTGTTCTGACTGGCAAGACGAGCGTCAGGCAGTATCAGTTTTGGCGAAGGAATCTGGAAGAATTCTTCCTGAGAAGTAGCATTTAGATCCCTTTGGCCTTCTTCCCTGATGGGAAATTTTCCAGACACCATATCTGAATCTTCTGTTAATCCAGATGAATCTCCCAAGTGCTTTTTAAATGCAACGGGTCTATCCTTGGGTGGGACATTTTTTTGTATTGTTCCATCTGTTTCCCAGGACTCCACTCTGCTATTTTTTTCATCTGTGTCACGGCTGCGTTCCATCACCTTATTAAAAAAACGCCTCTTTTCCAATGGAGAACGTGCTTGTTCAGAAACATCTGCCACTATATTACGACTAGGTGAGGAGCTCTCATCTGAGGTGCCCTTTAGCAGCCTCTCTAAGTTAGTGACAAAAGCAGTGGTGTCAGCTTTTGGTGGAACCAAAGTTCTGCTTATAGTCTCTGCAACCTCAGAGACTTTTCCATCTGCACTTGCAAAAACAGGCCCCTGCTGTTGATTCTGGTCACTGTAAGATGCTTGCACCTCTGTTGCTAACTCCACCTGTGGAACCCCTTTCTTGTCAGCCAGAGGATAAGCCAGCAAGGACTCCTGAAATGCTTCTTTCAACAGTTTCTGCACGCCACTGTTAAACAGACTGTGCTGTACTTTGGATGGAACATTTGTTTTTTCTATATACTCTTCCACCGGACGCACAGTCTTTCCCTCTGCAGGGGCAAATTCTACATTTCCTAATGGCACAGCATTCACTGATGGGGAGAGAGCTGTCCCTCCTGCTTGTTTTGGGACAACACGGTTTGCTTCCAATACATTTTGTTCCTTCACGTCAAATCCTTGGAGGATCGGTTTTTGCTGTTCACCTTCCAACACCGCCTGGCTAGTTCCTTCCCTAACTTCTTCCAACTCTTTCAGATACCTTCCTGTACTACTTTGCCTGCCCCTTGGAACAGTCGCCTTCACCTTGGTTTCATCCATTTCGCTCTGCGGCTTAGTACCCCCATCCCAAAAGTTTCTCAGGCTTTTGAACTGCGAAGGATTGAGCATCTGAGCCTTTGCCTCTTCATCTGCTTTTTCCTTTAAAGCGTGAATCTTAAAGTGTGGCTTCTGGTGCAGAGCAGATGAAGCTCTCTCTGTTTCCAAACCGTCAGCTTGTAAAACTCCATCCTCTTTAGAGAGAACCACGTTGGGTCTTGGGCACGAATTATTTGCATCCAGCAACTCTGTAAATGCATTAGTCCTCTGGTCACTTGGGGGTATTTTGCCAGATTCATCAACAATACGGCCCCCTTTGGATTTATCCATTACATTTGATCGAACTTTCCCTGAAGGCAACTTAATGCCATTATCATCAGGTCCCGAGTCATCCACACCAATTTCAACTTTTCTGAAGGTTACTAAATTATATGTGCCTTGTTCGTTATCAGATTCTCCAGTAACATATCCTGAGGATCCACCCACTGGTTTTATTCTGCTGCGTTCCTCTTTATAGATTGGTATCCGGTTACTCCCAGGAGTGCTTTCACTTAATAGGCCTTCCTTATTTGCAGGCTTTGGGTTCATCGCCTCTCTTTCCCAGAAAGCCCTGATATTCTTGACATTTCTTGGAACCTCTGCTTCTTTGGATTCATCTTGAGGTAAGGTAAGGAGATTCCCTCTACTGGGGTGTTGCATGGTTTTCTCATCTAGGTGCCCAGATTCTTTCCCTTTAGGTTCATTAAACAGCTCTTCAGATCGATGCTCAGAGCCTGCTCCTTCCGAAAAAGCTTTAACCCCTTCCTCCCTATCGGGCATAACATCTCCCCTTTCTGTTACTTTTCCGAAAGAAGAGCCAACACTTTTTAAACCCGGTTTTCCCTTTGCATCTTCCAACATCTTCGGTTCTTTGCACAAAGCACTGTTGTCCTCCGTTTCAACCTTGCCTCCCGCAGCCCTTTCATCTCTCTCGTTTGCAGGCTGGCCAATGGCCTGAAAACGTGTTCTCTCATTTAAATGAATGTCCTGCCTTTGGGAGTGAGAGGAAGCAACCTCCCCTGTTTTGCTTTGATCTTCTAGTAACAGGCTGCCTGGACTTCCATCCTTTGTAAACGGCGACCCACCCGGAACGTTTACCATTTCGTGGAATCGATAGTCCTTGCTGGTTGGCTCTTCTCTTTCACGTACAGAAGAATGCAGATTTAACATATCTGAACTGCAGCCTTTATCTTTTGCAGTTGCAACAGATTCTCTTGCCTTGGGTATATCCATTTCCTCTGCAAGTCCTGCGTCTTGCAGAAGCGTCTCTTTTTCATCATCACTGGAACTTCTTTTAAACCAGTCGAGCACCTTAGATATGGACTCATCGGCTGCCTTCAAGATCTCAGCAGTGTATTTGTCAGATTTGGAAACAGTTTTAGCACTCGGAGCCTCAACCAGAGCTTGCTTACCTTGTTCAAGGTCTGCAGAGCCAACTTTTGGCACCTGAGGGTCTTCTGTTTTAGGCAGCTGCTGGTCTGCAAGAGACAACCAATTTTTGTTGTTGTTGTAGCGAAACAGCCTAATTAAAGAAGCCTCAGTCAATCAAATTGATTGTAATGAATGGGCCAGATCTGCATAAAATCAGCATGCGACTAAGCAGAAGATAGTGCATTTGCGACACAGCAGCTAGTTTCACCGAGGCAACTCCCTTCTGGATGAGAGTGGGGATAAAATGCCTCTTCTAAGATGTTGCCTGGCATGTGATGTATTTATAATTAAAAAGGCATTTGTTTAAAAAGGATTCTACTGCCTGATTGAAAAGATTTTCAGCCAATCAGTTAATCAATTCAAGGTTGCAGTTCCAGCTGGAATACAAGCTTTCCCCCCAAAAAAGCAATCAATTTCTTTGAAATGTTAGCAATGATGGTAATATGCTTTAAATAAATGTGAACTAGTTATTATTGAGAATAAGGTGCAATGTATGAGCTTTAATCTGATGCCTCAACTGCAAACTATGCAAGCAAGGGAAAACTCCCTCTTTTTAGTCGTGATTCCTAGATTGCCGGGGGTTGGACTCAGTGACCCTCACGGTCCCTTCCAGCTCTACAATTCTATTCATGTTCTGCTCGAGGGTTTTCCGCAGGGATCTCATTGGTCACTGGGAAAGGCTGGACTGGAATGGTCTGATCCAGCAGGTCTCTTGTGTTCTTAACCAGGAAGTGGAGGGAGGGGACTCTGGCTGTACTTTCTAAACCAGGGGTCAGCAAACTTTTTCAGGAGGGGGCCGGTCCACTGTCCCTCAGACCTTGTGGGGGGCCGGACTATATTTTTTGCGGGGGGGGGGGATGAATGAATTCCTGTGCCCCAAAAATAACCCAGAGATGCATTTTAAATAAAAGCATACATTCTACTCATGTGAAAACACACTGATTCCCAGGCCGTCCATGGGCTGGATTTAGAAGGCGTTTGGGCCAGATCCATCCCCCAAGTCTTAGTTTGCCTACCCATGTTCTAAACAACAAAAACAGCTAGATGAAACCTCAGCCTCCTCCTTAAACAGAGTTACTTACCAATTACACAAAATGCAAGCTTTGCCCCTGTCAAGACTTAAAAACCTGCACGCCCCAACTCTGATATGATTTCAAATCAGTGGCAGCACAGCAGCCAAAGGAGTGCATCTTGAAGAAAAGTGATCAGCGAGTGTGTCGGGATGTGGCGATGGGAAGCGAGAAAACAAGCAAATGGTTAGGACTTGAACTGATCAGGGTTAAGATAGTAAAAGCATTAGTGATCCCTCCAAATGGCAGACAGGGCTAGACGGGGGCCTGAAAATCTCACTAAACTGTTAACTCACTGGGATATGCTATTATTTCTTACCAGGTGTGCTTTTCGAGATGTCCTGTTCAAGGCTCGGCGGCTTAGTTTTGATCTGAGGCTTCGTGGTATCGGTTTGTTCTTCCCTCACTGAGGGGAGGGTCTTGCTAGGCGATTCACTTGGAATTGCAGGTCCCGCAACAGGATGTTTCTCAGGCTGCAATGTGTTGGGTGGCAGACCCGAGCTCTTGGCACCGTGAGAACCTAGTGCCGTTCCCTCTCCTTGGCTCTCGGCGTTACCGTTTAAGGCTGGAGAATGGGCGCGAGGAGGCTTAGACGGGAGAGTCTGCCGACTCTGAAGCGCACCTGGGTCGCCCGCTCCGTTCCCATTGGCCTTGGCGTAGTCGGAGTCCAACAAAACGAACTCCCCGGATTCCTTGCCCTCGTGCAACTCAAGGCTCGGCGCGCGCTCTTTCCTACTGACGCTGGACGAGAACCGGACCTGCTTCAGCCTCTCCAACGAGTTTTCGGAGAACTCTTCAGATTCGCCTGGAGGAGGCGGGCTCTTCTCCGCAACACGTTCAAGGACGGTCGGGGCTGGCAATCCGCTTTTGCCGGAGGGCTCCAAGGTTTGGTTCAAGCGGAGCACTTCGGAATCGGTGGAGCTGGAGCTGGAGCTGCGCTTCAAGATGCCCCTGGGCAGAGACCCCTGGCCGTTAACCTGCTTGATCCTTTTCGGAGTCTGGGGAAAGGGCTCTTCGCTCTTCAAGCTGACGTCTGATGTCTTGTGGATGTTTCTCCTGGCTTTGGGCACAGGTGGTTTCCCTGCCTGCCTCTGCAAGTCGTTCGGTTCTGCAGGAGCCTGCTGAGGCTCCTCTACCCTGCTGTGGTTTGTTACGTCTACCTTGGGCTGGTTTTCTACCGAACGCAGGTCTGCAAAACAAGATGCAAAGCGCACACAAAGCAAAGGGTAAAACACACTACATGTAAGGGACACACGTTAGTTGCAAAAAAGGGGGGGACATGCAACTAAGTAAAAGCATTATTGCGTGTCTTGGGGAAGGAATTGCATCAACGTGCTTGTTAAAGTAAAAAAAAAAATGCAACGTAACAAGGCAGGACCAGTTTAAGCTTTAACTTGGGCCTGATCTACGTATGTAGCAGACTGAGAACTGTTCCACTTCATGCTGCATGTTAAGTTGTGGGTGAACATATCAGACGACACAGCGATTCTTCAAACAGCTCTTGTTTATTCACAGGCCAGAACAGAACTGAACTGAAGCCTGCTTGCATTACAACGTTACTGTAACAACTTTCTAAAAGTATCCAATCACTGAACGTCACTTTCTATCCCTTATTTGCATAACTATCTACAGTATCCCCCTGCTGGCCCAGGGTGAGAACTTCAGTACATAACACTGCAGGTTTCTGCATACTGCAAAAAAAGGGAAACCTAACAATTCCTTGGGAACATGGAGTCATTAACACGACACCCAAAATGTAAACGTATTTTGTCACACTTGGTCATGTTTTCAGTGTCTCCACAGAAACAACACAGATTATGTATTTAGAAACCTTCACCTTTCTCCACCGCCATTCCATGTTCAGGCTGCTCATTTTTTGCATGATCTTCTAGTAGAGTTGATTCATTGAATGGGTTTTTCCTTAGCTAGAACAAAATAAGAATGTTCCGCTTAACACTACAGTATTACTGGGGGTGGCAGGGAGAGAGAGCATGGGAAGGAAGGAAGGAAAATGGAAAACGTAACAGCATGTTTTGCAGGTCACAGTAAGACAAACTATGGCTTACCAGGACCAGGTGAATGTGCAGGCTTCCAGAGAAGGGTTTTTTTTACTCCAATGCTGTGCTGAGTTAACCCAAGTTTTGGCTTCACACATTGGCTAAAACCAGACATGGTTTAGTGCTCTCCCTGCTTACCATTTAGCCAAGAATAAACCTGTCTTTTTCTTCCTGTGGTTTTAAAAGGATGCTAAGAAAATGGGTGGCAGCAGGAAACGGTCATGTTGAGGAACCTTGAGGTACTGTGAGTGGGACTTCCATGGACCCTGGGATATGAAAAATCTAAAACAACACAAAAATCTGAACTTGCAGCCTTGTTTAGGGAAGCTTTTAATGTTTAATAGATTATTGTATTTTAGTGTTTTGTTTGAAGCTGCCCAGAGTGGCTGGGGAAACCCAGCCAGATGGGCGGGGTATAAATAAATTATTATTATTATTATTATTATTATTATTATTATTATTATTATTATTAAAAGGGGGCTTGAGGGGGGCATTTTTCCTGTAAGTGGAAATCATGGAAACCCATTAAATTTTTTTTTTAAAGGAGGGAGGAAATGGTTATCATCCAAGGGTTCCAGAAGTACAACCCGAGTTCCAAAATGAGGACAAAAAAAGCTTGCTGCTTTTTAAAAGACGAGGGAATCCCTAAACACACACACACTACCAAGCGATGGGACCAGATCCATAATTTGCAAACGGGCAGCTAAAAAAACAAAGCACAGCAAATACTGAACACACAAATACGGACTCTTATAGTGAGATATATTTGACCATTTACAGATCACTGCATTGCTTGCATGCTAGTGAGGCCCTCCCACTTCAATAAATACCAAAGTGTGTGGGAACATGTCCAATATCTCCAGTCTAACCAGAACTTCCAGGCTACAGCCTGTGACTGTTGCTCAGGTTTGACCATAGCTGCAGTCCACATTTCAGCTCCAAAGGTTGGTTGCTCCACTACTCTCTATGCAATTCATGTCAAAGTAATTTTATGGGGGGGAGGGAATACCGATATAGTTTCAAAGGATGCTTAAAATGAACTCCCAATTGCTCATTTGTTGGAGGAAGGTACACTCCCCGCCTGATCCCATCAACTGATGAGTAGTAGGATCATGTATTGCTCCAGGATCAGGAAAGGGGTTGCACTGAAACCTGTGTTAAAATTGGGTGGGAAATGTGCTTTGGCAAGGGTTTCATTGAGAACCCCTTCATAATCCTGGAGCAAGCCTCTTTGAAGCCATGCTTTCAAAAGAGGCTCATCACCTGACGCCACTGTGATGTCAGCTGGCAGGCAGGTAGCCCACCCACCTGTCAAATTTGGCCTGGCAATTTAAGATCTGGCGGGTCACTGGGCGGTGTGAGGGGAGGTTCCCTACCCCTGATGTACTTAATTCCTTTGGCAATAACACAGAGATCATGGCGCCCGTATTGTTTTCTCATTGTCTTCCATCCAGGACGCTGACAATGAACTCACCTTAGACGGTGAGGCAGCTAACTTCCTTGTTTTTTCTTGAGGCGTCTCTAATGCGTCAGAGGCTGCACTGAACACTTTGGGGCTGTAAAGTAAAAGAAGAACCAGCCCATTACTTGGAGGCTGCTATGCCACACACTGAAATTAGTTTAAATATCAAGGCTCCCATGCAAAGAACTCTAGGCATCTGTAACTATTTTAGTTTCAGCCATTATGACCTTGGAGCTGGGTGCACAGACCCTCAAGTTATCCCACCCACAATGTATTTAATCAAATCTCCACCCTCTCTCACTTCATGCATAAATGAGGAATCAGAAAGGCTTTAACGGAAGGCAATCTGATTCATCATTTGCAAAAAGTGTTTGCGAGGTTGCGAGTCAAGAATTGCAGAGAAATTCCAACCATCTCCATATGAAAGTCTACTACCTCTACATTTAAAAGATCTCACTTTTTCTACACATTACTGAGCAAGGCAGGGCTCCTGTGCTGAGGCAGTGCAGGGTTGTGTTATGTCTACATGAAGCAGTGATTCTGAACATTCACACACAAAACTTTGCAAGACAAAGCAGCACTGCCTCCTGCCCCCATTTTCCATGTAAGTACCCAGAGCTCTAAGCGAAAGAGACAGAAACACAATGTGTGAAGGGCTGTTACATGGAAGATGGAGAAAGCTTGCTTTCTGTTGCTCCAGAGGGTAGGACCCGAACCAGTTGATTCAAATGCAAGGAAGGAGATTCCGGCTAAACATTGGGAAGAACTTTCTGATGGTAAGAGCAGTTTGACAGTGGAATGGAAGGTCATGTGGACCTTTCCTGGAGGTTTTAAAGCAACGGTTGGCTAAAGGGATTCTTTAGCTGTAATTCCTGCATTGTAGGAGGGTGGAATAGACGACTTTTGCAGTCCCTTCCAACTCTACAATTCTAAGATTCGGTGAACAGAGCATGGTTGCAGAACAATACACAGGGCCTTGCCTCAGCGATAGCTCACATACCTTATACACAGAAGGCCCCAGGGACCATCCAAAACCCTGGAGAGCAGTTCCACTACTCCACTGATAATACTGAGCTAGATGGAGTCATGGCTACGTGAAAGGCAGCCCCCCACCCTGTCTTCCTAAAGCCAAAGATGGCTGTCAAACCCTCCTAACCAGATATAAGTATCCACTTGAGAAGTGACTGTGTTTGCAAAGGAGGTAACATGCCTGCAGTCTAGGTGCGGTTTCTGAATCATCTTAGCACAAACACCCACAAAAGGAAGCACCACAGAACGGGAAGCAAAGTAAATCCAAAAGGTGCAGAAGTCAAATTTATGGGAACCAGCTGTATCAACTTGTTTTGGGCTGTCCTAGTGGTGCAGTGATAAAATTGCTAACGCATTTGCAAAGCTAAGCAGGGTCTGGTATGGTTGCAAATTGGATGGGGGACCACATGTTGAGATTACCACATTGCAGGGGGTTGGAACCTCGGAGTCCTTTCCAACTCTCTGAGTCTATGAGCAGACAACTCTTTTTCTGAATATCCATTATAGTTACTTTAATTAACCTCCACCCTAACACTTCTGATCTTTTCCTACATTTATCCTGGCAAGTGGTATTTACTTTGGCTTATTGTACAATTTGACAGCTGCACCCAGGAAAACTCCGCCACAGTTGACAGATGGAGCCAAACACCTTTCTTCCACGCCTCTGCCATCTCCAAGCTTGACTACCATAAGGGGACAGTCCTTGAAGTTTCATTTAGGATGATGTAGGAGATGGGAAGCAGGCCTGGTTGTAGATAGGGAACCAACCAGGAGGAAAACCATACAAGAAACAACTGCTCTGATTGCTTCCATCTGACCAGCTTGGGTTGCTGTGTACTATGAAAGTCTGGAAGAGAAGGGGGCCTCAGGTCACTCACACCCTTCAAAATAGTAACAACAACACTTTCAGCAACATGAATTTCCATCGTCATCTTTGTGCGACACACCTAAAGGACTTCTCACTTAAAGTACACTTCTCTCTTCCCACCCACAAAAAGGTAGGTAAATACTACTCTGGAGAAAAGGAACAGTTCATGAAATTGACAGCCCTTCCCTCACTTTAAACAAGGGCGATTTTCATTTATTGCAGTTCACATCTGAGGCACATTCCTTTCTAACCCAGAATGTCTATAGGTGTGGATGGGGCTAACATTTGCTCTAATAAAAAGGGGAGGGGGGAACTGTTCAGTGTGTGAACCGACGAGGCATTACCCATCATGCCACATATAACAAATAATTCTAACAGGCCACTAAAAAATGAATACCTACAATAGGAATATAAAGGGGCCGTTGTAGGTTTACCAAATGATGCTGATACTCGCTATTAGCATCGAGACAACACGGTTTCTGACTACAGTATTTTGCTTTCTGATATTCTCCCAAATAGATTCCGTCTTTTAGAAGCAAGCCATCAGAGGCAACTATAATAGCCCCCACAACACAATTCTATTCGCTGAACAATACTGATATATCACGACAACAACTATTTACGTCACCCAACTAGGTTCCCTGAGACACACCGAAAATTATTCTGTAGGTAAGGTTAAAACATACAGTTAATTAAGTCACAATGCTGAAGGCTGCGTTTTCTGAATCAGTTCAGCTGACCAACTGGTTTATACAACAACAACAATAACAACAAAGTTATCAACACGTTTCTCTGAGTGTCTAACCTTTCATCAGATTTCGATTCCACCTCTGCCTCTTTTATGGCACCCAGCAATTCTGGAGGCGTGAAAACTTCTTTATTGACATTGTTCACCCAGCTGCTCTTTATCTTGTCTGACTTACTTTGACTCAGTTCTGCTGAAACAAACAGGGGAAAGGTTATCTTGCATTTTCTCTGTAAATGCTCAAAACTACGGATACCTAGGAGCTTTTAAATTGGCACGCAATTAAGTACCCACCTTCCAGCCTATTCAAGATTCTAAGTCTTAAAAGGCATTTCCATAGTTTTGTAACTCCTGGGGTTTTTAAACAACTGGTCTATTTTTTAACATGCGAAATATGCTTTACAAGCACAAGGCATTGGAACAAACCCTATTATGCTAAATGGGTTTCATGAAAGAGTTACAAATGTCATAGAAATCCACATTAAGTAGACCTTAGACCCTCAACGCAAGTCATTCCCACAAGCACAACAGCACCTTTGAATTTCCAGACATCTAAAAACAAGAAGAGCCTTGCTGAAGGGTAATTGAAATCCACTTTCTACAGCAGCCAAGCAAAACGGCGTACTGTATTGGAGCATTGGGGCAGGAGGAGCCATGGCTAAACATGTCTTTCACAAGGGCTCATCTCCATGAACTGGCCTAGTGTATTTTAAAAAATGGCTGCCATCACCGCCTGAGGCAATGACTTCCCTAAATAAGTCTACGTGGTGCTGCAAATAAGCATTTTGAGATACTTGGAACCTCTGCCGTCAGCCGGGGAATCAAGAGCCACAGAGCGGCTGCTCCCCTGGCCTCTCAGGAAGAACATTGAAGCAAGGGGGGTGGGGAGATAATCCGGACTCCATCCATCCGTCGGCCAGAGAATGGAGCTACAAAGTGCTTCCTTCCTCCCTCCCTCCCTTCCAGAAAGAACACTGGACCCCAACTGCCATTTTGCACCGGGTTTGTCGAGCGTGCTGCAGGGAAGCATCCCTTGACCTGATCCATCAGCCAAGGAGCTACAGTCCGCAGAGGGACTTCTCGGTAGTGGCACCCTCCCTGTGGAACGCCCTCCCTTCAGATGTCAAGGAGATAAAGGATTCCATAACTTTTAGAAGGCATCTGAAGGCAGCCCTGTACCGGGAGGCTTTTAATGCTGATGTTTTTATTATTTTTTTAGGTATGCTGTAAGCCGCCCAGAGAGGCTGGGGAAACCCAGCCGGATGGGCGGGATATATATATAATAAAATGGTTATTATTAGTTTGGGTGGGCTTGGAGTGTGTGTGTGTGTGTGTGTGTGTGTGTGGATTTTGTATAGTGCTCAGTTAACTGCCGTTCATCCGAAGGTCCCAGGGCAGCTCATGACAACTGAAAAAGTTTAGAACAACCAATAATCATAGAAACAGGGTGGGTCGTAAGAAAATCTATGTACAGTGGTACCTCGGGTTAAGAACTTGATTCGTTCTGGAGGTCCGTTCTTAACCTGAAACTGTTCTTAACCTGAGGTACCACTTTAGCTAATGGGGCCTCCTACTGCTGCTGCGCCGCCACAGCACAATTTCTGTTCTCATCCTGAAGCAAAGTTCTTAACCCGAGGTAATATTTCTGGGTTAGCGGAGTCTGTAACCTGAAGCGTCTGTAACCTGAGGTACCACTGTACTCTTGTTGTCTGCCATAAGCTACCTTGACGGTCATTTGATCAAAATAATGAAATAATTAAGTAATAATTAAATAAAGTAATAAAGTAATAATGAAAGGTGAAAGAGTTTCAAGTAAAACAAAGGTTGCCAATAACTGTGCAGGTATATGATTTTTTAATTTGTTTTTAGAACGCTTCAAATCGTTTTTCAACATTTTAATATTTTTTTTATTTTATTTTAAATTGTGGTGTTCTGACATTTTGATGTTTGCCTCCCTGGTTTCCTTTGGGAGGAAGGGTGGGGTAGAGATTCAATAGAGGATAAACAACGTTTTTGGGCCCACAAATACAGCCTGTCACCAGACACATGCAGCAACCTATTTTACTGGATATTAGATAATGCTTCCTTCAAGCCTAATTACAGCAGGGAGGCTTGAAGGCTGTGGCCACCAGAGAAGGCCTCTGCAGATGTGCCCCACAGGTACCATGTTGACAACTCTGGGAAGAAACACTTTTTTTAAAAAAAAAAAAAAGCTTTTTATGTATACTTTTCAAATTTATACAGTTCATTAATTTTACAATCATTTTAACATTTCAACATTTGACTTCCTTCCCCCTCTTTGTGCGGTTCCTTAAATTTATTTTTTAATATCTTCTGCATATCCAAATTCATTTAATTTGCTCATTGAATTATCTACTTTAAATACATACTCTTATGAAGCTGCAGGTTATTACAATAATCCTGCCAATGTTTTTATCTGTTTGCAATTTATCTGTAAATATTCAATAAACCATTTCCATTCTTTTATAAATAGTTTGTTATCTTGATTTCTTACTCTTCCGGGAAGTTCCGCCATTTCTCTATATTCCATAAGACTTAGTATCCATTCCCCCTGTTGGGTACTGATTGGTTAGCAGACCCAACAATACAATAATCTTTATTGTCACTGTCCCATACAGAACAACGAAATTGGGGGGGGGGGGATCTATGTAAGACATTCAAAACCAACAAGCCTGCTATCCGAGCTATCCCAACCTTGCTTGCCGGGACTTCTGCTTCTTTCCGACTGGAAAGTAATTCTCAGTTAGGATCTCAGTCAACTATATATTAATTAGATTAAAAAAAAAAAAAACACCACCCTAATATAAGCTTCACATTTTAAAGAAATCATAAGGCAGTTAAGATGATTAGACAAAATGGCGTCCAACATCCTGTGCAATTCTGTGAGTCTATATTTTGTTCTTGATTGAAGCTCTACACAGAGACCCAAGCACCTTTCTTCACTTCAAAACAGCTCTACTATTTTTATTATTTTTAAAGTCAACACTGCATACCTGTTGGAAACGGCTTCCTCCTCATGGACGCCCGAATGATGTCTGCTCCGTGAATTTTCTCTCTATGCCTCTTGGACTTGGCTTCGTAAAACCACTGCCCGCTCATGTTCTTAACTTGGATCTCATCTTTAACTTTTTCACTTAAATGCCTGGGGGGGGGGTGAGGAGGAAGGGGTGGAAAGATTATTACACATGCCTTGCAGCGAAGGAAGCTTGACCATACTGTCTTGGAAGCTATCTGACCAGACAAGGAACACACACAATTCTTTATCTTAGGTATAGGTAATTTTCTTCTCATCAGATTGTGGTGGTGGTTTTTAAAGCCCATATGAAAATTCATCAACATTTTAGTACCGATATACATCTTTTATTTATTTATGTATTTATAATATACAGTGGTACCTCTGGATACGAACGAGATCCGTTCCGGAGCCCCGTTCACATCCTGAAGTAAATGTAAGACACGACTGTGCGTCTGCGGGTCGCATTTCGCCGCTTCCGCGCATACGCGTGACATCATTTTGAGCATCTGCGCATGCACGAACAGCGAAACCCGGAAGTAACGCACTCCATCATTACATCCAGGTCGCCGCGGAGCGCAACCCGAAAATATTTAACTTGAAGCTACTTCAACCCGAGGTATGACTGTACACTTTCATTTTTTTAAAAAACACACACACCAATGTACGTAGGCAGCATACAACATAACCAGATTAAAATCAACATAACCAGAATAAAATCAGCAGAAAGCATCCATGAAAACATTAATAAAACTGAATACATACTGAATGAGTAAAAAGAGGAAACTTATATAGTGAAGGCCTGCATAGACAATATAGTTTTCAAAAGACATCTAGAAGAAGGGAGGGATAGTTCTTGCCGAACCTCTACTGGCAGGGATCTCCACAGGACAGGGGAAACAGTCCCCAAGAGAAGGCCAATTGCAATTCGGGGATGTATGGAACTAACAGATGTTCCCCATTAAAGGATCTCAAGAGGCAATTTTGCTTAACACAACACATTTTTTTGCAAAGCAACAGTATGACGCATCTTTGTATTTTCTTTCCAGGAATACATGCATTGCTATGCACACTGTGCCGCAATATATGCATTTTTGGTACACATTCCTGTGTGGTGTCTTTATGATGTACAGTTTATTTACACATGTATACAACCTGAGCCTCTCTGCTCAGAGCATTGCACCCCAAGATGGTCCTGCTCCTCCGACTGCTACCACCTTGGATCCAAAAAGAAATGAAGCATATCTGAAGGAGCGTCTCCACCCCCATCGTTCTGCCCGGACACTGAGGTCCAGCTCCAAGGGCCTTCTGGTGGTTCCCTCACTGCGAGAAGCCAAGTTACAGGGAACCAGGAAGAGGGCCTTCTCGGTAGTGGCACCCGCCCTGTGGAACGCCCTCCCACCAGATGTCAAAGAGAACTACCAGACTTTTAGAAGACATCTGAAGGCAGCCCTGTTTAGGGAAGCTTTTAATGTTTGATGCATTACTGTATTTTAATATTTTGTTGGAAGCCGCCCAGAGTGACTGGGGAAGCCCAGCCAGATGGGCGGGGTACACATTAATAATTATTATTATTATTATTATTATTATTATTATTATTATTATGCAGAGGCTCAGCTTGCTGTGTTTAAGACTTTTTCTCTGCTGTCTCACAGTGGAAGAAGGGGCTGATACCCATCTGCCACCCGCCACAGAGCATCCGCTTTGTTAATCGCTCATTACCTTCCTTTCGTTCTCCACAATGGCTCTTCTCCCATGAAATTTCATGAGCATGGAAAAAACAGGTTTGGCCTGTGTTTCGACACTGCTAAATTCAGCGTATGGCAGCCCATCTCAATGCTCCAAGCATTGATTAAACTCCGAGACCCAGAAATTTAGGGGGAGGATCTGGAACGCAGGAATTGAGGAGGTTTCTAGGCACCCACAAACTCATAGCAATACTTGGGAGTGACCTTTCAAATGTATGTACTCTCTCAAGCCTGCCCAGCCCTCCTCACTTGCGGTTATGAAGCACCACTTTGAATCAACATGACTGGTCATAAGGGAGCTGGAATTCCAGCTTCTGTAACACATGACTTGTCTTCCTTTGTTATTCTAGTCTAGGGGCTTTAAGTATCCAACACAGAAAGGGATTCCTAACCGTTTAGCTTTCTCCTGCGTCACTGTTTCTTTTAATCAATGGTTGCTTTTATGGAGCGCGAGGACACCACATCATAAAAACACCAGTAGATCTATATTCTTTTTTACAACGGCACAGAGCATATAAAACCTCTTTACCCTGGCCTTTGACCCCTGAGATGCGCTGTATTCAGGGCCCACCCTATTCCTGCAATTGCAACCTTTTTTTCCCCCTGCAAGGGTTATGAACTGGGGCGGGGGGCAATGTTATGTACTGAAGTTTTCACCCTGGGCCAGCAGGGGGATACTGTAGATAGTTTTCACTCAGGTCCACATATGCAAATAAGGTGACGTTCAGTGATTGCATAGTTACAGAAAATGGTTACTGTTGTTTTGCAGTTGAGCTCTATATAAGCAGGCTGCCTGAACCCTTCAGTTCAGTTCTGTTCTGGCCTGTGAATAAACAAGAGCTGTTTAAAGAATCACTGTGTCATCTGATATGTTCACCCACAACTTAACAGCCAATGTGTGTGTGGTGAGGGGGATGGGGAACAGAAGAAGTTCAAAATCTTGATTTTTCAGAGAGTCATAGAACTGCAGAGTTGGAAGAGACCCTGAGGATCATATAAACCAACCCCCCTGCAATGCAGGAATATGCAGCTGGGAATCAAACCTGCAACCCTGGCATTATCAGCACCAGGCTCTAACCAACTGAGCTATCCAAGCGGATTACCGTATTTTCCCGTGTATAAGACAAGGTTTCCCACCTAAAAAATAATGCCAAAAATTAGGGGGCGTCTTATACGCGGATACATCCCCCCCCCTTTTCTTAAATCTGAGCCCCCCAAAATAGGGGGCGTCTTATACATTGGGGGCGTCTTATAGACGGAATAATACGGTATTTTCTTGGTTTGAGAATGCCACTAGGACAGTCTGAATTGCTTTCAAGAGAAAGGCACTGATTTGGGTAATAATGAATCTGAAAATGCCTGATTCACTTCCTTTGGCTCCAGGTTCTCTTGCTGACTAACAAGAGGGTGCAGTGCAGGTAGTCAACTCAAGGATGAGTCACTCAGAGCCAAACTGCTTGCGGCATTAAGTACCAAAGGGGAGGGGCTGGTTTTTTTATTTTAAAAAATGCAAATAGCATCATTGAGGAAGGGCTGGTTAATTATGGGATCAGAGCAATAATGAAGAGTGATTTTAATCCTGTGTAAAAGCTAGTAAAAGCACTGAGGTTAGTGCTTGAAGGGCTTTATTAGGTAGGTGAGGGAACATAATGAACTATATTTTATCTTCCTACAGACCCACATATGTGGGTTAGCAGACAGAAGAATCAGCTTACTGCTTGTGTTTAAAAGTGCAGGGTTTAAATCTCATTTTAGACAGCTTAATTGGAAACACAAGAAGTAGCCATTAGGCTACTTGTCCTGTGTTAACCCTGTTTATCAAAGAAACAGGCTACGGCAGGCATAGGCAAACTCGGCCCTCCAGATGTTTTGGGATTACAATTCCCATCATCCCTAGCTAACAGGACCAGTGGTCAGGGATGATGGGAATTGTAGTCTCAAAAATATCTGGGTGGTGGGGCTATTGCAATGATCCTGGACCATGGAGCTGTCTTTAAAGAAAGTTCAGAGCTTGCAGCTGGTACAGAATACAGCAAAGAAGAAAGCTGGCCATCGCTCCACAAAGTTTTCAGCTTCACTGGGTGCCCATTATTTTCCAAATTCAATTAACAGTGCTGGCATTGACCCTCTGAGATCCTTAAATATCTGGGGAGCTACCTAAAGGACTAGGGGAAGGTATTCAAACATCTGACACACACCCTTTCTGCAAAATCTGAAACTGTCAAACCCAGGAAAAGTTTCACCAACTCATTTGCTATTTGTGTAGAGACTAAACTCTCAGAGGCCGTATACTTGGGAGGTGCAGATTCAGTAAATTATCAGGACTTGTTGACACAATCATTTAAGCCAGCGATAGCAGCCCTTTAAGCAAACCCATTGCCAAAGTAACAATCTAAAAGTAAATATTTGATTCTAAATGCACACCACACCCTGCCTTATCAGCACAAAAGCCACTGACGTAATTTTACAACTACCTCCCCACCAGCAAGGATGCAACTAAAGAAACATAAAGCCCTGTATTTTTCAAGCCCCTGTAGATCACATGAAGGGATGTTATACATTTTCCCTCATACAGTAATGTCCTCAAGGCAGCTGAGAACAATATGCCTAACTTCCGGTGGTTGTGGGTCAGTGTGCCCTAAGGGCCAGCCTTTTTCAACGTTGGGTCCCCAGATGTTGTTGGACTACAAAGCCCACCATCCCAGACCTGCTAACTAGGGATGATGGGAGTTGTAGTCCAACAACACCTCAAGATTGAGAAAGGCTGCCCTAAGCAGATCACTGTTGCTCCTTAGTTTTCTACAAGAAAAGCACAGACACCTGCTTTGGAGATATTGTGACTCAGCAGAATTGATTAGGAAGGATTTTATGATCCTGAGGCTCAAAGCAGAGAATACATTTTCTTTTGTATCCGCCCCTTTCTGCACCCATGTGCCCCTCAAAGCATTTTTTCTAAATCTCCAGTGATTTCTTCTCCTTTCACACACAACCTGTACTTTTTATCTCCTCCCCGCCCAAACTGCCAGCTTCCTCCATCCGTCCTCCCTGGTCCTTTGACACTCACTTCTTCCTCCTTTTAGCCACATTCTTCTCTTATCTCCTTCCTTTCTATTCTCAGTTGCAGCTTTGGGGGCTTTTTGGTTTAGAGAAAAAGGAGAGTAAGAGGCAACGTGATAGCTGTTTATAAAAGAATGCACAGCATGGAGGAATTGGATAGAGAGAAGTTTTACTCCCTCTCTTATAACTCTGGGACATCGAATGATGTTGACTGCTGGAAAGCTCATGAAAGATAAAGTACTTCACACAGTGATGGCCATCAACTTGGATGGCTTTAAAAGTTGTTGTTTAGTTGTTTAGTCGTGTCCGACTCTTCATGACTCCATGGACCAGAGCACGCCAGGCACTCCTGTCTTCCACTGCCTCCTGCTGTTTGGTCAAACTCATTCTGGTAGCTTCGAGAACACTATCCAACCATCTCGTCCTCTGTCATCCCCTTCTCCTTGTGCCCTCCATCTTTCCCAACATCATGGACTTTTCCAGGGAGTCTTCTCTTCTCATGTTGTGGACAAAGTATTGGAGCCTCAGCTTCAGGATCTGTCCTTCCAGTGAGCACTCAGAGCTGATTTCCTTAAGAATGGATAGGTTTGATCTTCTTGCAGTCCATGGGACTCTCAAGAGTCTCCTCCAGCACCATAATTCAAAAGCATCAATTCTTCGGCGATCAGCCTTCTTTATGGTCCAGCTCTCACTACCATACATCACTATTAGGAAAACCATAGCTTTAACTATACGGACCTTTGTTGGCAAGGTGATGTCTCTGCTTTTTAAGATGCTGTCTAGGTTTGTCATTGCTTATTATCAACCTTTCACCTGACTTTTTGATTGCACAGCCATCACCCCTCAGAAAAGGAAAACTTCCATTCCCTTCTTCCAGAACTTCCCAGCCTCCCTGCCACCTTCACTCAGCATACAATATGTTGCTGGTGTTGGAATTGGTCCAGCCAAAAGGCTTTCGTCACATCTCTAAGGGCTATGGCAGATAAGCAAGGAGGCAACGGGCAGCCAGCAGCACCTGAAACTGGTCCACAGCCCACTGCTGGGTCCAGCCCACTGTCTGAGAAACACTGGCATAGACAATACAAAGCTAGCTGGATTAATGGCCTGGGCCCAGTATAAACACAGCTTCCTACTTTATTCCAGTACATCACATTTCAGCACTCAACTGAAGTAGGTCTCAACTTGCCTTCAGTGGGAAATGCTCTGATGATGATTGTGGGAGACATTGCAGAACAGTTCTCTTCCTGCTTTATTTGATCTGTGATGGCTGCTCCACCATCTGATGTCAAAAAAACCAAGTAGAGCTGGAAGGAACCGTAAGGGTCATTTAGTCCAACCCCCTGCAATGCAGGAATATTTTTGGCCAATGTGGTGCTCGAATCCATGACTCAAACTCAAACCCATGACTCAATTAAGAGATTATTAAAAAAAGAAAAGAAATTGTAAGTTTCAAAAGGTTAGAAATTTAATACAGTGGTACCTCGGGTTACATATGCTTCAGGTAACATACACTTCAGGTTACAGACTCCGCTAACACAGAAATAGTACCTCAGGTTAAGAACTTTGCTTCAGGATGAGAACAGAAATTGTGCATCGGTGGCGCGGCAGCAGCAGGAGGCTCCATTAGCTAAAGTGGTGCTTCAGGTTAAGAACAGTTTCAGGTTAAGAACGGACCTCCGGAACGAATTAAGTACTTAACCCGAGGTACCACCGCACAAAATCATACTTTCCAATTGATATTAAGAGTTTAGTGTGAGTTTAGTTTAGTCTCATGCTGTACTGACTCAGCTATCTCTCTCTAGACTGTTTGGAGCAAGAGAAGGGTTCTAAACATGCACAATTGTTAAAGACTGTTTAAGAACTGGCGCTCGGGTTTGATTCTTTCCTCTTTCCTCTTCCCTCCCCATCCCTTTTTCCTTGTGTGTCTTTTTTTTTAAGATAGTAACCCTAATGGCAGGGACTATCACGTTTTAACTTATTGTATGAAAGCTACCCTGGGAACCTTTCTGGCTAAAGCGCAGGGTACAAAAGCTCCAAATAAATACATGAAATCAAAGTAAGCATGCTCTTACGACTCTACATTGTTTTGCAATTCAGTGCCCATCACAAGGGCAGAACGGGTGGGAGTTAGCAAGGGATTCAAAGCCCTGGTGCGTGTCAGAGGCAGATCCAATGAGCCACAGAACTGAGATCTCCTGACTCGCATGCTGCATCACCGCTAGACCACAGGAATTCTCCATCGCTAATTATTGTGCCTAGGAAAACAAGCTTTCAATCTGGCAGCTCTTATCTGCAAACCACCTGACACAGCCCCTCAGTTCCTCGCGTATCATAACACAGAGCTTACTTGTAGTTCTGCCTTCCAATATATAATGGAAGACTACTCTGGCTAAGTAACACAAGAAATAAATAGAACAGAATCGTAGAGTTGGAAGGGACTCCATGGGTCATTCACCCCATCTACCCTGCTGCAATGCAGGAATCTCAACACTCCATCCCCCATCCAGTGTGAAACCACAACAGATGCTGCTTAGCTTTGCAAAAGTACTGGTTGGACTCGATGGCCCTTGTGGTCTCTTCCAACTCTATGATTCTATGATTCTACTCAGGATATAGCACACTTCTCCCAGGGCAATGGACCTGACAGTGGCTAGGCTGCCTTAGCGAGAGAGGTGATTTAATTGCACGCTGCGTTTTCAGGACACAACCCCAAGGCAACAAAATGCCAGAGGAACCACGAAGGATAAAGTTGCTGTTTTAAAAATCAAAATCTGTTTTAAGAACCCAACAGGCCTGCTGGGTCAGCCCAAAGGGCTCAACTAGTCCGTCACCCTGTTCTCACAGTGGAAAACCAGATGCCCATTATGGGAAACCCACAGGCAATATCAACTCTCCAACTGTTTTCCCCCATCATCTGGTATTCAGAGGCAGGCTGGTCCCCTGGGAATGGAGGTTCTGCTATCTCGGAAGACCTCCACCTGGAGAACCCTGATGGATTCAGGTCAAGGGCTCAACTAGTCCAGCATCCCAGTGGGAAACCAGGTGCCCGTTATGGGACGCTCACAAGCAGGGCCCGAGTGCAACAACACTCTGCCCATTTGTGACTCCCAGCAATTGGGATTCAGAGGGGCACCAGTTCCGACAGCAGTGGTTCGGAACATAGCCTTGTTCTCCGTGAATTCAGGAGAACTTGCTGGCTTGCTGCTCCTTTGTGCAGAAAATAATTGATGGCCACCAAGGCAGTGGTGGCCACCAAGTTGGACATATGGAACTCACTTCTGCAGGAGGCGGCACTGACTTTGAAAGAGGAGTGGGCAAATTCATGGCGGATACAGCTATTCACAGCTACTACCCACAATGGCTACGCTCTGCCCTCCACAACTGGAGGCAGCAACGCTTCTGAATACCAGCTGCTGGGAACCACGGGAGCCGAGAGATGCTCTTGTGGAAGGAATATATTGACGTTAAGGTTTTGTTTCGTTTTTCAGAGGGAAGGGGAAAGAGGGCGAGTGCCAGATTTCGAAATCAGTCTTAAGCAGTCTTGCAAAATTTCAAGAAGTCTTGCTAAACCTAGATTATAAGTAGTAGTATTAATTTATGAATCACCTTTCACGGGAGTCACGAGGCAATTTACAAACACAGCATGAAACCAAACACAAAAGGACTTTCAGTTCGCAATGAGGGGACCTTCTGAATTTTTGCAAAGCAGAACTGAGGTCCAATACGTTTCCCGTTCCTTTCTTTCCCCACTGATTATAGCTTTAATTTGAGCTCCAGAGTCAGCATGAGTCAGAGGATGGGAGAACGAAACAGGGTAAGAGACATCCTGTCCTTCCATAGACAGCGTGTGTTGGTTCACTTTGTGTTTTGCAGCAGGGGACAACTGCCTATTCCTGCCCTAGACACAACTGCATGGAAGCATGGACACAGGAGGAGGCCTGTACCACAATGCGGGGACACATTTTGCATTTGGAGGTGAAGCACCAGCCACCTCGGAATTCTCCTTCCATGATCAAACAAACAAAGTGAAAAGCAGGACTATCTTTTTCCAAGGGCTTATATGTCAAGAGAGGAAAGCTGGAAGACTAGAATGCAACCACAACATTTCTTCCTTGTAGACTACATGGTGCCAGCGGCCACGACGGTCAAAGTAGCAAGGCGCCAGATTATTTTTATCGTTTGCTTCTCTGTGTTAAGGGTTACTACGCTGCAATTACTTGTCTGACAACCACAAGACGGTGAGGGTTCCAAGGCCTGGAAGAAGGATCCACACATCTTTCCATGTTTCATCATCCAAAAAAACTCAGACTGATGCACAGCAGGAACCTTCCTCTAACTTACCTTAGAAAGGCTTATGATAATATTTTGCAGAAGCTAAAGTGCTGTTAGATGTGTGGTGCTGTGACTGATAACACAGAAAGGGCCCCCGCCCCATAAACTGGGAGACAGACAATAGTCTTCCAACAGACCTAAAGGCATTATGGAACCAGGATGGCTGCAGATGGAATCTACACTCACCCATGTTCATGGGCTTTATAGCCTTTCTCCAGATGCAACAGTGGGACAAGACAAATGTGTATGGAGTTGAAGAAATGACACTGTCTCCAGGGATGCTTGCTCTATGTAGGGCGATTCTGACTCTGCAGAATGCAAGGCTACAATTGCCGGCATGCTCTTGTGATGAATATGCTAGCATTGGCCCCACACGATAACTGTTGGACAGGGTAGCCAACACGGTTGTTCTCCGTGATGTTCTGGAGTACAATTCCCATCATCCCTTAACATTGGCCATAAGCCAGGCATGGCCAAACTTGGCCCTCCAGCTGTTTTGGGACTACAACTCCCATCATCCCTAGCTAACAGGACCAGTGGCCAAGCAGTGTTAGAAATTCAGATATATAAGCTAGGCACCAAACAGCTCCTTAAACCAAGGTGGTTGTTGTTGTTGTTGTTGTTGTTTAGTCGTGTCTGACTCTTCATGACCCCATGGACCAGAGCACGCCAGGCACTCCTGTCTTCCACTGCCTCCCGCAGTTTAGTCAAACTCATGCTGGTAGCTTCGAGAACACTGTCCCACCATCTTGTCCTCTGTCGTCCCCTTCTCCTTGCGCCCTCCATCTTTCCCAACATCAGGGTCTTTTCCAGGGAGTCTTCTCTTCTCATGAGGTGGCCAAAGTACTGGAGCCTCAGCTTCACGATCTGTCCTTCCAGTGAGCACTCAGGGCTGATTTCTTTAAGAATGGAGAGGTTTGATCTTCTTGCAGTCCATGGGACTCTCAAGATTCTCCTACAGCACCAGAATTCAAAAGCATCAATTCTTCGGCGATCAGCCTTCTTTATGGTCCAGCTCTCACTTCCATACATCACTACTGGGAAAACCATAGCTTTTACTATACGGACCTTTGTTGGCAAGGTGATGTCTTTACTTTTTAAGATGCTGTCTAGGTTTGTCATTGCTTTTCTCCCAAGTAGCAGGCGTCTCTTAATTTCGTGGCTGCTGTCACCATCTGCAGTGATCATGGAGCCCAAGAAAGTAAAATCTCTCTCTGCCTCCATTTCTTCCCCTTCTGTTTGCCAGGAGGTGATGGGACCAGTGGCCATGATCTTCGTTTTTTTGATGTTGAGCTTCAGACCATATTTTGCGCTCTCCTCTTTCACCCTCATTAAAAAGTTCTTTAATTCCTCCTCACTTTCTGCCATCACGGTTGTGTCATCTGCATATCTGAGGTTGTTGATATTTCTTCCAGCAATCTTAATTCCGGCTAGGGATGCAGTCGCCAAAACGGAATGCCTAGTTGCCATTTTGGGGGCAAGACAGCTCTAAACTCTTGGTTTTCTCAAATAATGGACTGACAGTGATTGATTCTCAGTTAAACATCTGGCCAGTTCAGACGACAACCTTCAGCTGGGTTAAGAGCTTTGAGAACTTAAAAGAAGAAAAGTCACTTGATCCAGGGACAGTCCACATATAGATTGGCCTATTCTGACCTCTTTTTCTGAATGCTGACTCCTTCTGCTCAGGCTTCACAGAAAAAGCAATTTGGTCCCATAATTTTATTCTGATTGTGCAGATAAAATATAACTGATACAATTCTACAGGATGGGGTGAGAAAACAGTCCAGATCCAATAATTCCCAGATGGTGGAAATGTCAAGGAATCATCCTGTCGCCCAGGCATCTTCACTTTGTCACAAGTGGTCAAAGGCCAGGTGCAAAATGTGCCTGGCTCATCTAGCCCAGCACTCTGTCCTCACAACGACCCACCTATGGAAAGCCTGTAAGCAGAACAGGAGCACAACAGCACTCACACTGCTTGTGATTCCCGAAAACTGGTGTTTAGAGGCACACGGTCACCAACAGTGGAGGTAGCACATAGCCACCATGCCTAGTAGCTACCCAGGCTGGGGTTGATGGATGTTGTACTCCAAAACACCTTGAAGCACCCCGTCATTAGAAAAACTCTTCACTAGGTTAAATCTGTAATGATACACTGGGCGAGGGATTTGGGGCATAATAAACCACAGAGCCTAGGGCTTGCCGATCGGAAGGTCAGCGGATCGAATCTCCGTGACAGGGTGAGCTCTCATTGTTCGGTCACTGCTCCTGCCCACCTAGCAGTTCGAAAGCACATCAAAGTGCAAGTAGATAAATAGGTACCACTCCGGCGGGAAGGTAAACGGTGTTTCTGTGCGCTGCTCTGGTTCGCCAGAAGCGGCTTAGTCATGCTGGCCACATGACCCGGAAGCTGTCTGCAGACAAACACCGGCTCCCTCGGCCTATAGAGCAAGATGAGCGCCACAACCCCCGAGTCGTCTGCGACTGGATCTAACGGTCAGGAGTACCTTTACCTTTACCCAACTCTCATATTGGGAAAGGTTATGGAAAACTGCTTTGAAATTCTTGACATGTTGCACACTGAAAGAAAATTATATGAGAATGATGTATCGGTGGTATTTGACTCCTAGTAAGTTAGCAAAAATGTATAAGACAAGTATGAATACCTGCTGGAAATGTAAAGAAAAATAAGGCACCTTTTATCATATGTGGTGGACGTGAAAGGTAATAAAAGCATTCTGGGAAATGATACATAATGAATTGAAAAAATGTTTAAAATAACTTTTATTTTTTTTAAAAAGAAACCAGAAGTTTTTCTTTTAGGAATTGTAGGTACCGATATTCCAAAGGAGCAGAGAAGGCTTTTTATGTATGTGATGACAGCTGCATGGATGTAACTAGCCCAGAGATGGAAAGAGGACAAAGTCCCTACCAGAGAAGAATGGCAAACTAAGTTGCTGGACTTTTGACGAAATGGCAAAACTTACCAGAAAGCTCAGGAACCAAGAAGACCAAAACTTTAATAAAAATGGGGGAAATGTATAACTTACCTGGGAGACCAACGTAAGCACATGAAAACATTAGCAGGATTGCAATAACACTTGTAGCGCAGCAAATATTAGGGATAAAATGGAGTGTAATAAATAATAATAATAATAATAATAATAATTTATTATTTGTACCCCGCCCATCTGGCTGGGTTTCCCCAGCCACTCTGGGTGGCTTCCAACAAAGATTAAAAATACATTAAAATACATAAAATATGGCTTACTGAATAATATGCAGTTGAAAAGGTTGACAGTAGGACCCATGGAGGGTAAGGCGGGAAGTCCTAGGATTCGGAGGAATCTCCAAATATGGGTATGTATTTTGCATTGTTATAGTTTTATACTTGAAAACCAAATAAAGATTATTTCAAAAAGGAAAGAAAGAAAGAAAAACTCTTCACTAGTGGCAATAAGCCAGAGCAAATCCAGAAGGGGGTGAAGACTTAGCAGGTTGCTCTCTTACACACTCATTCACTCTCACTGAACTACTTGTCCGAGTATGAAGGAATTCCTGGCTCTTACCTGACCCTCTCCTCTTCAGCTCTCTTCAGGTCTGAATCCCGCTGAAGCACCTTGAGGATCGCCTCCTGCTCTTCATCCGTAAGGAAGCTCAAGTCGATCATCTTGCTATTTTTGTATCGTTTTGGTTACAACACAGAGAGATGAAACCTAGCAGCCTTCACCAAGAGCGTGTGCGGCCGTGCACCGAAGCGAGCGGCAGTTCTTAAAAAGTTCCCGAATTCTGTTTTCTTGTTAGAACTAGGAGATGCGCTTCTCCCACCGTGACTCTGTGGTTAAGGCGCTGCATTCCTGGATTGCTCACATCACATGTACGTTACAGGGGAGCCTTGCTTCATGCTTCAGCAGCTCATGGGATTAACTGCATGCTCCGGAGTCCAATGTGAGCATCACCTACGGAGAAGAAGCAAGAGGGAAGTATTAAGCTCCAGCCCTCTTGGCCAAGGGAGCAAAGCTTTGGGGAAGTGGGGATAGAGAATTATTTATTAACTAAGGGCTTATCCACACTTACTGTACTTTTCCTGCGCTCTTTCGAGGCACAGTCTGTTATTTAAAGGTCGGTGTACAAGCACCCACCCACCCTTTTTTGGGGGTTCCAGAGCTTTCCCCTCGAAAACCCACTCTTTAAAGCTCAATTGGAACAAACGTCAATTTGTGGGAAACCTAAAGTGACGTTTGCTCCAATTCAGCTTTAAAGAGCAGGTTTTCGAGAGGAAAGCTCAGGCCAAAAAAACCCCGCAACAACAACACTCAGAAACAGAGCAGGGACAAAAGAGTGGGACAAAAGGTAAGTACAGTGGTACCTTGGGTTACATACGCTTCAGGTTACAGACCCAGAAATAGTACCTCCAGTTAAGAACTTTGCTTCAGGATGAGAACAGAAATTGTGCTCCGGCAGCATGGCAGCAGCGGGAGGCCCCATTAGCTAAAGTGGTGCTTCAGGTTAAGAACAGTTTCAGGTTAAGAACGGACCTCCGGAACGAATTAAGTACTAACCCGAGGTACCACTGTATAGAGCATCTTAAAAAGCAGAGATATCACCTTGCCAACAAAGGCCCACATAGTTCAAGCTATGGTTTTCCCAGTAGTGACGTATGGAAGTGAGAGCTGGACCATAAAGAAGGCTGATCGCTGAAGAATTGATGCTTTTGAATTATGGTGCTGGAGGAGACTCTTGAGAGTCCCATGGACTGCAAGAAGATCAAACCTCTCCATTCTTAAGGAAATCAGCCCTGAGTGCTCACTGGAAGGACAGATCCTGAAGCTGAGGCTCCAATACTTTGGCCACCTCATGAGAAGAGAAGACTCCCTGGAAAAGACCCTGATGTTGGGAAACATGGAGGGCACAAGGAGAAGAGGATGACAGAGGACGAGATGGCTGGATAGTGTACCAGCATGAGTTTGATCAAAGTGCGGGAGGCAGTGGAAGACAGGAGTGTCTGTCGTGCTCTGGTCCATGGGGTCACGAAGAGTCGGATACGACTAAATGACTAAACAACAACCACCACTGTATAGATAAGCCCTTAGCACTTAGTCACAAGTGTCTATAGCATGCCAGTAATAATTTGCAGTTTTATGATGCCAAAGCCGATTTGCAAACTGATTAATTCGACCTTCATGGGGAGTGAGGAGATCTTTAGATACTATGCAATGCATGAAAAGCGGTAACTAACCATAATTGAATACGAACAGTATCCTCCAGCCAATCAGTTGTTTCCAAGGAGAAAAAAACAGTACAGGGTAAGCACTACAGATTGATGCAGCCTCCATAAAAAATGCTTCTAAGAAGCTACTACAGCCAACACCCTCAAGGGGGGAAATTCCAGCAGCTAATGACTGACTCTGAAGCAACATAAACAGGCTGGAAGCCAAGACACAAGTCTCACAAGACAACCAACTCTAGCTAAGAGGAAAACAAGAACATTAACACAACATCCTGCAGGCTAGATTGATAAGCTGCTTTTTAGAAACTTCACTTGATGAAAGTTCACACAGGGTACCAATTCCTGAATAGCAGTTACAATGGTACCTCGGGTTACAGACGCTTCAGGTTACAGACACTTCAGGTTACAGACTCCGCTAACCCAGAAATAGTACCTTGGGATAAGAACTTTGCTTCAGCAGAATGAGAAGAGAAATCATGTGGTGGTGACGCGACGGCAGCGGGAAGCCCCATTAGCTAAAGTGGTACCTCAGGTTAAGAATAGTTTCAGGTTAAGAACGGACCTCCAGAACAAATTAAGTTCTTAACCCGAGGTACCACTGTACTATACATGAACAAGTGGGGGCTGTAACAAAATGTTGCAGTGTGAAACTGCTACTGTTCAGGGTTCCAGATATTCCAACCCATCCCACCTCAGTCTCCATCCCATCCCAAGTCAGCCTTCTCAGTTGTCATGGGGCTGTTTGGGCCTGATACATTTTTTCCCCTTCTCCAAATAATTTTTTGTTTTACTTCTTAAAACTCTGGAATTTCCCCCAATTTTTGTTTCTCTGCCTGTACTTGTTTTATAACAACGTGTTAATGTTTTTATGCTGCATTTTTGCGTAATGCATAGAGATATTTTTAACTAGTAAGTAGCTTAGGAATGCTTTGAAATAGAGTTTGCCAATATAGAGATCACTATTTAAATGATTTGCTGTTCTTTCAGACCACCTTTCGTTGCAAAGAATGCCAGGTTAGTGTACAAGATATATAAAAACAAAGCACCATTAGGTAAGTTTAAATCGTATAAATATGTTTCCAGATATTATTGGGCTACGTCTCCCATCATCCCTGGCCACTGTTTTTTGCTGGCTTGGTGAAGATGGGAGTTCAACATCTGTGGACCATGGGTTCTCCATCTCTGGTGAGATGGGCTCTGATGCAGATGCATGTTGAACATGCTCATCTCAACACAGAACTGCCTCCCATGTAATAATTATTTTAACACAAAGGGGTCTGAACACCGAAAAAGCGCTGAACGCTATTCTAGCAATCCTCACAACAACCCTGAAAAGGTAGACCATGACTATTACGCCCATTTCACAGATGTTTGAGAGAGACAATGGCTTGCCAAGGTTCAGCCACAAGTTCATGGAAAGCCTGAGATTTTTGCCAGGGGCTTGCCAGCTCACACTCTCAACATATCCAAATGCACACCATGGTAAGCATGCCAAATAAGATTTAATAAGATAGTACTTCTGCTTCCCTGTTTTTCTACGGGGGTTTCCTCTGGGAATGGTGCAAATGGTACTGAAGGCTTTTTAAACAGACTTGCTTATTAAACAACAACAGGAAGGTGATACTGAAAAGGCTGGATCAGAGATGGGAAGCTGAAGAATGAACCAATTTATCACATTTCCACTCTTGTGGCTTGAGTTCAAGCTAATATCGCAGCAAGTAGAAGCAGGTAGCCAGTAGCCAGATTGATTCTTTTCTCCCTCACCGATTGTTGAAACGAGCTGGAAAGGCTCCAAAAGCAACAAGCAGAGAAGCTCACCACCACCAGTAGCCTGGAACAGTCTGGCTCAACTTTTCCTGCTGAGTTTGCATCTGGGGCAGCCAGACTTGGAAGGGAGATTGAGACCAGACAAGAGAGCCACAAGCAACAACTAAAACATGGCTTTTCCCATCCTTAACAGATACTCAGTTAAAAGGAAAGGGGGAATACTAAGCCTTAAATCATTGATTGAAGACTTCTGGACCAAAAAGGCACTTTTTGTTACAGTCCTATTAGCATTTTCTGCTCTTCTGGAAATGCTATCACACAGCAATGGGTTAAAACTTTAAACCAAAGTACAGCCACAACCTCAGATAACTCCAAGGGATTATGACTATGACTTGTGAGCAAGTCAGAAGGCCAGTCCCGGGTCCAGAGGCATTCATAAGCATTTCACATTTAACTTCCAGGGTTGGTAACGAAACTTGACATTAGCATTCCACGGGTGTCCTAGAGCACAAGTAATCCACACTAGAAACCACATTTTAAAATCCACGTTGCAAGGGGTTTAATCAGATGTCTGGGTTTGTGCAATTAAGTGTGAGCTAGCAAGAAGGAATGATGGAAAGGAAAAGACAAGGGGAGTGCCAAAAACAGCTTTCCCACAAACTATTATAGGGATTTTGCCCCAGTGGCCACAACCTCTCTCTCTCTGCTCCCTTTGAATTTTCTCCAGAATATAAACATAATATTTCTTTATATTGAATCTCTCATACTTTGCTAGAAAGGTTATAAAGACTACCAACCAACCCTCCCTCTCTTATCCCCATTAAATCCCATCACTGATCTTTCGCTATCAGAACTCCCACTGTTGTTTTTACCTGCCAGATTTTCTACTTAAGCCTTCTGAGTAGGTAACCTTCTATCACATGCAAGGTGCTAAACAGAAGTCATTCCAGTAATTACCGTTTTAACTTTTATGCAGAAGCAGAGCAGCAGTTCATTCCTGGCTTTCACTGCACCTCACATTAAAGGACTTAGGCCTAATCTTCTTAAGAATTTCTCACTGCAAGGAAAGTTCTTTGTGTGCTCTCCTCTGCCACAAAATGTTGGGCAGCCTAAGAGACTGAAGGGTCTCGCTTAGAGCAAGCAAGTGGCTGCCAAATCGGGATGTTGAAATACCACTTGTTGGCATCCAGCTATCTCAAAAGATAATGGAGTGTGCCTCTGTGGGGGAACTCAAACTACAGTGGTGCCTCGCAAGACGAAATTAATCCGTTCCGCGAGAGTCTTCGTCTAGCGGTTTTTTCGTCTTGCGAAGCAACCCTATTAGCGGCTTAACGGATTAGCGCTATTAGCGGTTTAGCGGCTATTAAAGGCTTAAAGGCTTAGCGGATTAGCTGCTAAAAGGCTATTAAAGGCTATTAAAGGCTTAGCAGATTAGATAAAGGGGCGAAAAGCGGAAAAAAATCTCAAGACTTGCAAGACATTTTCGTCTTGCGAAGCAAGCCCATAGGGAAATTCGTCCTGCGAAGCAACTCAAAAACGGAAAACCCTTTCGTCTAGCGGGTTTTCCGTCTTGCGAGGCATTCGTCTTGCGGGGCACCACTGTACTGGAGAATCACAGCACCTCCTGTGGCTGCAGAGACTGGTAACTCGTAACTGCTGCCTCCTGTGGTGTTTTTGCTGCGGTAGCAGCACTGAAGGGACCTCTCTGGGGCGCAAGCCTGGGCAGTGTGTATGGAGGTTCCCCGCTGCCCAGACAACAAGACCCTCACTAATGTTGTCCAAAGGAAAGGAAAGCAATACATTTGGCACCAGCTCAGCTACAGGAGTTGCTGGAAGGAGGCATACAAGATGCCAACCAACCATCTTAGGGACTCCACTCTGGATTTGTGTAGGGTTTAGTCTTTAGCCTCTTCTTCTCCTGAAGATGTCTGGGTAAGCCGAAACATTACTCTAGAGAGGATCACAGAGCGACAGAGAACATGTTTTGTTGCACTCAGAAGATTCCATGTTCACTCTCTGGCATCTTCAGTTAACAGGATCTCAGGTAGAATGGAGACAAGGAAACTATACAGATGAAACCTGAGGAACGCAGAGACATCTTCACGCTTTTGAGGGTAAAGCCCTGGGCTTCCAACCTGACTACAGAGGTACCTCGGGTAACATACGCTTCAGGTTACAGACTCCGCTAACCCAGAAACAGTACTTCGGGTTAAGAACTTTGCTTCAGGATGAGAACAGAAATCATGCGGCAGCGGCGCGGCAATAGCGGGAGGCCCCATTAGCTAAAGTGGTGCTTCAGGTTAAGAACAGTTTCAGGTTAAGAACGGACCTCCGGAACGAATTAAGTACGTAACCAGAGGTACCACTGTATTTATGAAGCATTCCTTGTAACCACAATAAGCTACTTTTCAACTAGCCATTCAAAATCTAGACGATTTCATTTGTAAACCACTTTGCAATCTTTACAGGTGAAACAGAGAAACAAGATAACACATTATTAATCTATCCTTTTTAACTGTATTTCTTATCCTCCCTTCACACCAGGTCACCAACTTCATATTTTGGAAAATAGTTTGTCTCTCAATAGATCATTGCCAAACTTAGCACAAGGGTTCCTGAGGTGGGAAGCAGTGATCTCTGTCAATGTTCGGATGCTGAACACCATTATGATTCAAGATGGCAGTTCGAAGTATCATTTCGGCGTGACTTGGCCTGTTTTTTGGGGGGCATAGGTTTGGTTGCCTCTTGAAAGATTGTCACCAAACTTGACATGCATGGTTCTGACATGGGGGTGGCAGACTTTGGATGCTAGCTACCATTTTGAATCAAGACAGTGGACTGAAATGTCAGCAATGTAGGCCTCCAAACCCACAATCACTTCCTCCTTCCTCTCACCTCTACAGGAAGTTACCTCCTCAAGTACTTCCTTTTGACCTGGGAACTAACTATATACACAGGGAAGAAACCTGGTTTATGCAGAACCAAGATTCAATATCCAAAACCCAAAAGAGAGATGTAACAATACTGTGCACATTAAAGCTCTGCTCCTTCCGAATGGAACACATTTTTTTTTTCTTTTCCTTACAACTACAGTGGTGCCTCGCAAGACGAAATTAATCCGTTCCGCGAGTCTCTTCGTCTAGCGGTTTTTTCGTCTTGCGAAGCAACCCTATTAGCGGATTAGCGGATTAGCGCTATTAGCGGTTTAGCGGCTTAGCAGCTATTAAAGGCTTAGCGGCTTAGCGGCTAAAAGGCTATTAGCAGCTTAGCGGCTTAGAACAAGGGGGGGGGGAGCGAAAAAAACCCGCAACACTCGCAAGACGTTTTCGTCTTGCGAAGCAAGCCCATAGGGAAATTCGTCTTGCGAAGCAGCTCAAAAACGGAAAACCCTTTCGTCTAGCGGGTTTTCCGTCTTGCGAGGCATTCGTCTTGCGGGGCACCACTGTAAAAGTTTGCAAACCTTTTTCCACACCTTGATTAAAACTGGATTTTGAAGTCTTTTTTGAAAGCTAGACTGTTAACTAAGCCAGGGCGGGACCTTCTTCAGCCTCTTATGGGCCAAGCCAGAACACACAATTGCGGGCTGGAACCAACTAATCTTCATCATTTAGCTGCACATAATTAAGGCCTTAAATGCAAGTTTCATGAACACAGAGGATGTCAAATTATAGCTGGTGAGCGTGTTCAGCTTGCTCTGCAGTATTTTTTCCTCAGAAATTGTTAGGCATTAAGAACTGCACCAGACCTTGAAAAACAGCCTTTAAAATTATGGAGTTGGAAAATAATAATAATTCAGTCTTAACACACACACACGTTTCCAACTTTTACCATGCTGACATTACATTATTCAAAATTACACACACACATGAGCACAGACATTCATGAAGCCCAGAATGCTTTTATTTTAAATGAAAGTCAATACGTGCAACAGTCAGTCTGCACTAAAACACTTTGGAGGTTACTGCATTTAGTTCACAAGACTGAAAATCGCCCCACCCTTTGAGCATTGTAATAAATGTGAAGGCTGACTATGCATCTAGACATAAGATCATTCTTTGCAACCTCCTGCAAAGGCTGCTGTTAAATGCAATTAAACAACAACAACTAATAATAAAGGCATGATCCAAAACTTCTTCCCAAGTCCTCAATCAACACTAGACAGATGCAACTGTTGACGCCTGTTATTATTTACTAGCATTATTCAGATGACCAGTGAAACACAATTGCTAATCTCTATTATTACTACTACAGCTATATCCTACCTCTTCTCCAAGACATTGTTCTCCTCAATTAATTTAAAATAATAATAATAATACATTTCTACCATTTGTAGAATGATAGCACAACATGGACCAACACTATCCTCCTGTGTTTTTGTAAGAAACTATTTTTCCTATTTTGCGCATGGTTAAGTGGTCTAGAGGCTTTGGAAGGGATGATGCAAGCATTTTCATTATTCTTAGTGAATAATAATAGGAAATAAAGAGAAGACTATTGTAAGAACAATTACTAGACAGCAAGACCCATTGGCAGGATTGAGCTGTAAGAGTCTGGGAGGGAGTTCCAAAGGGTATATGCCCCCACACAAAACGCCCAACAGAACAAAACACACTTCCTGATAAGATGGTATCTGCAAGGCACCCTCTCCTGCAGAGCTAAGTGATCTATTAGATATGTAAAGGGTGAGACAGTCTATATTGTTGGTTGTAAGACTCTGGGGAGCAAGCAAGTTGCTTGCGCTTATATGAAATTTGGTTGACGTTGTCATGTGAGAAACACAGTGTGGGAATTACAAAATACCAGTGTACCTTTATAGATTCGTCGATCGTGATACTTATCTTCCAGAAAGTGAAAGACCTATCATCACGTCTCTAAATTTCCTGCTTCTTTATCAGCGTAACTCAGAAGCTCTGTTTTGAACATGAGCCGGAACTGGCCGTCAACTTCAAAGATATGGGTTGTTGTTTTTTAATGCCATGGCACAACTTTGCCTTCCTCGAACCTTTGGCAAGGGATGTTTTGCGAGATCTGAGCCCAGCAACAAGGACGATGACTGGGATCTCCTTTGGAAGAATTGCCTTTGTTTACCTTTCCGGATTCCAGCCTCCATGCATTTATCATTCAAAGAAAATATACTAGTAGCAACAGATTAAATGATATGATCTTCTGCCAAACTCTACGGTTCTTACGGCTCAATCCTGCCAGTGTGTCTGACTGTCCAGCAGCTATTCTTACAATTTCAGCAGTCTCCTTGTTGTTTTCTGCACCTTGATCAGATTTTTAAGGGAGATTAGCCCAGCTCATTCACCAAACAAGCTCTTAGTAAAATTTACTGAAGCTACATTGCACGCAACAGCACACACATTTGCCCAGGTTGCAATCCTATATCCACTTACCTGGGAGTAAGCTCTATTGAAATTCAATGGCACTTTGTTCCACATGCATATGTACCGTATTTTTCGCTCTATAACACGCACTCGACCATAACACGCATGTAGTTTTTAGAGGAGGAAAATCTGTAGGCATGCCACCCATAGGCATTCCCTCCATAACACGCACAGACATTTCCCCTTACTTTTTAGGAGGAAAAAAGTGAGTGTTATGGTGCAAAAAATACGGTATATAGGCTTGTGCGGTTAAATCTCAATTGCTGTAAACTGCAGGAGGGGGAGAGAGCTGTTGTGATCAGATCCTGCTGGGGGCTTCCCATAGGCATTGGTTGGCTATTGTGGGGACAGGAAGCTGGACTAGATGGGCTAACAGGCTCTTCTCAGGTTCTTATCTCTCACTTCTGAATTTTCAGTGAAGAGTTACAGATGGGACTACAACAGCTGGGAGAGCTGAGTTGGTAGAGCATGAGACTCTTAATCTCAGGGCCATGGTTTGGCTACATTGGGCAAAATATTCCTGCACTGCAGGGGGTTGGAATAGATGACCCTAGTGGTTCCTTTCAACTCTACAAATTATATGACTCTAAAAGTAACCTCAGGGTAGCACCTGGTGAAACTGTCCATTTACATCCCTGTTACGACGTGCAGAATTCAAAACAAGATCTCTCTCTTCCTCTCCTCGCCCCTTGCCTCCTGACTCCTTTTATTAGTTTCATTTTCTCACATTGCGTTTCCTCCCCAGGACAATTGTTGTTGTTGTTTAGTCGTGTCCGACTCTTCGTGACCCCATGGACCAGAGCATGCCAGGCACTCCTGTCTTCCACTGCCTCCCACAGTTGGGTCAAACTCATGTTGGTAGCTTTGAGAACACTGTCCAACCATCTCGTCCTCTGTTGTCCCCTTCTCCTTGTGCCCTCCATCTTTCCCAACATCAGGGTCTTTTCCAGGGAGTCTTCTCTTCTCATGAGGTGGCCAAAGTATTGGAGCCTCAGCTTCACGATCTGTCCTTCCGGTGAGCACTCAGGGCTGATTTCCTTCAGAATGGATCGGTTTGATCTTCTTGCAGTCCATGGGACTCTCATGAGTCTCCTCCAGCACCATAATTCAAAGGCATCAATTCTTCACCAATCAGCCTTCTTTATGGTCCTGCTCTGACTTCCACACATCCCTACTGGGAATACCATAGCTTTAACTATGCGGACCTTTGTTGGCAAGGTGACAAAGATGAGTCTAAAACAAGCAGGCGACTGCTTCCGCTTTTGCAGAAATTTCAAGCGTGCACCCCAGGCCAACCTCTTCCAGACTTATCTAAAACCAACCGACCCTGTATTTCTCATGCTTTTAAAACAGAAGCATTGTTTGCCATGGTCCAACAGTGATTGCCACGTTTTAGGCCCGGAACAAATTACCAGCCCATTTTATTCCCAAGATTTTATGTAGCTGGCAGGTAGGACTTCCCTTTATACGTTCTCATTGTGACAGGGGGGTGATCCCATCTGCCTTGAAGGATCCAGATTTGCGAATGGGAGGCTCTCTAAAACGCTTATTCTCACCCTCAGACTTGAGGCCAAGGAAACACCTATTTATAATTATGATTTACTACAAAAGCCATTAGAAACAGCCAACAGCAAAACATTTAAGGGATGCAAAAGCTTTCAATATTTCAGGATGGTGCCAGCTGTGAAAGGGACAGAACTAAGGGCTTATCCACACTTACCTTTTCTCTGCTCTTTTAGTTAGAGTGTGGTGCTGATAACCCCAAGGTTGCAGGTTTGATTCGCCGTATGGGACAGCAGCATATTCCTGCATTGCAGGGGGTTGGACTAGATGATCCTCAGGGTCCCCTCCAACTCTATGATGAGGTCTGCACTTTAAAACTCTATGTCTAAGTGTGGGTTGTTGTTGGGGGGGGAGTTTGCCCCAGAGCTTTCAGCACGAAAACCCGCTCTTTAGTGCTCAATCGGAACAAACATCAATCCACAGAAAAATCTAATCTAAATTTTCAATCCAAATTGAGAAAAACCATGCTTAGAAATGGAGGTTTAAAGTGAGGACCTGTGCCTGGAAAGAGCTGGAGAAAGATAAGCGTGGAAAAGCCCTCAGTCTTGCTTTTTGCATGTACTAAGAAGTGACTTCCTGGCAGGTATACAAACGGAAATAATCCACCTTAGCTGAAGGTGCTAAGCAGGAATCAGTTAACATTCAAGCACTCAATAATTCCACCTGGTAGCATTCTTTCGCTTGCGACAACCTGCAGTCTTGCGACAACCTGCAGTCTCCGCATACCAGCTGAGGACATAACTATATTATAGACCAATCTGTCCTCATACATGCTGACACTTGTTAAAAAAAAAAAAGGCTAAAGGAAACCAAAAGCAGTTGTCAGTCAATTCTTGCTTTCCTCCGTCAGCCTATAATTATGGCCTATGCCTCTGTTAACATGACCAAAGTTCCACCTTTAACAGATTGCTCAAATGCACCCCATAATGCACCTTTGCTGCTGAGAGGTAATATTATGTGTGTAATAATACAGCAAGTCTATCCACAACTCCTCCTCCTACAGCCTTGCATGATGCAGCCAGCCGCCCCCCACAATTTAGGAGGGGCTCTATGACTCTCCAGAGGAAGATTTTCCAGGGTTTGTAGAAAAAAGATGGGGAACCAAGCTCCTTCAACCGTTCCTCACAAGGCTTGGTTTCCAGACCCTTGATCTTCTTGGTTGCCCTTCTCTGCTCACGTTCCAGCTTGTCAACATCCTTCTTAAATTGTGGTGCCCAGAACTGGACACAGTATTCCATGGGTGGTCTGACCAAAGTAGAATAGAGTGGTACCATTAATAGCTTACTGTGGCAACACTGACAAAAACCACATGTTTCCACCATTTAGGTCACTGGAGGATAACATAATGAGCTTCAACACCGAGTTCTGCATTAAGACTGTGAAAGCAGAACAACAAAAGGGGTCACGTTCTTGTTCTCTCAGCTTACTTCTTCCTCTTACCACCTTCAGTTCAGATCAAGTTACAGCTTAGAATGAAAATTTTAAAAAACAAAACACCTGAGAAAAGGTACACAGCATACTTTCAAGAGAAATCAGAATCCCACATAGCAAGTTACCATGCCTGGGCGAAGGTGGGTGACTCCCTGCTATAGGAATGAAGAACGGAATGAATTAGCCACTAAACTGCAGCAACAGCCAATTCCACGAGACACTCTCAAAAACAAGCGAACTGGAAACAGCCAGTTCACTGGGATGAAGGACAGGGCAGGGAATCATGCAAACAGCATACAGTATATAGGGGGGAAATCCAAACTCCGTATCAGAGCAACACCTTTATTAGGCCAACCAAAACGTGTGCAAGAATTTCAGGGTCTGCAAAACGCTTCATCAGGCTAGAGAGGCAGTTCTAAAACTGTGATCCATGAGCCATGAGCTTCATCCAGGTGTGGCTGTGGATTTGCAGTTGAAGACAGGAGCTGCCACATCCATTTCATTAAGTCAGTGTTTCCCAACCTTGGGCCTCCAGCTGTTTTTGAACTACAATTCCCATCATCCCTGACCACTGGTCTTGCTAGCTAGGGATGATGGGAGTTGTAGTCCAAAAACAGCTGGAGGCCCAAAGTTGGGAAACACTGCATTAAGTATTCACATTTTTTATTGTATTTTTATGGTTTTCCCAGTAGTGACGTATGGAAGTGAGAGCTGGACCATAAAGAAGGCTGATCGCTGAAGAATTTATGCTTTTGTGTTTTTTTCATATAAAATATTTATTAGGATTTTACAATAAACATAGGTTTAAAAAATTAAGAAAATTAAACCGAAGATTACACATAAACAGAAAAAGAGAAAAGATAACAAGAATAATACCCAAAAAAAAGGACCTAAAAGAGAAAAAGTAAAATACAAAATACAAAAAACAGATGGCTAAAAAAGAAAAAGAGGAAAAAAATTTAAAATAGAAAAAATCCATTTTTCAATATCTTTAGGCTCATTTACTTATTTCCTTGACCTCCTCACACCTCCCCTTTTTGTATTCCCGTTTACAAAATCCTTTCAGCAAATCCTTACCCTCTTTCATTTATCTTTACTCTATATCTTAACCTATTATAACTATATATTTTCATCCATATAACAATCTATATTTGCATATTCTTATTAACCTTATTACCAAAACCACTTATTTCCATTCCAACATCATTTTAACATTCATTAATTTTACAGTATTTCTGCAAATAGTCTTTAAATTTCTTCCAATCTTCTTCCACCGACTCTTCTCCCTGGTCACGGATTCTGCCAGTCATTTCCGCCAATTCCATATAGTCCATCACCTTCATCTGCCACTCTTCCAGGGTGGGTAAATCTTGTGTCTTCCAATACTTTGCAATAAGTATTCTTGCTGCTGTTGTTGCATACATAAAGAAAGTTCTATCCTTCTTTGGCACCAATTGGCCGACTATGCCCAGGAGAAAGGCCTCTGGTTTCTTCAAGAAAGTGTATTTAAATACCTTTTTAATTCATTATAAATCATCTCCCAGAAAGCCTTAATCCTTGGGCACGTCCACCAAAGGTGAAAGAATGTACCTTCAGTTTCTTTACATTTCCAACATTTATTATCGGGCAAGTGATAGATTTTTGCAAGCTTGACTGGGGTCATGTACCACCTGTATATCATTTTCATAATATTCTCTCTTAAAGCATTACATGCCGTAAATTTTATACCTGTGGTCCACAACTGTTCCCAGTCAGCAAACATAATGTTATGTCCAACGTCCTGTGCCCATTTAATCATAGCAGATTTAACCGTCTCGTCCTGAGTGTTCCATTTTAACAGCAAGTTATACATTCTTGAAAGTATCTTTGTTTTAGGATCTAACAGTTCTGTTTCCAACTTTGATTTTTCCACCTGGAAGCCAATTTTTTAATCTAAATTATAAGCCTCTCTTATTTGATAGTAATGAAGCCAGTCTCGCACTTTATCTTTTAGTTTCTCAAAACTCTGCAATTTCAATTTGTCTCCTTCTTGCTCCAAGATTTCCCAATATTTCGGCCACTTGGCCTCCATATTGAGCTTTTTCAGGGCCTTTGCCTCCATCGGTGACAACCACCTTGGGGTTTTGTTTTCAAGTAAGTCTTTATATCTTGTCCAGACATTAAACAATGCTTTTCTGACAATATGGTTTTTAAATGCTTTATGTGCTTTAACCTTGTCGTACCATAAGTATGCATGCCACCCAAAAACATTATTGAAACCTTCTAGATCCAAAATGTCTGTGTTCTCAAGAAGCAGCCAATCTTTCAACCAGCAGAATGCTGCTGATTCATAATAAAGTTTAAAGTCTGGCAGGGCAAATCCCCCTCGTTCCTTTGCATCAGTTAATATTTTAAGTTTTATTCTGGGCTTCTTGCCCTGCCAGACAAATCTAGAAATATCTCTCTGCCACCTCTTGAAACAATCCATTTTGTCCAGAATTTGTAGTGATTGAAACAAAAACAGCATTCTTGGCAATACATTCATCTTTATAGCAGCAATTCGACCCAACAAGGAAAGCTTCAAATTTGACCATATTTCTAAATCCTTTTTCACTTCCGACCAACATTTTTCATAATTGTCTTTAAATAAGTTCCCATTTTTAGCTGTCATATTAATCCCCAAGTATTTCACCTTCTTAACCACTGTTAAACCTGTCTCATTCTGAAACCTCTCTTTCTCAATTGGTGTTAAGTTCTTCTCAAGGACTTTGGTTTTTAACTTGTTCAACTTAAATCCTGCCACATAACCAAATTCTTGGATCAGTTCTAATACTCTTTTAGTACTAGATTCTGGCTCCTGTAAAGTCAGTACTAAATCATCTGCAAAAGCTTTCAATTTGTATTGTTTAGCTCCGACCTTTATACCCTTGATCAGATGGTCCCTTCTAATCATATTTAACAAGACCTCCAGGACCGAAATAAAAAGCAATGGGGAAATTGGGCAGCCTTGTCGTGTCCCTTTCTCTATCTTGAATTCCTCTGTCACCACATTGTTAACTATTAGTTTAGCCTTTTGTTCTGAATAAATTGCACTTATACCATTTTCAAACCCTTGACTGACCCCCATCCCCTGAAGATTTTTCTTCATAAAGCTCCAAGAAATATTATCAAAGGCTTTCTCGGCATCTACAAAAATTAAAACTGCTTTGGTGTTAATGTCCACTTGCAACTTTTCCAAAATGTTAATTATATTCCTCGTGTTATCAGACAAATGTCTGCCTGGGAGAAAGCCAGCTTGGTCCTTGTGTATCTCTTCCACTAATACTTTTTTTAGCCTTTTGGCCAAAATGTCAGCAAATATTTTGTAATCCACATTTAACAGGGATATGGGTCGGTAGTTCTTAAGTTGTGTCTTTTCAGACTCAGTTTTCGGTATAAGTGTGATATATGCTTCTTTCCACGACTCTGGTGCTTTTTTCCCCTCCAAAATTTCATTGCAAACCTCCTTTAGTGGTTGAATTATCCAGTCCTTCAAAGTTCTATAGTATTTTGAGGTTAAACCGTCCAGCCCTGGAGATTTTCCCAACTGCATGTTCTTAATGGCACCTTCTACCTCCTGTTCCGTAATTTTATAGTTCAGCATTATCTTATTTTCTTGAGAGATTTTTTGTAATCCATTTGTTTTGAAAAATTGGTCTATATCAAACTCTTTCTGAGGCCCTTGTGTATATAACTGTTTAAAATACCTCTGGAAACATTTTCTAATTTCCACTGGATTCTGGATGTTCTTTCCATCCACTTCCAAATTAGCAATGGTATTAAGCTTTTGTCTTTTTTTCATCTGCCAAGCTAGCAGTTTCCCAATTTTATGCTTTTGAATTATGGTGCTGGAGGAGACTCTTGAGAGTCCCATGGACTGCAAGAAGATCAAACCTATCCATTCTTAAGGAAATCAGCCCTGAGTGCTCACTGGAAGGACAGATCCTGAAGCTGAGGCTCCAATACTTTGGCCACCTCATGAGAAGAGAAGACTCCCTGGAAAAGACCCTGATGTTGGGAAAGATTGAAGGCACAAGGAGAAGGGAGCGACAGAGGACGAGATAGTTGGACAGTGTTCTCGAAGCTACCAGCATGAGTTTGACCAAACTGCGGGAGGCAGTGGAAGACAGGAGTGCCTGGTGTGCTCTGGTCCATGGGGTCACGAAGAGTCGGACACGACTAAACAACACCAACAATATGCACCAGGGAACCCCCCCTCTGAGGCACAATCTGAAACGCAAGGATCTCTGGCAGCGCTGACAACAGAGAGGTGGCTCCGTCCACCAAGCTAAGGAGAAGTAACTGGTGCCATCTGCCTCTATTGATCCGGCCCTGCATTTATGTCACCTTCAGCAGGATATAACGCTGGACGGGGCTTCTAATGTCCCCTCCACAGATGCATGCTAACCCTGAGGAACACACACAAAACAAAGCGGCGTACATCATTTCATCTCTGGGCGTACAACAGAGAACTTCAGTTCCATAGCTGATACTGCACAGCAGAAATAACTTCAGACATGGCAGTTCTGCCAAGAGGAAAGTCGGATACATTTTTGTCATGTGTTCCCTGGACTTCAGAAGAGGGTGGAGCACAGCGGGTTCCCTTGACTTCCATCTCTCCATTCAGGTTCTTGGTTAATCTCCATTCTATAAATGTGCTTCCATAGAAGGCAGAAGTCATAAAAGTCTCTTGCCCTGCCCTCTATTTTTTTTTTAACTACTAATCTGGAACAGTACGTTTACAAGTCGGGTAGGGAGAAAAGAGAGAGATAAGACTGTGACAAGCAGAGCAGCGTTCAGATCCATCATTCATCTCCTTGCCGGAGGGCTAAAATAATTCCTGATGCTGCAAGTAGGTTATGAACTCAGAAGAATTCTTCATAAGGTTGTTTTTAACATTTGTATTTTTCCTTTAACTGGGGCATGAGAACAGGGCAAGTTGTGCAATTCGAATTTTTACAGAGACTCTCAAGAAGGTAAAAAAACAAAAAAAACTGAAAAAAGGGCACAGTGCTCAGAACATGCAAACTCATGACACACATGCACGAAAGCCGCCAACACCCTCCCAAGTTGGACACACGGGTCAGGTGTGCAAATATTTCCCTGGAAAGGGCAGGTATCTTTGCCCAAGGATACACCTTTACAAGCACAAGGAAGCTGGTGTGCAGAATACACAGGTGTGACCAGTGCTGCCATTATCGCCATAAGCCGTGCGACAATGGGGAAACCAACGCAAGCTGAAGCTTCAAGTGCATGCAGACTGCAAGGGCAGAATGCATGGCCATTAATGCTTTCAGCCTCTGAGAGAAGCACCTGAAGACTTGCCTTTAGAACCCATTAGCCCCAACTAGCGCAGCCATAGGTCAAGTTTGATGGAAGCTGTAGCCCAGCAATAGCTGGCAGGGGGAGGCAGCTTCCCCATGCTTGCTTCACACGGTAGCCCAAGTTTTCCACAGATGCTTCCACACAAAAGCATGAACACACAGCAGGCTGGGAAAGACAAACGCTGGAGAAATGCTAACAGTCAGTGTAGACAGATGGACCAGACTCAGTATAGGGCGTCTTCCTCTGTTCCTAAATTTACTTTTGATCTGCAAATTAAGCCAGATACCCTAGCAGGGGAGTAACTCGGAACTGCCACATTCATGTTTATTCCGGGTGGGTGGGGGGGGGAGACAACTGCCAATCCACCTTTTTTGAAAGTAGAAAAAATAAAAATCTATGTTAGGAACCAAGAAGACAGAACTCAAAGGTTCCAACTATTCTGTATTAATCAGCAATATAAACTTGGCAATGGGGGGCAAACCTGTGGCCCTCCGTATCCTGCGGGACTACAACTCCCATCAACTCCAACCACACAGCCCAGGTAAATGGCAGGTGTACTCCAGCACGCTGTTCAACACTGGCCAGGCGTCAGGCGCATTTTGCGACTGGCCCAGGTCCAATTGCAACCATGTGGAGATCTCAGGATGCCTGGTTGGCAACTGGGGAAAGCGAAATGTCACTTAGAGAAAGATCTCCAAACTTGTCATTTGACGCTTGAATCTGTTTTATTCTGGGTCGTTTCATTTCTATGTTTTTATGTGTTATAACAGATTTGATCTTTATAATATAAAGCAGTGTAGAAATTAAATGAATAATAATAATAATAAAGTCCACTGCAAAAAACAAAAAAGGTGCCTAGACATCCCATTGTGGAGACTGTGACCCAGGTTTAAGGCGCCATTTGGCGATTAGATTACCGTATTTTTTGCTCTATAAGACTCACTTTTTCCCTCCTAAAAAGTAAGGGGAAATGTGTGTGCGTCTTATGGAGCGAATGCAGGCTGCGCAGCAATCCCAGAAGCCAGAACAGCAAGAGGGATTGCTGCTTTCACTGCGTAGTGATCCCTCTTGTTGTTCTGGCTTCTGGGATTCAGAATATTTTTTTTCTTGTTTTCCTCCTCCAAAAACTAGGTGCGTCTTGTGGTCTGGTGCATCTTATAGAGCGAAAAATACGGTATATATATTTGAGTTTCTAACACTGCATAGCACCTGGAAACGTGCATGTTCCACACCCCTACCCTAGCAGCGTTTCTCATACTTGGGTCCTCAGCTGTTATTGGATTACAATTCCCAACATCCTTAGCTAGCAGGACCAGTGAGGGGAGTAATAGTTTAACAACAGCTGGAGAATAAAGTTTAAGAAATACTGCTAGAAAAGTATCTACTATAGTGGTAGCTCGGTTTAAGAATAGCCCTGTTTACGAACTATTCGGTATATGAACTCCGCAAAACCAGAAGTAGTGTTCCAGTTAGCGAACTTTACCTCTGTCTATGAACAGAAGCCGAATGGTGGAAGGGAACCGGCGGCGGGAAGCCTCATTAGGGAAAGCGTGCCTCGGTTTAAGAACGGCTTTGGTTTAAGAACGGACTTCCGGGACAGATTAGGTTCGTAAACCGAGCTACCACTGTACTAGTTGCTGTAGAAAAGATAATCTGCTCACCTGTTTTCTCATCCAAGTCCCCCTCCACCTCATTCTCAAAAGATAAAGGAACGGAAAGCTTTGCATGCAGAAAGTCCCAGGATTCAATCCCCAGTTTCTCCTGGGGAAAACTTTGGTTTGAAACCCTGAAGACAAGGCCAGCCCTATCATTTGGTAGAAGGAGACAGCTGCCTGGGTGTACAGAGTATGCCACACAATCTGTCCTGTACTCTCTCCTAGGCTGCCCTTAGATGCAGTGGATGATGCTATCCCAATACATAAGGTAAGGTTCATGTGCCCAGTCCAATTTATTTCAGCAGGTGAAACTGTCCTTTGCCTAAGGCAGCAAAATCCTTTGGGTTGGCCACAGGCCAACCAGAGCCAGAGTAGCAACGAAACAAAACTAGATGGAAGAATGGTCTGATTCAGTGGCGCAGCTTCCTATGTTCCTACTCCCAGCATCGGTGAACAGGAGCGCACACGCTCCAAAGATCTGAATTAAGTCGATTTTTAAGATTCACTGTATGTCAGGACATTCCTGCAGAGGGAGGAGATGGGCTTGTGCTCACCTGGTGTACACACTGCCCTTCTCGTTTTAAGAGAGCTGCGTGAGAGATCTCATGCACCAGTAGGACAAAATATTCCTGTTTTACAAGTGCCATGAAAATTCTGAGATCCACCAGCAGAAATGCTACCTTAGGCTAAATATGTCTAGCTGCTCCACAACAGGCTGGAAACAACAATGAATTCCATGTGACAAAAACACCTGGATCAGCCCCAGGAAAAAGCAATGGGCATGATTTTGCTTTGAGGCTTTGAAATGTTTGCTTTAATACACCCGACTCTCATTTTGCGGGAAGTAAACCAAGAGCTGGCATGTATTCCAGAGCCACTAGCTTAGCTTAAAATGTTTATTACTGCTTTCCTGTTTCCTTACTCCCTCAGGCAGAAACTTTGACAAATCCAGCTTGGAGGTTTAGATGCAAGATATTGATCCACTGCGAACACCAGTGCCCTCTTCTCTCTGTCCTTTGCTGGAGAACTTGCTACAGTCCTAAGCACTCTTGGCTGGAAGCTTTCCACAGAATCATAGAATCTTGGAAGGGACCCAAGGGTCATCTAGTCCAACCCCCTGCAATGTGGGGATATTTTGCCCAACGTGGGGCTTGAGCCCACAAGCCTGAGATTAAGAGTTTCATGTTCTACCCACTGGGCTATTATTGTTCTTCACTCTGTGAGTTACTTCAACAAAACAAAAGTGCCACAAGAAAAAAACAGAGAGCTGTGCATTCAGCTAAGAGCGTAGACCCGCTGACATTAATGAACCTAAGTTAGACATCCGTTTACTTCAATGGGCTTTCTCTGAGTAAGGCTAGCACTGAATATCACCCGTAGTCTGGTGTCAGACAGATAGATAGATAATTGCTGCCCCAGCTGGGCTCTTTGGAAGGAAGCGAAGGATATACCATAAATTTTAATAAATAAAAATAATGTTAATCGGCACTCCAATCCACCTTAGCACGTATCAACAGCCGTTCGGAAAGCCCAGTGCATTCCAAATGCCATTCCTACAAGAGAGCGAGACAGTATTCCTATCTATTTGGCAGCAACGCCTTAAGGGCAGAGTAAATCATCCTATGGTTATTCTTATATATTTACTGACACATCCTCCTTTTTCCCCGACAAGGACTCAAGGTGGCTTACAGATATACAGCTAAAAACATTGGGGGGGAGGGGAACCAACTTAAGTAAAATATTGGGGGGCGGGGGAGGCCAGGTAAGACCTGGTCCACATGATGGATCACAAGATGCGGGCCATGCACACCGTTTGAATGGCAATGCCTGTTAACTTTTGGAGGGGCACAAATATTTTATTGGGGGGAGGTGGCTCCTATGGGGGGGGGAGCACAATTTTTTAAAAGACTGACAGCATCCTAGAGCGAGATAGAGAGAAACTCGGCGTTATTGTTCCAGTGGGGCATCCAGAACTTTTATCTTCCAACTTGTATCGCGCGCACGCGCATCCCTCTCCCGCCCCTCCAGGTGGGGAGGGGGCTTCGCGTCCCCCCCCCAACCAGGTCTTATCTCGCCGCCCGGCTGGTCCAGCCCCCTCCCCTCTTCGTTACCTCAGCAACGCCCCCCTGCGAAGCGCACCTGCGCCGTCTCCGCCGCCTCGCCTCAGGAGCCCCCCGGGCGCTGGCGAGCGCTTTCCCTTCCCGCTTCCGAGGCGGCCAGCGGCGACTCCCGAAAGCAAAGCGAGAAGCGGCAGAAACCTCCGAGGCTCGCGCTGCCCAGAAGGAGGAGGAGCAGGAGCAGGGTAAAAGCGTTACCTCCTCTTTCCTGCCTCTGTTTATGTGCCTCGAACTTCAGCCGCCCTCCGACGCTGCGCGGGGCGCGCGCGCTAAGCTCCAAGGGCAGCCGGGCGCCTCGCGGGGAAAGAAGGCGAAAGGTGCGCCGCCCGCCCTTGCCTGCGCGGCAGGCGCAACGCCGCCCCCCGCCCTTCTGGGCCCTCTGGACCAATGAGAGGCCAGCGGGGACTAGGAGGGCCCTCGGAGGCAGAGCGGGAACGCCCTCAAGCAAGCTTGCCCCCACCTCACTGTTTCCTCTTAACTCTCCCGCATTGATGAACAGGTTAAAAGCACAGGTCTCCCTACTGGTCCTTGGGAGACTTCACTTTCCACATCTCTCCATTTGTGTTTTTTAATTTTTTTATTTTATTTTATCTCTCTCTCTCTCTCTCTCTCTCTGGCCATCACTCCTAGCCGAGTAAGATTGACTTCCATGAACACGGTTTTAACAATGAGTCCCTAAGTGACTGTGGAGGCCAATTCTGGATCCACATGTCCTTCCACAGTGGGGACATTGGTTCCCTGGCGGGAGTTGATCACGGTGTGGATTTGCCAAGCGTGCCTTCCTCTTAGCACGTTTCTCCCTTGCATCCTGAGTTCAAGTGTCTCCAAAGCCCATGACACCTTTGGTAAAGTCTGTTCTCCAACAGACTTTACCAAAGGTGGGTGGGTGTGGGTGTGTGGGTGTATATATATATATAAACACACACGCACACTGGTACCTTGGGTTACAAACACTTCAGGTTACAGACTCCGCTAACCTGGAAGTAGTACCTCAAGTTAAGAACTTTACCTCAGGATGAGAACAGAAATTGTGCATCGGCAGCAGCGGGAGGCCCCATTAGCTAAAGTGGTACCTCAGGTTAAGAACAGTTTCAGGTTAAGAACGGACCTCCAGAACAAATTAAGTTCGTAACCAGAGGTACCACTGTACACACACATATACATACATATATATGTATAATTTTTATTGAGTTTTCATTTTTCTACATATCAAATTAAACATCCAATGACTTCCCAACATCCAATATTTTACTATAGTCATTCAAATCAATTTTCCACTTTTACATTGATCAAATATCATTTTCACTCTCTTGAATTTATTTTAATGCTGCCAGCATTTTCAGCTGTGCGCAATTATTTTCCATACATTCAATAAACATTTTCCACTCTTCTTTAAATATATGTTCTTCTTTGTCTCTTATTCTGTAGGTTGAACCTGCATATTAGCATCTTAAGTTTCCAATCCTCTTTTATAAGGGACCTCACTCACTTTCATTTTGGGGGGGTGCGCAACAAAACACTCAGCGGCTGTTGTTGCACACATAAAAAAACTTTTGTGTCACCTGGGAATTTCTGTCTGGGTCATTCCCAACAAAAAGGATTCTGGTTTTCGGGGGAAGGTAAATGTAAACATTTTAGTCAGCTCATTATAAATCATTTCCCAATATTCTTTCACCTTTCTGCATATCCAACATCTCTTTGTACAACTGTCCATTTATTCCTGCTCTCTGTTTGCTGCTACTTAACCAATTCCTGCTCCACAAGAGGACCTCCTCTCTTATTAGTTCAGTTATTCAAGTGTGCCAAGGGGGAATGTAAGCTCTCTCTGTTCAGCCTTCAATCTCATGTGTGATTTGGCTTCCTCTGTGCTGAAGTGCTGAAGTCTGGGATTACATGCGTACCAATAACCGAAATTCAGCTTTCTACCATGTGAAAAAATACAGGCATCCTTTAAAAAAGAAAAGTTGCAACCAGGCTTTTATTTTTCAGCCAGAACTTGTCAGAACTCAGTTGTGGCACCTCTCAGGTGGGTGCCATTGCCATTATAAGAGAACAAGGGAGGTGTTCATGGTGAGTTCCAGCGCCTCTTTTTCTAGAAAAATCACACTGGTTGCAACCCTAATCACACCAGGGCATCTTTCCTGAGTACAGTCATGCCTCATGTTACGTCCGTTTCATGTTACGTTCTTTCAGGTTACATCCTGCGGTGACCCAGAAGTACCAGAAAGGGTTACTTCCATGTTTCACTGCTCGTGCATGTGCAGAAGTGCAAAATGATGTCACACGCATGTGCAGAAGCGGTGAATCGCAACCTGTGCATGCGCAGACGCGCTGCTGCGGGTTGCGCTCTTTTCATGTTGCGAACGGGCCTCCGGAACGGATCCCGTTTGCAACCAGAGGTACCACTGTACTGACACTTCAATTTTTTTACAAACTAGACGTTGGGAATTAGGGTCCTCGGAGCAGCTGAACCAATATCAGCTCCAAATCTGGGGGTGTCCATCACAGTGAAGATGCATTATTATTGTGCTAAAGTAGAAACCAGGGTGTTGATATATTTGAGGGTTTGCATAAACTGCAACAAGGAAGTTAAGCTGATTTCTGTTTGTTTTAGAAGAGGCTAATTGCATTTCTTTCTCCGGCCTGACTTGGGACGATGGAATGTGGTCGTGTCAGTATTCTGAGCAGAAAGGGCAGCATGCAGTAGATAGGAAGAATATGTGGTTGTTTTTGACCAAGCGGAAATATTTTCAGCTAGGAGATAAACGCTGGTTGGGCAGCAGCGGGAAGAAGCTTTCTCCTCTCCCAGCATTGTTAGGGAAGGTTTCAAATGCTTCCCCCAGCAGATGGAGACCTGTTGTATGTGTGTAAAAGGATTGTGGTCCTGAGGTGCCAGTCTTAAAAAAAAACACATGGTACAATCAGCTGTTATGTTTTCAGGCTGCAGATGGAGGTGGAATTTTTCAGCGCTCCCCTACATTAAAAAACAATAACCTTGCATTCAGAAAGCAAGCACAGCAGGGAATGTGGGCTGTAGGCCCCTCCAGACAACCTGTTTATGCGGAGGTTAGCTTATATCTGGCCTTCATTGAGCTCCCCGCTCCCCACCTCCTGATTTTACAAAGGTAGTTATATGACACTCAGCATTCATCCTACATCAGGGTGGATAAAAATCAAAGATTTTTTTAAAAAAATAAAAAAGCATATTTTTTATTTATTTAAATCGGTTGTTTTTCATTTAAATCGGATTTTTAAAATAAAATCCTTTTGGAAGAAAAATCTTTCTAAAAATAGTTTTCTATTTAGGTTACATTATAGTCCAAAGGCTATACATCAGGAAAGAAGGATTTGTTTTAAGTTTTTCATGTGTGCTAAAACTCGGTCTAAGGTTTTGGGGTTTTTTTAAGTTTAACCACATCAGTTAACAAACATGGATACATATGCTGTAATGTATAAGCAAAGGTATTCCTACCATTTTGGTGCTCAATGTGAAAAGCATGCATGATTGCTCAATGAGTGTGAAAAGCATGCACGATTGCTCAGTGAGTGTGAAAAGCATGCACGATTGCTCAGTGAGTGTGAAAAGCATGCACGATTGCTTGATGAGCTGCAACAAAACTTGCCACGCCCTCCCCTACCTCTCCTGCCTCAGAGCATTTGAATGAAACCGAAACTGACTTTTTAAAAGTTTGATCACACAATTTAAGATGGTCATTCTGCCTTGGAACCAAGCACCGTTGGAAGGCTGCAGTAATAAAACTTGTAACACTCCATAAAAGTCTGCATGAAGCTAGGGCTGCCATCTCCCACCCACCCCTGGCTTTAGCAGCAGAGATAAGCAAAACCGTTTCCCCACTTCTTATCTCTGAAACAGGATAAGCATCTCCTGCTATATCCCCTCATGTTGAGCCATTAACGTTTAGCTGTCCTTACTTATTTAGGGACAGTTCCCCAAAAGCAAAGTGAGGAGTGAGCAAATTTGCTAAAACACCGCATAGTATGATGCCAACTCTGTTATTACCATTGGTTTAGCTGCTTGGGTCATCTTTTGAAGAAACACCTTTCCAGCCCAAGGCTTTCCTTGATTATTGCAGTTGAGACATACCTTTTCTATGTTAGAATGCTTTATTGCACTTCTGATTAGATCTTAGTAGTCTGCAGTGATGCTTTTATTGTACAGTCGTACCTTGGTTGTTGAACGCTTTGGTACTCGGACGTTTTGACTCCCAAATGCCGCAAACCTGGAAGTGAGTGTTCCGGTTTGCCAATGTTTTTTGGAAGCCGAGTGTCCAAAGTGGCTTACGCAGCTTCCAATTGAGTGCAGGAAGCTCCTGCAGCCAATCGGAAGCCGCACCTTGGTTTTCGAACCATTTCAGGAGTCGAATGCACTCCCGGAACAGATTAAGTTCAACAAACCAAGGTTCAGGCATACCCCCCACACACTTATGTGCGATCGACTCACACACAACCGCATATACGCGTGGTGCTGGGAAACAAATTAATTGAATCATACCAGAAAATGGTGGGAAACAGCTGAAGAGTCCTTGTGGCTTGTGAGGAGACCCCAGAGCCCATCAGTAAGGGCAGAGAAAGCCCCGAAGAGGCCATAGATGCAGAGGGGCTTTGTTTATGCTGCTCGGCCTCCCTGCCTAACGGCTGGCACTTGGGGCAGCGCAGCAGAAGCAGCTGCTTTCCTGCACATCTTGCAGCCTCCAGCCAGCTCCAGAGATCCAACTCTAGATATTTTGTCTGGATTGGAAAGAGAGCTGGAGAACAGCAAAAAGGGGCGTTTAGAGGGTGTTCCCCACTTCCGAGATTTTCTTTATTATTATTATTATTATTATTATTATTATTATTTAAAATAATATTTATTACTTTTATAGATTACAAAAAGGGAAGAGAAAAACAGAAAAAAAGACAAAGGAGGAAAGCAAAAAGGAAAAGAAACAATACAGTACAGTATATAGACAATGCAAAACACAACCTAAACTCAAAACTAAACACATTAAACTAAACTAAACAAACCCCACTCCCTAACCTTAACCCTAAATAAAACAAAACAAAAACAATTTAAAAACATACATCATCCCTTTTCCATACTCTAGCTTTCATTCCCTTGTTTCCTCGACCTCCTCTCACCTCCCTTTTTGTATTCCACTTCTATTAATTGTTTCAGCAAATCCTTTCCATCTTTCTCCTTTTTCTATCATATTGTAAATAACGTATTTTTTTACATTATTTTCCATTAAAACTAATATTATTTTATATGCTTAACTACTTATAAAATTTCTGCTAAACCCATAAAAAACATTCCACCATTTTTCTATCACTCATTAGTTTTACCATATGTCTATATATAAACTTTAAATTTTCCAATCTTCTTCCACCATCTCCTCTCCCTGGTTTCGGATTCTGCCAGTCCTTTCCGTCAACTCCATAAATTCCATCAACCTGGTGATCTTATGTCCGAGGCTCTTAACTTTTTTCCA